GCAGCGGCGACGACGGCGGTGGCGACGGTGGCATACGGCGGCACAGAAGCGGCGGCACGGTGGCACCGGAGCAACGGCACGGCGGCGCGGAAACAGCGGCGCGGCGGCACGGGAACGGCGGCGCACGGCACGGGAACGGCGGCGCAGCGGCACGGGAACGGCGGCGCAGCGGCACGGGAACGGCGGCGCACGGCACGGGAACGGCGGCGCACGGCACGGGAATGGCGGCGCAGTGGAGAGGGGAGAAGGGAGAGGAAGGGGGAGATGGAGTGAGAGAGAATAGGGGAGGGGGATATTTATAGGGAAGAGGGGGAGAAGAAGAGGGGAGGGGCGGCGGGGCTCGGTCGGCGCGCGGGGCTCGGCGCGGCTAGGTGTGACGGCGACGGCGACGCGACGATAACGCGGCGCGGCAGCGGCGTGGGACGCGAGGTGGCGACGCGATGGGCAAGCGGCGCGCGGGTCGCGGGGCGCGAGACGGTGCGCGGGGCGCGAGGCGACGGAACGGGGCGGCAGCGGCGACACGACGGGCGCGCGGCGATGGGATGGGCGGGCGGCAGCGACGGGCGACATTGGCGCGGCGCGGCAGCGGGACGGCGATGGGAACGGCTCGGCAGCGGCGGCGCGCGGCTCGGAGCGACGATGGGACGCGCGCGGCGATGGGACGACGCGGCGCGACGGCGATGGCGACAGCGTGGCAGCGGCCGCGAGGCGCGAGGCAGCGGCACGGGGCTCGAGGCGGCGGCACGGGGCGCGAGCGCGACGGCGACGATGGCGACGGCGGCGCGGCGGGCGACGGCGCAAGGCGCGGACGCGCGGGCTCGGGGCGGCTAGGGCAGAGGTGGGGGAGAAGGGGAAAGGCTAGGGACCACATCGAACACTTGCGGGCAATGAATAGTGCACTTCCCTATTATTCCCGATTTTAGGTTATTTCCTATATGAATTTGATTCTATTATTTCTAAATCTTGCATAAACGAAGTTTACTCAATATGTGTATTATCTCAACTAATGAATTCACCCTAGGTTAATATTACTCATATTTTATTTTTATATAATTTATTTGAGTTTTAATTAGGGTAAATTCTTATTCCATCGCAATTAAATTTAATTGATCCAATTATGGTCGCGATAATATTTTATTTATTACTATCCACACCTAATCTTTATTTTTAATTTATATTTATTTTACCAATTTGTTTTTAAGGTTTATTCCTGATTAACTGTTCTTTACTCACTATTAATATTCTTCGAGATCAAATCCAGGTAAAATAGGCGAATAAAATCGGCATGTTGCAATTAGTTTGAAAAGTTTTTTTTTTTGAATATCTGCATTTTTAGAGTTTTGATTTTGTCGGTCGAATTTTCAGGGTGTTACACTGAGCCAATCATTTTTTTTATTGACTGACATACCAAAATACTCAGGCCTAGCCTTAGAAATATATTCTATTCACGACCTACTTTTGTTGAATTAGAAGCAAGAACCACACTCAGGTTTACGGAAATAGAATTCCATGCTCACAATATCTTTGACTATGAAACCTTCCTATGCATGGGGGATAATATTCTTTCATTTCTTTTCACATGCAGTGGGAGTTATTTTGCGGGACTACAAACCTGGGATGATCCCACTGGACCATCTGATGAATATACTTTCAAGGAACTGCAGGATGAATTTATTGCTGCCTGCAAAAATTGTAACTTGCCCTGGGCATACAAGATGCCAATGCCCGAACATTTGGAAAGACTCAGAGAACAGAATGAGTGCAAGATGTTAGAAATACCACTGCACTTGTATGTGAAGCAAAAAAATATTCTGGTACCAATCCACGAATATCTGTCTAACCTTGAATTTCTAAATCTTGCATCGTTCGTTCTGGGGAGATAGGGGAGGTTGAGTCTCGTTTTCCGCGCTCACGCTTTTCAAACTACTAAACGGTGTGTTTTTTGCAAAAAATTTCTATAGAAAAGTTGCTTTAAAAAATCATATTAATCCATTTTTGAAATTTAAAATAGTTAGGACTCAATTAATCATGAGCTAATGGCTCACCTCGTTTTATGTATCTTTTCAATCTCCTCAATCCCCTTCTCCTCAAACACACCCTATTTTAGAAGTGTTAGTTTTGCCTTGGCTGGGTAAAGTTGGAATATTTGTTTGTGGATTAGAAGATGGAAATGTATCTGGACTAATATCATTATGTTTCAGCCTGCTGAGTTAGAAATCATGGAACTGAAAGAAAGGAGTCTTTTTACGGAACGTCGCAAAGTATATGGACACTTCAACTTCTTGGTGAAAGATTCAGATGGCACTCATACTTTGTTTTTTGCTGAGGTGGATCTAAACTGCAAAGAGGAGAAGGACGTTTATCTGTGCTGTCCTTTGGAAGAGAATGATAATGGTATTATCTTTCCTTTCTTGTGAATAATTGTATTTATTCTTTCATTTTGTTAAAATGTGTACTAATACTTTTTTTTTCTTTTTAAGGTCATTGTTTTGGATGTCGAGAGTGGGACGTGGCACTTCAGCATCCCACTTCTGCTGACTATCTGGGTGGCCACAAGGATATCTGTGAGCCGTACATAGATACAGATGATGAATATTTCGAATTTATGTAATGAACCTACTAAAGACATCGGCTTCAGGATCACTCACAAGTAGGAAGGTTGTGACGCTGAACGTTCATATCGATGTTTGGAAGGTAATTTAAGCAAAGGGGCATGGAACTTCACCAGACTGGACCATTTCCTTTTGTACTAGCTATAGTCAATTCATGTTCTACGTATGCTTGTTGTGGGTTCTACTTAGATTGGTGCTAGTATGTGATATTGTCATGACTGCATGGGGATTTGTACATAGCCTCCATCTTAATGAAATTTGATCGGCCTTTCTTCCACCGACCCGGCAAAAAAGCCTTTCTTCTGCCGACCCGGCAAAAAAAAAAGATTGTATGGGGACTTTGTCCATGCGTATTATTGGAGGCAGGTTAGGAGGCTCTTTCACTAGCCCATCGAAGCAAGCGAAGCACGATGGAACATGGTGAAGCCAAGTGGAGCTCTTACCAAGATCGAGTCAAGGCGAAGGCGAGCTGAGCTGTGGTGAAACGCATTGGAGTAGGCTGACAACGCCTATCTGGCGGCCTAAGCCTGGCCTGCTAAGGCCTAGTAGACTCAAGTGAGCCAAGGACATAAAAAAAATCCCTGTAGATACCCTTATCATATAGGGGTAAAAATGTAAAAGCCTATACATGGTAAACCATAGGGTTAGATTTGGTGTTGTAAACCTATAGATAGCTCTCAGGTAGTGTATTGTAAAGGGCGTTCAATAAAAAAAATACAACTATTGTTTTTTTTTGTTCCGTACACCAGGACAAGTGTTTGTCTTTCGACAACAATTGGCGCCGTCCGTGGGGAGCCTAGCCAAAGTCAATGCCGCTGAAGAGAAGATTGACAAGAAGGAGGGTGGTTCTGCAGAGGTATGCGGGTGCTGTCGAAGATTATGTCGAGTATGCCTTAGAAGCCTAAGCCAAAGCCTAGCTCGAGGGACCTCTGGCAATGAACTCGGACAAGCAAGCCTCAAGAGGAGATAAAGTTGAGTGCCTACGGGCTACGAGCTAAGCTGCTTTGGTCCCAAGGCCGGAGTATGAGGTTATGAGGTAGTCAAGTTGCAAGAGATGCTTCACTAGATGCAGCAACAACAGTAGCTTTGTCGGCAAGAGTCGGCGTAGCTGCACGAGCACCTATGCCGAACATGCTTCAATCCCAAGTCCAATCTCTCTGGTAGGCTCACATGATACCGCCCCAAACTATAGTCCCAGGTGTTGCTTTGACGACATAGGTTTCGACATCACAGTCTAGGTTGAACCTAGCATCGATCCTCTAGGCACAATTCCAAATCTTCCTCAACAAGTGAATGCGGGTCTTCCTCAAAGCATCCAACTGCCACAACAAGCAGTTTCACCTCCGCTGACGACAATTGCCAGAGGAGCAAGTTAAAGGTTGGTGGTGTGGCTACCAGGGGCGTCAACAAACCACTTCGCCTAGTCTACGCCCAGCATACACTGCAACTTCGCCAGCCAACCTAGTCGCGCACGGAGCTTTGGTCAGGGGATGTCCCCCCACCACCACTGGCCCAGCAGCAACCAGCAATCTCATCTTCGGATATCTGTGTTGTCCTTTGGAAGAGAATGACGATGGTAGTATAATTAGAATTTTCACTCCTTTTGTAACAATTATGTTTTTCTTTCATTTTTTTAAAATGTACTAATACTTAATTCCCTTTTCTTTTTAAGGTTAGATATTGTTTTGGGTGCCGAGTGCAGCATGTGAAAGTTAGGCATCCTACTTCTGCGGACTATTTGGGTGGCCATCTATACATATCCCTTCACCTTAATGAGGGCTCATTCGAACTGGAGGAAAACCGCCGGAAAAATGGAGGATCCGTTATCCTTTGAATTCAATCACTAAGAGTGGAGTCGGAAAACCGTGGGAAAAATGGAGGATCCGTTATTCTTTGAATTCCATCACTAAGAGTGGAAATGGAACATGAGAGAAACTAATTGAGAGCAAGAAAAGAAATCGAACAACCCAACATTCGTCATATGCTGTTTCCGCCACCAGATACAGCAAAAAAGAACAAAATTCTTAACACATATGAATATACTCATATAATTCAACCCGTTGCAAAGCATGTGTATCTTGCTAGTTAATTTTAAACATGAGAAACCAACTAACATATATTAGATATCCTTCCGTCCCCAACAAAATATAAATATTTGTAGCTACGAATCTAGATAAATGTTTATAAAAATTTAATGTTTTTATATTTTCTACGATTCCGGTTAGGATTGCCGTTAGCGTGTCCGGCCGCCGGGCGGAGTACAAACGCTGTTCTGGACAACGTTCCCAGCGACGCACTTGCACTCCACGTCGGACATGAATCCTGATCGGACTCAACCCCAAAAAAAAAAAAAAAAAAAAAAAAAAAAAAAAAAAAAAAAAAAAAAAACCTTCTTAAAAAGAGGTGGGGGAAGGAAAAAAAAATCAGTGCCCGCTGAATATCGTCACTCCGCTCCCGAATCCCGATCCCGCCGGCGCCGCCGGTCGTCGTTGCCGGAGATCAGTCGCGCCGCCGGTCGTCGTTGCCGGAGATCGGAAGGTTTAAGGATAATGTATCTCCCAAGCGACCGAGCTCCAGCAGCAGCAAGCCCTCACCCCCAGCCATCCACCTCAGCTGCTGCTCCCCTCGCCGGATCATCTTCTCGCAAGCCCGCTGCTTCTACCCAAATAGTACTTAATTATAGGTATGTGGCCTCCTAAGATTGCAGGATCTGAAAACAGCTGATTTTTTTTGGTTGCCAAGCTCCTCTTTTAAAGATATATATGAGTTCTTATGCTATCTCCTCTATAAAAAGTAGGACCATAAGCTTCCTTGAATTCCTAAAAGGGAAAAAGAAGTTAAGGTTTTTGCTCGATGTAGTGTAACTAGCCCATTCCTCCTTGAATTCCATCTTACAATTGGTGAGCTAAAGTTTTTATTGTGTACCAAAACAACAAATTAGTTAAATATTATCTAAAAAAACAAATTAGTTAAATGAACAGGCGTGGTATTAGAAATATAATCTATTCACTGCATGCTTTAAGTTCAAGTAGGGGAATAGCATATGTATATATGTTCACATTTATTAATTTCCACTTGCAGTGGGGAAGAAGATCCAGGATTACAGCTCTTGGACAATTACGATCCCACTCGACCATCGCGATTTAAAAATGCCCAGGAAATGAGAGATGCTTTTGTTGCTGCCTGCCAACGCGACGCTAAGCCCTTTGCAGAGAAGTGGCGATTGCCTGAAGATTTGGAAAGACTCAGACGACAGGATCATTGCAAGATGTTGAAGATAGCACTACGCGTGTATGCCAAGCAAAAAAATATACCGGTATGGAACCACGAAAACGATGGCGATATATATTTTGGCTCATCGTCAATCTCAAATTTCTAAATTCTATCTTGTTCGAGAAGTGTTAGTTTTGCCTAGGCTAACTGGGTGAAGTTAGAAATTTTGTTTGTGGGTTGGAAATTGGAAATGTTCTACATATCTGGACTAATATATCATTATGTTTATTTCAGCCTGCTGAGTTAGAGATTATGGAGCTGAAAGAATATACTCGTTTTCGTGAACATGGGAAAGTTTATGGACACTACAACTTTGTGGTGAAAGATTCAGATGGCACTCTTACATTGTTCTTTGCTGAGGTGGATATCAACTGCAAAGAGGAGAAGGATGTTTTTCTGTGCTGTCCTTTGGAAGCGAATGACAATGGTACGAATATAAGAAGATTTATTTCTCTTTTTTGTGAACACATGGCAAGATAATTTTCTTTCGTTTGGTTTAAATTTGTACTGATAACTCTTGTTCTTTTCCTTTTTTTGTGAACACATGGCAAGATAATTTTCTCGTTTGGTTTATATAGACGCTGTTTACAACGTTCCCATGCACTTGTACACCACGTCGGGCTTTTTTTTGAACGGAGCATCGGGCTTGAATATAATCCTGATCGGATATACTCCGACGGAAACATTCTTAAACGGGAGAATGTAATGAGGGTGAAATAATCCATTCTTTCCGAGGAAAATATCAGACAACGGGTCCTCCTCCGCTCCCGATTGATTCTCCGGCGCCGCTCGATTCGATCCGTTCGCCGCCGGTCGTCGTTCCCAGGGATCGGAAGCCCGTTGTCCGTTCAAGTGTAAGACCGCCAGCGCTCCACTACCTCGCCGACGCGATCGACCGCCTCAACTCGCCCTCGCGCGGTTTGTTTTTTATTTGCCTTCTGTGAAGGAACGAGCAATCTCAATCTCGATGGATATCAGGTATGGGAAGGAAATGAAGAGGGAGAAGGAATATTCTATTATTTTATTTTAGATATCCCACACAAAAAAAATGACTTTTTATTTTATCAATGACTTGGTAATTACTCGGACGAGCATACGGCTCGGGCGATCGATCCGTTTGGAGTAAAATCAGGCTGACGTCAGCGCCCGATTTACGTATAAAACTATTTTAAACTGATTTTTCTTCTAAATTACTTATCCAAATCATGATTCGATTGCACCATTAAATTCATTGCAATTAAATCTTTAAAACAAGACCACACATGGATATATTCCAACAAAAAAAAAAGCTTATTATTAAATTATTTTTAAATGTTGCAAGATGTTCCACCATGTATATCAGAATTGTTTCACTAAGTAGATCGAAAATGTTTCACTCGTTTAAATCGGGTGTTGTTTCACCTTATATAAAAACAATGTTTCAGTAAATAGCGAAAGAATGTTGCAGTTCACTGCAACATTAGATTTATACATAGTGAAACATTTTTCCGTGGAACAAAAAAATAAACCAAATTCTTTTAATAGAGGGTTTTAAAATATGTGGGTTTTTTTGTTGCAATGGAATGTTTCGTTCACTGCAACATTAGATCTATACATAGTGAAATATTACGAGTACAATAGGTGAAACATTTTTGGTGGAACAAAAAATAAATCAAATTCCTTTAATAGAGAGTTTCCAAAATATGTGAGTTTTTTTTTGCAAAATAATATTTTAATTCACTGCAACATTAGATTTATAAATAGTGAAACATTATAAGTACATTAGGTAAAATATCTTTCGTGGAAAAAAGGGAGGTAGAAGTGGGTGGGCCCAACACGGAGGGAGGGTGCGCAGGGGGAGCGCCCGATCCGGCTCCCCCGCGCCAGTCGTCCGAGGTAAAGTATTTTCGTAATTACTCTCTACGTTTTATGTTACAAGACGTTTTGATTTTGGTTAAAGTCAAACTGATTGAAGTTTAACAGAAAAAAGTAATAATATTTTCAACAAATTTATTATGAAAATATATTTAATTATTTATTTGATAAAATTAATCTAATATTATAAATATTTTATTATTTTTTCTATAAACTTGATCCAAATTTAAAAGCAGTTTAACTTTAACCGGAGCAGTAACAATCAGGGCGTGAAACCTGATCGGAATCTCGGATACGCTCGCAGCTCACTACGTATATTCCGGACACGCTCGCCGGAGGCTGAAATAAATCGACACCTTTCTCTCTCCCCCCGATTTCCCTCGCCGCTGCTCGATTTGATCCGTTCGCCGGCCGCCGGCCGCCGTTCCCTCGGTCGGCGTTCGTTGCGCGTTGAGGCGGAAGCTATGTATTCCCCCAAATTCCAAGCGACGGCAACCCCGACGACGACGCCGAGGGAGCCCTAGCTACACGCCCTCACCGCCGGCCATCAACCGCCTCCTCCGCTGCTACTTCCCTCGCCGTGTTCGCCGTCGCCAAGTTGATCGACCGCGTCACCTCCACCGCTCTTGTCGATCCCCGACTCGCCCTCGCCCTCGCCCTCGCGATCTGCCAGCGGATTCAGGTGAGCGCCCTCTTCTTCCTCTCGTGTGAATGTGTCCTTGGAGTGATTGATATCTCTTCTCGGTGGACTGTAAATATATATACATACTGACCTGCTTGCGTTTTGTGAAGGAACGATCAGTCACGGTGTATGTGACCCTCGATTCATCATGCCGTCGCAAGCACTGTGATTTCAGGTATGCGACCATTTTTATTTTTCTTTTTGTTTCGAGAACACGCACAAGGCTTGCGTATCTTTGTATTACTTCATTCGTTTCATATTATAAGATTTTCTAGCATTGCCCACATATATATATATATATATATAGATTCATTAATATCTATATAAACATGAACAATGCTAAAAAGTCTTATAATATAAAACAGAAGGAGTATAAAATTGAGAAATAATTACATCCAGCTAGTTACAACACGAGGCAAGGCGAAACAAAGTTGTTGACAAAAGGTTTATATCTCGCGGCATAGTTTGTGCGACCCTATTAGAACCCAGAATCTTAATTCGTCGTTGGGTTAAATAATCTGATGCTCTATGGTCTGTGCTACCTGTAAGGCTGTAACCATAGGTTCCTGATGAGATGAGATTTATTAGATCTACCTCCACCCCCTTGTCAGTTTTAAACGAAATTAGAGAGGCAACTAGAATATTTTTTTTCTTTTTAGTTATAGATGGACATAGACTGACAAGTGCTTCCCCTGAACAAACCTTCCACAGAATGGATGCCAGGAAATTCCTAAAAAATCCCTATACAAAAAATTCCTATTTGAAGCCCACCTCACATGCATCAATGTTGACACTAGGATTTCAACCATAGTGAGTGGAGTCATACACCCACAACTCTACTACTACACCAAAGGATAAACTACTACTACACCGAAGGAGTTTAACCTTCAAGATAGGGATAGCTAGACAGTGATGGAAGCAGTGGGTATTCCCTTTATAATCGGGAATACCCAAAAATTTCACAAAAGAACTTAATATATGTAGGTATTTACATGTATATATACTCGATTGTCTAATATTTTTTCTCAACAAATATACTCCTGCACTCCTAGCTCACAACACTTAGTTAGTCAACTGCTTCAAATCTTCTAACCCTAGTCCACCAAACATCAGGCACAAGATGCTTGCAATTGTTTGAGTGAATACCTGACCAATAAATCCTGCGTCCGCCACTGTAGATAGACATGGATTGAAGGCTTTCCTCACGCAGGGACTGATGCTTATTCAAAAGTATAACTTAGATAATTGTAGACATGAGGCCTATGCAATAATGCAAGGTGATAAAAATATTGGTTAGTCAAAGTCTTATTGAGCTTAGGGTGGTAGTTTCCCCGTTGAGGCTGGTGCAGACCCCAGTTTTGCACCCGGTGATCTATCGGAGCAGCGCGGGTATGCAATTTGACCCGCAGGTAGGGAAGGGCATTCGGTGACACCAAGCAATTCAGTCTCGGTCTAATTATTGTGAGTAAGATGAAATTGAGCCAATCATTTTTTTAACTGGTGTTCCAAAACAACAAATTAGATAAATGAATAGGCCTAGCCTTAGAAATATATTATATTCACAGCCTGCTTAGTTGATTTTAGAAGCAAGAACCACCTTAAAGGTTTATGGAAATATAATCGATGCTCACTATATCATTCGAGTCATGAGATTTTCACATGCATTTTGGGGATGATTATGCTTTCATATCTTTTCACATGCAGTGAAGGTGATTTTGCGGGACTACAGATAGAGGATGATCCCACTCCTAGACTACTTAGTCGATATATATCTGACACGGGACTGTATGTTACTTTAATGGCTACTTACAAGAGCGGTGTGTTCCCCTCGTCATACGAGATTTTATTTCCTGAACAAGAAGAGGAGGCATGCAAGATGGTGGAAATAGCACTGCACGCATATGCCAAGCAAAAAGATATGCCGGTATGGATCCACGAAAATAACATTGATGATACATTTTGGCTAGACATCCTCGAATTTCTGAATTTGTACTTTTATATCTGTATAAGTTTTAGTTTTGCCTAGGCTGGGTAAGAGTTGGAATATTTGTTTGTGGATTGGAAGTTGGAAATGAATTTACCTATCTGGACTAATATCATTATGTTTCAGCCTGCCAAGTTAGAAATTATGAAAGTGAAAGAAAGGAGTCTTTTTGAAGAATGTGGGAAAGTATATGCACACTTTAACTTTCTGGTGATCAATGATTCAGATGGCACTCGTACTTTGTTCTTTGCTGAGGTGGATTTTCTCAACTGCAAAGAGGAGAAGGACGTCTACCTGTGCTGTCCTTTGGAAGAGAATGACAATGGTAAATAAGATTTCTCTTTTTGTGAAAAATTGTAGTTTTCATTCATCTTGTTTAATTAAATATGTACTAATATTAACTTATTTTCTTTTTCTTTTTATATAAGGTTATTGTTTTGGGTGCCGAGTGCAGCATATAAAACTTAGGCGTCCTACTTCTGCTGACTATTTGGGTGGCCACAAGGATATCTGTTCTGAATATATAGATGTAGAGTATTGTTTTGATGACTATTGACTAATATTAATGTACCTACTTATAACAGATTAGTTTCAGAATCACCCGCAAGTAGAAAGGTTGTGTTGCTGAACGTTTTCTCGGATGGGCTTTAGCAAAGCGGCATGTAATTTATGTTCTGTGTAGGTTCTACTCTGGAACGGTGCTACAATATTGTGATGTACACTGTATGCTTTTGTATAACAATTAATAACTCATTAATTAACTTATAGTACTATAAATCATAGGTCGATTTCTAATAGTTGCCGCGAGTACCAGAGCATCCAGGTGTGGACGCCAAATGTCCAGACCTGGACGCTATATTCAACGATGTACAATATAGCATCTGGTTCGATACGAAGAAAAGCAAACAGCATAGTTAAAAAAAAAAGCTATTGCGGTAAATTATGTTGGTTGTTAATCAGTTTTTAATTTTTTAGAAATAAAATTATTATGGGACGGAGGTAGTATAGAACGTTCCCACGAGACGCATTCTCTACGTCACGTCTGACTATAAATCCTGGTTTATACTAAGGTCATATTTATTTCAGCTTAGGATTATTATAATCTGAAACAAACAAGTAGATTATAATTATAAACTATAAGCCATATTACTATAATCTGGTAATCTCCTCTAATGTGTTTTTTTTCATATTATTGGATAGCTAAAGCCCCACTACCCTTAAAAGTTTTATGCAAATTACCCAACATTGTCATCGAACCCAACAGATCGGCCACAACGCATTTGCTTTCTCTCTTCCTAGTCGTGCACGAATTCGGCGTCTCCCCCGGCCGCGCGTGCATCCGCTTTCTCTCTCCCTAGTCACGTGTGAATCCTTCCCCAAGCCCGCACCCAGCGCGTGGATCCTTCCCTCAAACCCTAACCTTGCGCGTGAATCCTTCTCCAAGCCCCCACCAATGCCCTGGCTCCTTCCCCAGGTCGTCGCCGTCTCATCCTCCACCTATTCCACAATAGCTGAGAGCATTAGAGCATTCACAATGTGCATATAAAGTGGGTGGTAAGAAATAAAATACTACTACTGCCCGGTTGTATACACTGTGGGAGTAGTAAGCAACAAATACCAGGTAATATGCTTACTACCTAGCCATAAGAAATAAACAAATAATTTCTCTCCTCCCTCTCTCATGTCTAGTGGTTGTGGGACCCAGCTTACCACCCACTTTTGTTCATTTAATATTGTAGCTACAACAATAACTAATACCCACTGAAACAAGACCTACCATTATTCACAAAGTAGGTATTTCCTCCGTTTCACAATGTAAATCATTTTAGCATTTTCCACATTCATATCGATGTTAATGAATCTAAACATATATATCTATCTAGATTCATTAACATCGATATGAATGTGGGAAATGATAGAATGACTTACATTGGGTAACGGAGAAAGTAGTAAACATTGGTGATGCCCTTATAGACATTAGCTTTTTAAACCTAATAATCCAGAGAAACAAATAACTCATGACTTATTCTACTATAGCTTATCCAAGGGATCCCCTTAGTTCATCGATCGCCTTCTCAGGCCTGTATCTAGGATGCAGGTCGTTGGTCTGACCGCTTCCGAAGTAACGATTGCTTTGTGGTCTCCATCTGGAAGGCTATTTTCTCGCTTCCGCTGCATTTGCTGAAACTTAGTCTGTGCCCGTTTTTGGGTCTTCTTCTTCTTTTGCTGCCTGTTGTGGTTTTTTTTTTCTGGGGCGCCTGTGCCCCTTTCTTTGTTTTCAGCTCTTGTACAGTATTTGGTTTTGGTTAATCTTATTCAGGTGGGGAGTCTTTCCCCCGTGAGCGTTCAAAAAAGGAAGGTCTAGTTTATAGTAATTTGATTCGATAATCAGATTATTACAAGAATCTTAAGTCGAAACCGACTTAAATGAGGGGAAAGTCAGGAGGCTGAAATAACCCTTGTTCCGGACGAGGTAAATATCAAACAGTTTGGGGGACACGCAACTCCTCGGCGCGGCGCCGCTCGATTCGTTCCAGCCCTCCACCACCTCCGCTGCTGCTGCTCATCCCCTCGCGATCTCCGCTCTTGATTCCCAACTCGCGATCTGCGCGCGATTTCAGTTTAGGGCTGATTTTGTTTGCCTTTTGTGAAGGAACGAGCAATCTCGATCGATCTCGATGTATATCAGGTATGTATGTGGCCTACTTCGATCGATTTTAGGTTAAAGATTGCATTGCACGCTTCCGGGATTGGTGGGTGGAGTAAAACAATTATGAATATGATGCTTGGGAGAAACATATGCAATAGAGAAAGATGCAAATAATTTGTAGGATGCGTCCAAGGGAGTATATCCATTATACAGCTTTGTGCTTTTCACTTGAAGCTATTTTTACATTCGAAAGTATATCTATTATATACAGCTTTGTGGTTTTCACTTAAAGCTATTCTATTCTTTTAGCTATTTGTTTGCTTCTCCTTTAATAATACATGTGAATTCTTCCACTGGTTCCTCATAAGAGAGGGAGAGAGATTCATGACCCCCTTTGAATTATTTGCAAAGAAAACAAATAAGGTTTCGCTAGAATATATGGACCAAAACAACAAATCTGCAAAATGAATAGCCTAGTGTTAGAAACATAATCTATTCACTACCTGATTTTGTTTAATAGCAGCAAGAACACCACCCTTAGATTATGTTTTCATATTTTCACATGCAGTGAGGACGAATTCAACAAACTACGTGATGCTTTTGTTGCTGCATCCAAACGCCATATGAGGCCACTCACGTTGCCTAAAGAGATGGAAGTACTCAAAGGGAAGCGTGATGTCAAGATCGCGAAAATAGCACTGCACGCTTATGCTAAGCAAAACAATATTCCGGTATGGAGCCACAAAAATAATGATGATACATTTTGGCTAGTCAACCTCATAAATTACTAATTCAGCGGTATTTTGTAAGTGTTAGGCGAAAGTTGGCAAAGTTTGAATGTTCGTTTGTGGATTGGAAGTTGGAAATGCAATTTACACATCTGGACTGATCTCATTTATGTTGCAGGCTGCTGAGTTAGAATTTGTGGAATTGAAAGGAAGCAGTTTTTTTCATGAAGGTAGGAAAGAATACCGACACTACAACTTTTTGGTGAAATGTTCAGATGGCACAACTACTTTGTTCTTTGCTGAGACATGTCCCTGCTGCAAAGAGGACAGTGGCATTTACCTGTGCTGCCCTTTGGAAGAGAATGACAATGGTAGCATCTATGCTTTTTTGTGAAAACATGGCAGGATAATTATATTCTCTTTCGTCGTCTTCTTTTTTTCTTCATAAGACATGCACTAATGCCTTCTCCTTTTCCCCCTTTTTCAGGTAAATGCTTTGGTTGCCAAAAGTGTGGCGTGGAACTTAGGCATCCCACTTTTGCTGACTATTTCGGTGGCCATAGGGATATCTGTATTATATTCTCAGATATAGATGATGAAGTTGCATGTTATATTTAAGGCATCCAGGATATCTGTGCTGCAGACCGCTTATATTTAAGGCTGTGTTTAGTTTACGCCAAAATTAAAAGTTTGGTTAAAATTGGAACGATGTGACGGAAAAGTTGGAAGTTTGTGTGTAGGAAAATTTTGATGTGATGAAAAAGTTAGAAGTTTGAAGAAAAACTTTGGATCTAAACACGGTCTAAATAAAGGGGCTGCAACTCCACAGGACTTGGGCTGTGTTCGCCATTTATGGTTGCCAGCCGGAACAGTATCCACGGAAAACGGAGCGGTCCATTAACGCGTGATTAATTAAGTATTACTGTAGCTATTTTTTTTCAAAAATGGATTAATTTGATTTTTTAAGCAACTTTCGTATAGAAACTTTTTACAAAAAACGCACCCGTTTAACAGTTTGAAAAACGTGTTCGCGGAAAACGAGATAGGTGGGTTAGAAAAAGGGGTTGCGAACACACCCTTGGTCCATTCATTTTATACTCGTTAAATTTATGTTATAGTATTATGTACTAGTTCTGTTATGGAGGCTATACTGTGCCATATGTGATGAACACAGTAGGGGACCTTATCCACCTGTATTTTTAAGTTCATAGTAAAATGTCCATGTGTTGCAAGTGCAAAGAGCGAATGTAATTCTAATTACGGGAATGTAAGGGGATGGCATTCGTTCCGAGCGGTGGAACTGGAACCTACGGGATGTGACTAGCTCTCCACCATGTATGAGCGACAAGGGCGAGCCACCCCCTGGCGTGCCTCGTCCGACCAATTCGACCGGATGCACCCATTCAGTATCTAAATAGAATGTTCTCTATCTGGTGATCATATGCTACCCTTGCGCTTCAACCAAACACCTAAAAAAATGAGTGGACAACTTCTACCAAACACCTAAAAAAAATGAGCGGACAACTCCTATCAAGACAAATCCGAAGTTTAAAACGGGAAGTCTATTACCATATGATTAATTAATTAAGTCTTAATTATTACAAACTTGACAATAGATATATTTGATATTTTAAAACAACTGTATATATAAAATTTATACATAAATCGTACCGTTCAGTAGTTGAAAAAACATGCTAACTAAAGATAAAATCTGTATCTTACCGAGAAAGGTAAAATCTGTATCTTACCAAAAGGTGTAGTAATCCTGATCGGATACACTTGAAGGAAACCTACTCAAATGTGGGGGAAAATCAGGCAGGAGGCTGAAATAAATACTTCTTCCGAGGAAAATATCCGTCACTCCTCCGCCCGATTCGATCCCCTCCTCGCCCTGCCGTTCTCCGTCCAAAGTGTAAGCGACCGAGCCCTAGCACTGCACGCCCTCGCCGCCACATCCGCTGCTGCTGCTGCTGATCCCCTCGCGCCAACGCGATTGCCCGCCCCAAACGAGTTGTTGATCCCCAACTCGCCCGGAGCCGCGGACTATATCTATCTCTGCATTGCAGACTGCCAACACTTACTGATTGGGTTTTTTTTTTTCGTTTTGTGAAGGAACAAGCAATCTTGATGGATTTGAACTCGGTGCCGGGCAGCGATTCGGATACTTCTATCCCAAAAATTGATGATGACAGGTATGTGGCCTCCTTCAATTTTAGCTTAAAGATTGCAGGCTCTACGCAGCTGTGCTCGCTGTAACCTGGTCCATGATGAGATTAAAGAGGCACCCAATTTTGTTTGTTACACGGAATAGGCGAACTCACACACCCTGACGAGTTTCATACCCTTAGCAAACGTTCTAGGCTTTCTAGCATTCAGATTCTTGGAAAATTCCATAATATTAAAATATTCAATAGCTTATTGAAGCGCGCACTGTGCGTGCATAAATATTTGTACAGGATTTGGATTTGAACCACAGTGGCTAGAGTAAAACACTGAAAGATGGAAAGACTGTGCACGCTCCAAACATGTGAAACCATAATTATTTTAGAACTTTGTGGCATTCGCTGAAATCTGATTTTTCTTTCCCTGCCTTTGTTTGCTTCTTCTTTAATGATATATATGAGTAGTTCTACTATTTCCTCGATAAAAACTAGGACCATAAGCTTCCTTGAATTCCTAAAAGGAAAAAAGTTAAGGTTTTTGCTCGATGTGTAACTAGCCAATTCCTCCTTAGCTTGAATTCCATCTTTCAATTGGTAAGCTAAGCCAAGTTTTTATTGTGTACCAAAACAACAAAATAGTTAAATGAACAGGCCTAGTATTAGAAATATAATCTATTCACTGCATGCTTTAGTTGAAGTAGGAGAATAGCAAGCTATAGGAATGCTTCTGTTTACATTTATTTATATCCACTTGCAGTGGGGGAGAATATGTGGGATTACAGCCCCTGGACAATCGTGATTCCACTCGATCATCGCCATATAAAAATGACCAGGAACTGGCCGATGCTTTTATTGCTGCCTGCGAACGCTATGCTAAGCCCTTCGCAGAGAAGTGGCGATTGCCTGAAGATTTGGAAAAACGCAAACGACAGGATGAATGCAAGATGTTGAAAATACCACTACGCATGTATGCCAAGCAAAAAAATATGCCGGTATGGAACCACGAAATTAATGGCGATATATTTTGGTTCGATCATCAATCCAAAATTTCTAAATCTGTCTTGTTCTAGAAGTGTTAGTTTTGCCTAGGCTAATTGGGCAAAGTTGAAAATTTTTTTTATGGGTTGGGAGTTGGAAATGATTTACATATCTGGACTAATATCATTATGTTTATTTCAGCCTGCCGAGTTAGAGATTATGGAACTGAAAGAATATACTCTTTTTGATGAACATGGGAAAGTATATGCACACTACAACTTTGTGGTGAAAGATTCAGATGGCACTCTTACATTGTTCTTTGCTGAGGTGGATCTCAACTGTTTCTCTCTTTTGTGAACACATGACATGATAATTTTCTTTCGTTGGTTTAAATATGTACTAATAACTCTTCTTCTTTTCCTTTTTAAAGTTCATTGTTTTGGGTGCCAAGTTTGGGAGTTGGAACTTAGGCATCCCACTTGTGCTCAATATTTGGGTGGCCACAGTGATGTCTGCTTTCCATACGTAGGTCTAGATGATGAATATGAATATTTTATGTAATGGATCTATTATTACAAGTTCCTTGATGGTAGTTTCAGCCTTTCAGGGAAAAAAAACACATGAGACATTCACATCCCAAGACCATCGCTGCCTTTTATTTTCCATCTGTTTTTCTTTTTAAGGGATTCTACTCGTAGTGGTCGTGCTATGTGTTGAAAACAGACAGATATGAGATATTAATACCACTAGGAGTATGAGTGAATGAACTTCAAAAATCGATTAGGTACTGCCTTTGTTCCATAAAAAATCAGCCTATGTTCAGATTCGAAATATTAGGATATGTCACATCCAGTATTAGCTTAGTTTTCTATGAGGTCGAAGGGAGTAGCTGGCTGCTACATTGACCGACGGCGCCTGCCTCACCAAGGCGGTGGCAAGGGCTGCAGAGCGGACCACGGTCGACAGCGAGACGTTTATATTGACGCTCATTTTTATGATACTAGGTGATTCCTCACGCTTCGCTACGAGAATTCTCAATATATTTTGTTAGTAAAACATCAGGGTTTATTAGTACTTATCATGAAGTATATGTTAAATATTATAAAAATAATAGATATATTTGTTAAAATATTGTGCAAATGATGTGAGTGTGGTTATTGGATATGCTTGCATATTGATTTATGGAATTAAATAAATTGTAGATAATGTTATATGCTTACATGAGATTATATATATATATATATATATATATATATATATATATATATATATATATATATATATATATATATATATATATATATTGCTAATAGATGATGATGTGGCATGGTTGCATGTTGAGATTTAGAATTAGTGGGCTGTAACTTTATAGAAAGTATAGATATCGGTTCAGTGATCCAGTGACTCAGTTTTAAGATGTACTGGCAAAAATGCTCATGCGTTGCAACAGGTAAAAATAATTTATCTATTTTCATTATAATGATTTTTACTATTAACTTGTTAGATCATAGCAAGCTCAAATATAATAATAGTATAAATTGACTGAATATGGTGGTTTTTGCGTGGGGAAGCGATGCGGGTGAGAAAAAAAATGTGTCCTAAGCGCACTCAGTTGCGTTCTTGTGCACGCACGATGCTTTATTAAGTTGGACTCGGACGACCGCGTTATCATGCACACATGACACGCCTATTTTCTAGTAGATAAAAAAAACCAGCCTCTACATTAATAAGTGGATATACACTGTTTTCAAATGAAAAAGTTGTTTTTGACAACGCACCCCTAAACCACGTCCAACGTGAATGATGATAGGATACACTCTACCGAAGTACCTACGGAGTACTCTTACATCTAAAAAGTATAAAACCTTTTATTTTATCATCAAAATTAAGGAGGAATTAACTCATCCACCATTTAACAAAACCAATAAACTATATGTATGCATGCAACCAATGAATTATGATGGCTTCTAGGGTTTAGATTAACAATTAATTTAGTACATAAAAACTACAAATATGATCAATTTTTTTTAGAAAAAAATATGCTTAACACTTGTTTGATGATGGGAGTACATTTTAAAAAGGCTGAAATAATCCTTCTCCGGACACTAAGAAAAGATTAGGCCATTGGGGACATTCGTTCGTCGGTTTTGTTGGAGTTTCACCAATCGTCCGGAGAGCTAGGCCCAATACCTAGACAACCGAGGCCCAGTATGCCCTTACCGGCCCTCCACCTACACTGCTGCATCTTTTTCCTTGGGAGCCTCTGCGCGTGCTCTTATTCAGACAAAAAAGGAAAATCCGGCAAAATGATGAATGAAGAAACTAACCATACGAACGTTAAGTAGTAATATACCCATTTCTAATACATGATGTCGTTGATTTTTGACACATGTTTAATCATCATGTTATTCAAAGAATTATGTAATTATCATTTATTTTCTTATGAGTTATTTTATGACTAAAAACTACTTTAAGTATGATTTATATTTTATGTATTTGCGCAAAAAAAATTAATAAGACAAATGGAGTGGTCAAAGGTATGTTCAAAATTCCACGACGTCATCTATTGAAAAACAATAGGAGTATTTATATAGTTCATGGATTTTTTTCCCAATCATTGTTTGTTCTCAAATTAATGAATTACAGAGTCTACGGTCTAATTCCCGTGGATCGGTAATTTCGGTGCCTCAACGTGGCTGGCCACGGTCATTTCTTTCTTTTGCTAGAAAATGAATTAATTACACCATTTACACTCTTTCATCTCAACATGCTGTTCCTAGCTATTACGGTATCAAAATAGAAAAATAGATGAGTTTCCTTACTAATATAGCGTAGATCGTAGAAAAAGGCTTAAATATGACGCAATCAAAGTAGAAATAGATATGGGTCCAACTGTCTGAGGCTAGCTAGCGAAGGTGTTCTGTCACGATTCCCTGTTATTATCAAATCAGGTCATAGCTAGGTCCACGGTACAATGCTTTACTATGACGCTTTATACTAGTTTTGTGTGCCTGTTTGCAACAATTTTCTCTCCAAAATTTATAAACACGACGATGGTAGATGTGTTTCGTCGTACACGTACACATTGATCCCGTATGCTATTTATACATTGATTGTCTTCACACGAAAAGAAAGAAAGAAATTAATTCAAAAGATTTTGATATCGATGATGTTCTTGCCTTCTTGGCCCTGGATTTGGACCCCTCCGAAAAATTGAAGTAGATCGATCAAATTGCAACGTGATCGCATCCCGAGCTTGCCATTGCCATAGGAGGCCTTAATTGGTCAGCAAACAACTAGGCCTATTCTACTTTGTTGGATTATTACCGTAGATTATTTAGCCCATTTTTTCAAAATATATTTTCTCTAAAAAAAGTTGTTTCAAATGTGTTGTTTAGACCAATTATTCTAACCTATTTATTGAGTTTATTTTTAAATACTTAATTTATCTATATTATCAGATAGATATTAGTTGTAATAATCTATGGATTATACTCCCTGCGGTTCTATTATAAGTTTTTCTTTACCTTTTTTCTGGTTAATTTTTTAATCTAACCAAATTTATAGAAAAATTTATCAACATCTAAAACACCAAATTAATTTCATGAAATCTAGCATTGAATATATTTTCATAATATATTTGTTTTATATTGAAAATGTATTATTAATTTGATTAAAAAATTAAAACAACTTATAACAAGAATCAGAGTGACTGGTATCTTTTTTAAATCGGCCATACATATAGTAGCAGTAGATGCTGCTGATAGTCAATATATTCCTTCCATCCCATCTCTCCCCTTCTACTACAGCGAATCAGGCATTTAACAAAGAAACTCACTGTCTCACCAACCCACACCACCCACGGGCCCACACCCCAGATCACAGCTCACAACTGATCCGATTTATATTCGTTATGCCTTAATGCATTGTTGACGACCCTACGCTCTTGTCATTGTGTGACCTGTGCTCGGCAAAATGCGTACATGCAGCCGGTCAGAAACTTATGATAAAAAGACAGGGACAGACAGAGACGCTAGCTCTACTCAACGCCAAGATTACGGTATCGCATCACTTCAGTATAGTATAGTGCTGACAGCTAGCGATCGACCATACTGCATGAACACATAGTATATTGCAAGCTAAGCACACAAAAGCACTGTCAGTATTATAATTACTCGGTACTACGCTTTGCTTTAACAATCGTTTTATTAGGATCTTACCGAACCTGATGACTATGCGTCTAAGCCATTGCGTTTCACGGCCCCCATTTAACAAAGACGGATGAGACATAAAGGCAGGGGAGAAAGGACCAGGGGGATTCAACGAACAGATGAATTAATAGGAGTTCATAGGCTGGGGTTCATCAGATTTAACAGGAGTGTGTAGGCTTCGCCCTGAATGTGACCACCATGCACGAGCCCCTGTCGACACTTGTTGTAAGCCAGCACGACGATTCTTTGCTTTGCAGATTGATCACAAGAAAGAAGTGATCATTATACAAAGAGTGCCATCATCTTAAAGTTTTGTTGTACCTGGAGATAGTGGCAATGTGGCATCAATAGCCACTCAGCCTACCTCTTTTGTAATCAGGATCTTCAGATGGCAAACCACATCCTCCTCGGCTGTGTGTTCGCTCGACAGGTCTGGCACTGTGTGCTGTCACCTCCTGGTTAGGCTTACCCTCTCTCCCCCCTGACAGCTGGCTTCAGGTCTGGTGTACATCTTCTAGGGCCTGCTTACCTGAGCATATTCGCGCCGGCTTCGACTCCTTGGTCCTCCTGGTCTCTTAGCAGTTGTGGAAGGAACATAACTTCAGGGTTTTTGACTCTGCGCTCTCTTCGGTCTCAGTTGTTATGGTGTCCATCCTCTCGGAGGGTCATCTATGGTTTTTAGCTAGCATTGTTATTTTTGGCGTTTCTTGGGAATGTAGTATGGCTCTGCTCCCTTCGTGCTAATCGGAGTTACGTTTAGCCACAGTAGTAGTTTTTCTCTTTTTCTAGCTGCAATTTTTGTTTTGCTTTTTCTCTCTTCCCCTGGCAAAAGCCTGTCTGGCTAATTACATTGTGGAACAACTATTTTCCTTCTATTGACGTGCAATCTTTTTGCATGTTCGTGAAAAAGGATAGTGCATGTATTTTTTTTTTTATTATCGTTTTCTGTATGATTGAAAACCACATGATGGGGAAAATGAAGGAATTATAGGATTGTGCATGCAAAAGATATCATGTATTATAAACGTTGGAAGAAAGGAGGGTTTTGATATAGCTAATTTGCTCAAGTTTTTGCTATTTAATTGGATTCGGAGCCATGTAGCTTAGACTTCTGAAAGGAAGAGAAAAGAGGTACGGGCAAATAGTTAAATAGCTTATTGACTTGTGATAATTATTCAACAGTACAAATAAATGAGTTAATTATAAAGTTCAAAACGGATTTAAAACCATTTCTTAAGAAATTCATATAAAGTTTTCACAGAATTGTAAAGTTTAGGAGCTCAAGAAGCATGTGTAATTGCATTCATCCATTCATTCGTTAAGCAGAAGAGAAATCCTGTGTAGGAAAAAAATTACACTATTTTTCCTTTGCTCGATCGTCCTCCCATACAGGGTTGTATCAAAATTTCCCAAGGACAAATAGTAGCGTATCGTAAGCAACACAAATAATTCTCACTTTTCCTGAAAGAAATACTGTACCAAGAAAAGTTGGCAGATGACTGTACAGGACTCAATGAGAGATTGTCGAAAACAGTTTTGCAAAGGTGTTGTCTCATCCAGAGTGTGTTTCCATGATCAGCCAAGCTACAGCATACTTTAAAGTCGAAACCTCGATCCAGGCAGGCATGATGCCCCGCTCACAATCGAATCCAATGATACACAAAGAAGCCCCTTTTCTTCTGGGACAAGAATTTATCGAGTGGTGCATGGGGACGAGATGGTCATAATTTAGAGAGACTTATCAATTGATGAAGGGCAGACAGCTATGATGTTGTCTACTACTATCTGCTACATGCTCACAGATTATGCCTGGCCTAGATTTTCATGTAGTATGATGTGATTCTTCTAACAAAAATATTTTGGAGGTACCCATTATAAATCTAGGGTCTGAAATCTCTACAAAAGAACTAAAGAAATTCCTTCTTACAAGAACAATATTGGAGTGGACGGCCACAACTTGATTTCCTAAGTACACCCAACTTTGATTGGCAAAGATAGGGAATATCTCATGTAGCTGTAGGAGTAGTTTGCAGGTACAGTACAATGCCACCCAACCAACCAAAGTAATATCTTAATCAAATCACCACCAACATCAGTACAGTCTTTCCCTCTCTTAATATAAAACCAGCGGTAGATGGCTTAGGTTTCAAAAAGAAAAAAAATCACCACCAACACACACCTCAATACTGCATCGCATTGAGCTAACATATTATTGCTACTATTCAGTAGGAGAAATCTGATGGCTGATTTGGTCCCCAAAGTAGGAGTTAATAATTAATTAATTAACGGATTTGGTTACTACTATTTGGTTTGGTGGCGTACGTGAGGCCAACCAAACCGGAGGGAAGGTGATGACAAAAAGGCTCCGGTGATCCGTCAGGCCACCGCTGTCTCCGTGTCCTGCATCACACCTCACAAACACACGATCCATGTCACAACAGCAGCCTTCCGTGGAACGCAAGGGTAGTAGGAGTACTGTATTATTTAGGGTTAAGTCCCTACACTAACCTAAGCCCTGTTGGAATAGTGGATGGGAGTCGCTGACAGGTGGGGTCCAGGTTGCCTTTTGAATCGGATTCCAGGTGTAAAGCGAGGATAGAAAACTGCAGGATTTGGCCCACCAGATAGATCCCATCTAAACCACTAACTCCTGTCTGAGAGCTGAAATAAGTAATGCATCTTGCAAAAATTAGCTGTATATCAAACAAACTGATCTTGGAAGAGCATATTTTCTTAGCATACTGTTACTTTTTTACTCCTACCTGATTGTTTAACTTGTAGACTTATCTGGAATATTGTTAAGCACAAGGCAGAGTACACAACACTACACTGTGTATAGAACGTGTAGGCAGAAACAGATATTGCAAGTTCTTTTTTTCCTTAAAACTAGTGCTCTCTGAAAATCGGAGGTGAGGTATAGCATCTCTCTCTCGGATGGACAGGTAACAAACTATCAATCGCCCCTGCAGATTGTCGCTGGGCAATTAAAGTCTGTGTCGTATTGGGCATCTAGCAAAGTAGCACTCAATCGCCATCTCAATATTTGACATGTAACACGCGCTCCTCTTTTTGGCTTTTCCTCAGCAAGGGCCTTAGAAACAAAAATGTCAATATTATCCAAAGTTTTAAATCTCTGGCTATAGCTGCCGCTATAGCCGGAGATAGCTGCTGGGAACGGACGGAGCTAAGAGATGCAGTTTTTAGCGCTAAGAATAGCGGGACGCTAATAGCGCCATTTAGCCGGCAATAGCCGCTAAACTGGCCGTAATTTAGCGTAGCTAAATTGTAAAACACGGCCGGTCTGGCCCAAGAGGAAACCGGCCCAACTAGACCAGAGTCGAGAGGTGGGTAAAGTGCTGCAAACCCTAGCTCGTAAGCTCCCAGCAGCACACTATCCATTCCAACTTCGAAGCGCTCACTCTCCAGCTGCAAGAAAAGTGGAGGTGGCCGGCGGCGGCGGCGCAGAGGCGTCCGGCGGCGGCGGTGGCTTCAAGCGGATCGACCAACGCAGGTGGCTCGTGGAGGCGACCGGCGCCGGCTGCTGCTTCGAGCGGGCGTCCAACCAGCGGCGGCGGCTTTGAAGGCAGCTGAGCAGCGGCGCAAGTCCGACGAGGAGGTCCGTCAGTGCAACGTCTCCGAAGCACTGAAGCAGCAGCACCAAAGGTGACGGCATGGCACAACAATCCGGTCAGTTCTCACATCCTCCTCTCTTTTTTGCTTGTATGTTGCAGATCTTACAATATGTGAACAAGTTGTCCATATTTGTTACCTCTAATTTCAGATACTTGCCTTATGATGTAGATCTTACTATATGTGAATTATTTTCTTACTCCCTGAGATCTCTCGTTTGCTTGTTTCGCCTGTTTAGGTGGTAATGATAATACGTGCTATATCAGTTTGCATTATTTTGATGCTTAGGCAGCTTTGACGCTAGCATTAATGTGGGCTAAGTTTGCTTTTTGTATAGGTAATCCGTCCAGTGCTGCCTCTGTCTCAGTAGAAGCTGGACCAAAACAAGCTGGTATCAACTCAGATGATCCTGCATGGGCTCACTGTTTCTGCCCAGACATAACCAAGAAACATCACCTACGGTGCAAGTATTGTGACAAGGTCTGCACTGCTGGAATTACAAGAATTAAGTACCATCTTGCTGGAATTAAAGGTTTCAATACTACTAAGTGTCAGAAAGTTCCAAGTCCAGTGCAGCAAGAGATGTTTGATTTGCTTACCAAGAAGACTAGTAAAAAGGAACAGAAAAACAAAGAAAAGGAAGTGGCCAGAGCTGAAGTTGACATAGAAAATTCAGATTGTGAAAGTGGCAGTGAAGGTTCAGATCATGGCAATAATGTTCTTGTGGTGAAGCCAAAGGAGACAACAGGATCTAGTAGCTCTAGATCTGTAGCAGGTGGTCATACTATTGACAAGTACTACAAGCCTCCTTCTATAGAAGAATCTGCCAGTATGACACAAAGAGTAATTAAGCTAAGCAATAAGGTTCAAACAGCATTGACAACTCAGAAAAGAGAAGAGGAGGAATAGAACTTGTGAGTACATATGTCAGTGGTTCTATGAAGCTAGTATTCCACACAACACAGTAACCCTTCCTAGCTTTGCTCATATGTTAGAGGCCATTGGACAATTTGGTAGAAGTCTGAAAGGGCCTAGTCCCTATGAGATGAGTGGATCGTTCTTACAGAAAAGGAAGGAAAAGGTGATGGATGGATTCAAGGAGCACAAGGAATCATGGGAGCTCACAGGTTGTTCTATCATGACAGATGCATGGACAGATAGGAAGGGTAGGGGAGTGATGAATTTAGTTGTGCATAGTGCTCATGGGGTACTCTTCTTAGATTCAGTGGAATGCTCAGGTGACAGGAAAGATGGCAAATATATCTTTGAACTTGTGGACAGGTACATAGAAGAGATAGGGGAACAACATGTTGTCCAAGTGGTGACTGATAATGCTAGCGTCAACACAACTGCAGCAAGTCTATTGACAGCAAAAAGACCATCAATATTTTGGAATGGATGTGCTGCTCATTGCTTGGATCTCATGCTCGAGGATATTGGGAAGCTTGGACCAGTTGAGGAAACCATTGCTAATGCAAGACAAGTGACTGTTTTCTTGTATGCTCATACTAGGGTGTTGGATTTGATGAGAAAGTTTCTTAACAGAGACTTGGTTCGCTCTGGGGTTACACGATTTGCCACAGCTTATTTGAATCTAAAAAGCTTGTTAGACAACAAAAAAAGAGTTAGTAAGACTATTTAAATCAGATGAGATGGAGCAATTGGGTTACTTGAAGCAGGCCAAGGGGAAGAAAGCCAGCAAAGTGATCAGATCTGAAACCTTTTGGAAAAATGTTGACATTGCAGTTAATTACTTTGAGCCATTGGCTAACGTGTTGAGAAGAATGGACAGCGATGTACCATCAATGGGATTCTTCCATGGTTTAATGCTTGAGGCGAAGAAAGAAATTTCTCAGAGATTCGATAATGATAAGAGCCGCTTCATAGAAGTTTGGGATATCATTGATAAAAGATGGGACAACAAGCTCAAGACTCCACTACACCTGGCTGGGTACTATTTGAACCCCTACTACTACTACCCAAATAAGCAAGAGATCGAGAGTGATGGATCATTTAGAGCAGGTGTGATTTCCTGTATTGATAAGTTGGTTGATGATGAAGATATCCAAGACAAAATAATTGAAGAACTCAACTTGTATCAAGATCAGCATGGGAGTTTTGGACACGAAATTGCCGTAAGGCAGCGAAAGAACAAAAATTTCAATCCAGGTTCAGATCTCAACATGTGAACTTAATTTTATTGCTGAATATCATTTTTGTTGTAATTTGTGTAATGTTTATGCAACAAAATGGTGGCTGAACCATGGCACAAGCACACCAAATCTTAGGAAGTTGGCTGCAAGGATTTTGAGTTTGACCTGCAGCTCCTCAGCTTGTGAGAGGAACTGGTCAGTTTTTGAACAGGTAAAAAGAAATTTGTGACCTGTAGCTTTATGTGCATGCTGTCTATTTTGAATTATAATGCTTATTTATGGAATTTAGATCTGACCTGCAGCTTTGTGTTCACTACTTGGCTTATAGGTTCATACAAAGAAGCGCAACAGGCTACTTCATGAAAGGATGCGAGATCTGGTGTTTGTTAAATTTAACTCCAAGTTAAGAAATAAGAGAGAGAACAAGGGTAGAGATCCTATAGAGAAGGAAGTGGATGATGTTGTGGCAGATGGTGACAATGAATTCATTACTGGTGTTGTGCCTTCATCAAGTGAAATGGATCAACAATGTGCAAAAGAGTCAGCACCAGCTAAAAGGAAAAGGCCTGTGCACGCTAAGAAGAGGAAAGTCAGAAGCCTACAGTCTTTGATGCGCAATGCCCCAGTGCATCTTGAAGCTCCATCATCCGACTCAGAAGATTGTGATGATGGTATTCCAATGCAGACTTCTGATTCTGATAAGTCACCCTCTCCCTCTCCCTATGTCTCTGAGACCGATGATTGATGACTAGAAGAAATGAAGATTGCAATATTGCCTCATATTAGTAATTTAGTATCCACTATCCAGAATTCTTGATGACCTTTGTGTTGTACTGTTGTCTTTATTCCAGAATGTTGTACTTTTGTGAAACTGATGTTTCAGTATTCTGTTAACCACTTAGCTTGTGATGTAATGTACTCCTATGAACCTGTAATGTACTCATTTGAACTGGTTATGTATCAATTGGTAATGGTTATGAAGTTATGCCAAGATCATGTCTTTTATTTATTTATTTATTTGCAAAAACAGCTAAATGGCTTAGCTGCAGCTATCTCCAGCTATAGCTGTGCTTAGCTGTTGAGAAGGTCAGCAGCTAAGAGGCTTAGCCGGAGATTTAAAACTTTGATATTATCTCAAACCAATTTATTTATTTATTTTTCTTTTCAAAGGAAAGATTTCTATTGCCTAGTATTACACGATTCCATCCATGGTAGTGGTGTCAATCTTTTTCATCGGTGTGCCCCCACAGGATTCATTGTACTACTACTTACCATTAGTCCATTATTATTACCACAGGGATTAACCACACAGCCATTAATCAGAGTTAGGTCCAGCAATTGTAACTTGCTTGCAGCTATTGTCTACTGCCACTTTTTCTGCACTGGAAAGCGGTGGCGCACTTGCCGAAAGTCCATTCTACTTGAGAAATGGCATGTGGTGGGCTGCTGTGGTGCCGTAGCTAGCGTGCTGCGCTCATTCCACAAAGCAAAGCAAAGCGAAGGAAAACAAAGGGAAGAGAAGACTGAAGAAGAAGAGAGGGAGAGTAAAGCTGATAGCCTGATACTGACCAGGAATTGGATTAGGCTAGCTAACAGCGCAAGAAAAGCCTCCGATTCCTTTCGTCGTCGCCGGATTGCCGAAAGGATGGACAGCTCAAGGTTGCAGGTCCCAACGCCTGTTCACATGGTCAAGAACATGTTCTGAGTAATCTGTTGGCTCTTCTTGTATGTGACTTGCTGAGTGAGAGAGAGGAGAGGAGGGGAGAAAGAGAGGGCCGGTTGCTGGAGCTTCTCTTCATGATCTCTGCATTCCCAGGTAGGTTTTGCATGAAGCCCTGCTCTTGGATGTGCTTCTTGTTGGTTTTGTACTGTTAGGCTGTTTTGTCTCTGCTTTGTTTGGAACCCTTGAAAGTTTGGAGTTCTGTTTTAATCCATGAAGTGGGGAGTTTGATGAGCTCCCATGCTTGCGAAAGGGGGGAAACTTATGAAATATTATGCAACTAATTGTTTGGATTAGTTGGATTGGTTGTACAGAAATTTAACTGAAACTTTCGGTTTCTTTTTTCTTTTTTGACATCAGGTTTCTCTTTACCATGGTTCTGTATTGATTATTCAGTCAAGCATTCAGGGGTTCTCCCTAGTCCTTACCATGTTTTCTTTTAATTAATTGGATTGGTTTAACAGCTTGTACAAACGATTAGCTTTTTTAATATAAGAAAAACAAGAACAGTACATTGATACCTTGGATGGCAGGTTTCCATGGCCAGCCATCTCCCTTATGCTGCTGAACAAAGCACAGTTCTTCTGTTTTGGCTTCTCCAGAGATATTTGCCATTTTCCATCAATATATGTCCGGTTGCTGATCTTGATCTGCATGCAGTGTTTCTGAAATCCGGCTAGCGGTGAACTCCCTGATGAACTGAACAATCAATAGAAGATACAAGAAAAGTTATTTCCACTACAGAAAGAACGCTGATTATCTGAAATGGGAAGGCGAAGCCACAAGCGGTCCACTGAACAAGAGGAAAACAATGTAGGCTGCGTGTGGGGCCTCATGCGCATGCTTTATTTCCGGCGTGATGCAAAATTCTTATTGGATACAAAGCAAGTGAGCAGGAGGCATACGTTCCGGGAGCTGGCAGGTAATTTCTTCAGTAATCATAGTTGCTATGAAGTTGTAGTTTCTTATAGCAGTACGGAAAAAGCTACGTGTTTTGCTTCAAGTTTCTATTACTTCAAAAAATGCTGTCATTTGACCCAATGCTCACTATCTTTTCAATAAAAACAAGAAAAAAAATGCTAATGTTATCAAAATTTTGTTTGCGTGTACTTGGTTATTCTTGCTGGCTTCATTACTTAATTCAGGAGCCTGTGCAGCGTAGTTTCTTCATTCTCTGCATCACTTGTTGAAGTCATATAAGACCTATCAGTGCATCTGATTTACAGTCGAGAATTAGTCAATGGTGATTGCTACGATAGTTCAACTGAGTAACGCATAAATTTTCTATCCAATTTTTATGCTGTTGGATGATTATTCTGATGATGTACGCTGTATTTTTCAGACGGAAGGCATTCAGTTAAGAATTCCAGTGATTTTGTGGAAACAGATGATGATGATGATGTAAGTTACAAGAACTAAGCAAGTAACTGTCTCATGATCTGTTGTTGTTTTAACCATAAACACCAAAATCATCTTTGTTATCAATAGCAACACTGACACAATTTGGTATTGGACAGCATCTTGTTACAAAGCAACTCAATGGCTAGTTTGTATTACAACCAAATCATTGTTTTCAGTATACTGGATTATGCGTGCATCTGAAAGTCGCAACTTTCCTAAACATCATTTTACTTTTCTTCTTTTCAGAACAAAGAAGAATGCGCTTCACAGAAACGAACAGTCAAAAAACTTATGGAGGACGAATTGGGGAAAGTAAATCTTTTGAAAAAAATTCCAAGCAATGAGATTCAAAGAGGATTACCTGACTTGGGATATGATGTCTCCCTAGATGGAGGCTCAGAGCATACAAATAAACCAGTGGCAGCCTTAAATCAGCACACGGACATCTTCGCGTCTTATTTATCGGGATCAGTGTATTCTCAGGGTTCCAAGAGCTTGAATCATTCTGAAGAATATGATCTTGAATCTGTCTTGGCAAATTTTTTAGGTGAAATTTATAGGTGCCATGGTGAATGCCCGCATGGTGATTGCAAGAATAAGGGTGAATTGTGTCCTTCACTGAAGTCCTTAATCCATAACAAGCTCAATGATTTAAATAATCCCCATGCCACTCATGGTAATGAGCAATCTCCAGAGAGCAAGGGAGAAGGGCTACTGGGTGAGAATAGTCGTTCTAACAGCAGGGCAGCTCAATTCAAAGAATTCAAGGATGCGGTAGAAATACTGAGTTCAAACAATGAACTTTTCCTGAAGCTGCTTCAGAAGCCAAATTCACATATATTAGACAATATCCGAAAATACCAAAATAGCAGGTTAACAACCAAGTTAGAACCTGACAAAAGTCTTGGACGGTCTAGTATTCTTGAAGAGAAAAGGGGCTCAAATCATGAGTTGGCTACAAAAGCACAGGGTAAAGAGACCAAGCATGTGTTCTTCTGGAGAAAGGATAGGTCAGATAGAAAGCAAAAGCCAGAAAGAGCCAATAGACCCCAGCCTGTTAGCAAAATAGTTATACTAAAGCCAAATCAAGGAAGACGGATTGATGAGACAGAGACTACAAGTTCAAGATATTTACATCAGCAACCATGTACATCGCAAGCTCCAGAATTCAGTGGAAGGGAAAGCTCAAAATTTTCAATCAAGGAAGTCAGGAGGAGATTCAAAATTGTGACTGGTGACAGCAAAAGAGAGAAAAATGCAATACCTGCAGAGAACCTTCCAGGAGATTCACATCAGCTCAAAGATTCTGTCGTTGAAGATAAGGATCCTAGACATCTCACTGAAGGGAGCTTGCCAGACAAAGCTGCATCAAATTTTAAGAATGGAATCAAACCTTCAGCCAGCAGTAAGCAAAAGCAACAAAATGACAGCCAGAGTGAAATCAGTGATCATACAACAGGAGCATCTATCTTCTATGAGAAAGCCAAGAAGCATTTAGCAGATATGCTAAAGAACACTAGTCAATCTGCCAGCTATCCGACAGCCCAAGTATCAAAATCTTTGGAAGGAATGCTTTCTCAACCTCATTACAACGTGTCACCTCCTAGGAGTGACCATAGGGGAAAATGCCACAATGCCTTCTCACCTGAAGAGCCAGAAGTTTGTCTTGTAAAAGCTGTTGATGTAGAAGAACCAGCCCAAGAGAGAAGCCAACTGCATGATAACTCAGAGAGCAATGCATATAGTACTAGTGTAGCAGTTGATGATCAGGTGGCGGTTCTAGAAGAATGTGGCATCAAAGAAGACACCCAAGAAGGTAACTTTAGTATTCACAATTATCATCAGAGTGGTCTGCGTAGTGCTCTTTTGTTCTTTAAATAGAAATAACTCTGAATATTGAGCAGGTATCATATATGCTACTGATGAGGTAGACACCGTGCCTGTTGAAGGAGTTGGCAAATTGGATTGTTCCAAAACAATTTGCAACATACAGTGCATCCCAGCAGAACAATACACAGACAGCCCCTTGCCAGTAAGCTCAAATGAATGCCTAGCCTTATTCCATCTTTTGTTAGTGTATTTTAAGATGTACATGTTCATACTTCTATTTATAGGAAATATTAGAAGGAACTGAAGGAAAAGAACCTGTTCAAATGTTCATGAGCTCTCCTGAGAGCATGGTTGAAAATTTGGAGCAACAAGATCCAAAAACACCTGAACCAAAATCATCACCAAAATTACCAGATGGTTGTCCTGAGCAAAGCAATGAGAAGAAAGAACAGCCAAGTCCTGTATCGGTTCTTGATTCATTCGATGAAGATGACAGCTCTCCTGAATGCAAAACAATGAAAAAATGTAAGTCCAATTAATACAATTGTTTGCAAGAACAATGGTTTAAATTAGTTTATCTTCTTTCCCTGCACAGATAAAAAATATTATGTACTCTAGTATCTGTATTACTCACCATTTTATGACATACAGATGAGCTGCACGAAGTTTCCTGTGGGACCCTGTACTTCCCAGATAATGAATCAGGTGTAAAGGTCTTTTGGGAGGATAAGAATGCCAGGTTAGATTATATAATGCTGGTGCTAGAGCTCTCAGAATTATGTGCAGAGCAAAATTTAGAGGTGTGGTATCTAGAGGATGAATTAATCAGCCCTTGCATGTTCGAAGAACTACAGAATCAAGGGGACCGAATAGATGATATGAAGATTTTGTTTGATTGCATCTGTGAAGCACTAACAGAGATCCAAGAGAGATATTTTAGACTCTCTTCTTGGTTATCTTTTGTCAAACATGACATACGGACACCTCCGGTAGGAGAAAAACTCATCTCAGAAGTTGACAAATATGTTGATGGTTATCTCAAGTGTAGTTTCCCAAGTACATTGGAACAGATAATTAAAAGGGATTTGGAGGTTCAGGCATGGATGGACATTAGATCAAAGACAGAAGGAATTGTCGTGGAGATATGGGAGTTTGTGTTAGATGAATTGATAGATGAGGCGGTTTTTGATTTGTGGATTTGAAGTTCTGATCAGATCCCTTATCAGTGTTGCTTTGTGACGAGTATAGGCAGTATGTAGATGAACTGTAGAGGTTTTGATTTTGATGCTGACAATAACCCATTTTATGCGGAAGAATAACAAGGGCACTATGTTCTGGCGGCCCAAGGAAAGTATCATGTGATTGGGGAGACATTTACTGGTCCAAATGTCTGACTGGAGTGGACAGTTTCTTGTGAATGACAGCTGAAGTTACAATGCTGTGAATATCTGACTTGTTCAGTTTGTTTGGATGAAATTGGCCAGTCTGTAACAGCCATGCCTCTAGGCACCCAGGCATACAGCAGTCCGAATTTTTCTCTTGTCCATTGTGTGCATGTTTGTGAACCTTACCCCGATACGCTTGTCAACAAAGAGGGCTAGATCACTTCAATGTACATGTTTGTATTTGTAAGTACATGTGTAAAAGGCTTTCTAAACAAATCACACAATATACATTTCCACTGAGGTTTTTTCTTTTCCTGAACAACACTCAGTAAGCTTACAGTTTTCATGCATTCAGTTATTTGAATTATGCTTCAAAATACATGTAAACCTCCAAGAAGCATGAGCATGCCAAATCCAAACAGCACAAATAACAGAATCACTTGCGCGCTAAATTTGTGCAACTGAAAGGATGAGAAATAAGCATCCCTACTAAATCAATTGCCAACATGCACACCAACCGGTAAAACAAGTAGATCCAAAATCCAACTCCTAATGTGAGTGAAAGTGCAAACTACATTAGTTGCAACGCGGCTCAGCTGTCAAAACCACCCAATCCAGAAGTTCCGGGAGGCGGGAGCTTGGGATTAACCAGTTCACTACACACCACCCAAGCACTCGGCAGTCGGCACAGGACGCAGTTCATCCGTTGTTCAAAATTCCAGACACCGTGAGATCCCCATGTATGCCGCATTGGGTTTAAACTGCCCCCAAACCCAACAACCCAGCAAAAAATAAAATAAAATAAAATGAAGCGATTCAAATTATTCCTACAAAATGGACCAATCGGTGCTTAATTCGAAAAAATTGATAATTTGACACTTTCTTCGTTGTCCAATTACTTTAATTGACATTTGTGAGGATAATATATGGGACCATCTGAGTGAATGAAAGTGGGCTAGGATGTCAAATAATAGAAACCCATTGAAAAGAGTGTTAAATTATCAAATCTCTCGCGTAATTCACCCAAATTTTACGCATTCGAACGGCAAATCGGTCACTCCAAACACCAATCCCTCCCTCCAATCGGCACGTACGAGGGCAGCCGCAGCTACTACTCCCAAATGCCGCTGCCGATTTTCGACATCCCCAACCGAATAAACCCCGAAAAGAGAACGCGGATTCATTGGGATTTTGGGGATCGATCCACTCACCTAGTCGGCTGGTCTGCAGCTGGAGGCTGGAGCGGACTCCTCTCCTCGGTGGGCGACGAGACGAACACGATCCTCTCACTTTGTCCGCCATGGTTGGTTCGTCGAGAGCGCGAGAACGAAAATGGTGGAGCGAAAAAATGGCGGAGAAGAGGTTAATAATTAATAAAGCTGGCGGATTCTGCGGCAAGATGGGCCTAAACCACTAGCCCTGCCGGATATTTATGGGCTTGTGAGGATGGGCTACTGGGCCTATTTTATTTTCAGTCTGCTGCAAGATGGGCCTAAACCACTAGTCACTGGACCTCTCGCGTTCGCAGTTGTGCTTGTGCAAAACAGCAACAGGCTTTTCTTCTTCTTCTTCTTTTCTTAAAAAAAAAACTGCAGTTAACAAGGTACTCCCTCCATTCCAGAATATATGAAGTTTTATAGTTAGACACGGTTATTAAGAAATTAGGTAGAATTAAATGGTGGAGGGTTGTGATTGAATGAGTAATGGAGGTATGTGGGAAAAGTGAATGGTGGAAGGTTGTGATTGGTTGGGAATAGAATGTTGGTGGATAAGTTGTTATATTTTGGGACAAACCCAGAGGGCTAAAAGTTGTTATATTTTAGGAAGGATGGAGTAAGAGTCTGAGAGATTTGAAATGTCCCTAGCAAAAAAAAATGTCCTAAGAGATTAAAAGTATGGGCACTTCAAATTATTTTGATCATTATGTAATCTATTCAACAAATTCACAAGGAGTTAGCAAAGATGAAAGATATAAGGATATATTAGATTACCAAAGTCGAAAGAAAAGGGAGTTAGCATGTTGCACTTTAAATAAAAAAATTGACGATGTTGAGCTCTTTTTATATATAGAGAGAGCACATTACAAATGTGTAATGAGGGATGCAATTCCACTCTCATATGCGCCACGTGAAAGTTGCCATCATGACATACTTATCATATCTAATGGGACGATTGTCAAGGTGAGTCATCAACCTTAGAAATGTTTTAACATGAACGGTGCGCTTGATGACGGAGAAGCTTGGCTTAGCATGATGAGAGGGTGTCAATATGAGTCACCGGTAGAGGATATGGCAAACGTGAACGATGCATATGACGTCAGAGCAACATATATGATAGCAGGCGACAATACATGCTTAGCACTAGCAACAACAATAAATACACCCCTCCTTGGTCCCTTGAGGTATCTATCTTCCTCTCTCTCTCTCTCACTGTCACTCCATCTTCTATTCGCTATTCATCTCAAATTTCTCGCATCAGTTCCTCTTTCTCTCCTCTGGTACATCGTCAAAGCCTCTTCCACCAAGATGTCTGACTAAAAGGTATAGTTTTTCAAGCCCTCTACTCCGTAATTGAACCGAAATAGATTGGAGATCTATCCGAACTCATATTGGTTTCTCTTAGAGGAGACAGGCTTTTGCTTTTAATCTAATTTCTCAAGTTTGTTGCATTGATCCATCTAGTTTGTTATTGATGCTGTTAAGATTCATATGAACTTGGATTGGTTTATCTTTTTTTATGGATTTTTCCTTTTCTCCATGTTATTTTTACCCTGGCAATCGCTAATCTTTAAGCTTGTTTCCAATGGTGTTGAGATCTATCCAAAATAGTATTGATTTCTTGTTTTGACGGTTGACTTTTCGCTTACTTCCTACTACTTTCTTATTGAGTTGGTTCCTATAGATCTATAATCTTGGTTTGGTGTGTACGCTATAAAGATCCCCACAAACTTGGATTAGTTTATCTATTGATAACAAGCATTTCACTTTCTCACATCTATTTACAACACGGTTGCTCCAATCTATCTAGATTGTTGTGTGTGCTATAGAGACCCACATGAATTGAAACTAGTTTGTTGTGCGTGCTACGGAGATCCATGTGAATTCAAACGGGCCTCTCTCTCGTTGCGTGATAGACTCTTCATTTTTCTCAATATCTCTACGCCAACTATTATACTTTACTAATTTGTTTTTAGCCCAAAGCACCTAATACAAACAAATAAAGAAAACAAGAAAACAAAACCAAGACGTGTAAAGGGGCCATTTTTTGTCAAATAAATAACCCAAAAAGAAACCAATTTAAAATCAATTATCACAATTTCAAAGAGATTGGATTTTTGTTTCTCTCCACTCCAATACCTCTCTCCATCTCCCTTGTGCGTTTTCCGATCGGCAGTGCCGGAGGCACACGCCCCCGCCCTTCTCTGTCTCCGCCGCCGCCGCCGCCTTCGCCGCCGGCGAGTAGGCCCGGAGTCACGGCGAGAAAACCGGCTCGCCCTCTCCTTCCCGCCCGCGCCGCCCGCCCGCCCGCCCTAGCCGCCTCCTCCCCACCCTGTGCGGCCTCGTCGCGCGCGCCGCCGGCGAACAGGTTCGGAGGGGGCGGCGCGGCGCGGCGCGGGCCTCGGCTCGAATCGGATTCAAGGTCATTCTCCTCCTCCTCCTCCTCCTTCCTTCCTCTTCGCCCGCAACGCTTCCATGAGGCGGGCGTGGATGGAATGGAGATCAATCCGACATGGATTGATTTCTTCGCCCTCCATTCCAAACACAGCACATGCAGTTCTCTTCCCCCGGATTGCTTCGATGCTTGGAGTTACTAATACCAATTTGTTTTTATTTTCTTTTAATAAAAATGGGAGTTCAGTTGGGACAGGCATGGCCTGCGTTAGCTCTGTCGCCATGGCTGGGCCAGTGTTGTGGTGATTGCGAGGGAAGATGCAAAGGTACACGGGCGCTGGGCACAATGCTGGGTTTGGCGGCGGCGTGCCAGGCAGGGGGGTGGTGGCAGGAGGGAGGGAGAAGGGCAGGCTGGAGCCTTCTTCGTTCCATGGTGCCAATTACCCCGCGAACTTGAGGTGGTTGCTGTTTTTCTTCCCCTCTCAAGTTGTCTTGTTTCCAATGCATTCGGCTTTGTAGACTGTGATATTTGCTGATAGTGATTGCTGTGAAGTTATTAACTCGTTACGGTAGAAGAAACGATGATGTGACGATAATGTGGCAACGTTAGCAACCAGTAGGTGACCACGGCAATGGTTACTGTGATTTGTCGTTACTCGTGATGACCTAACCTGAAGAAAGCCATCTCATATCAAGAAGACAAGAACTTCATACTGATATTTTTTTAAGTATATTATTCAGTAATACTTTGGCCACTGCCATGTAGTCTGTTACAAAACCTTGTTCTTACAGAAGTTAAAAGGAACATCTCAAAATATAAAAAGGAATTCAGAAAAACAATAGCAAACTTTTGGACCATTGTTGTTGCTTCAAAAGTCTTGCCAGTGTTCATCCTGGTGAATTTATTGACTGTTCAGTGTTTGGTCAGTTTAACAGCTCAACTGTTGGTTTAATGAAAAGATGGAAAAATGATACTTGATTGTTATTTGGTAGAAACAGTCACAATTTTCCTGGTATGAATAAGTAGTTAATTCAAGCTCATTGTCCCAGTTTCGAAACCCATGTTGCATGTAAACCCTTTGATGTGATTTGTGAAGTAGTCGGTCCAATTGATTCCTTCAATACAGTGGTGGATCCAGAAATTTTCTTGAGCCTGAGCATGCTTAGGCTGTGTTTGAGATGACATCTATGATGAGATTATGGTCCACATGCAAAACGAGACGAGTGATTAGGGTATGGTTAATTAGGTATTAATTATCCATAGTTTTAAAAAAATATAACAAAGCAGAAGAGAGATAGTGACCTCTGACAATAATCTATCAGCATCAGGAGTCCAATAACATGTTCTGCTTGTTTGCCATTTTTTTCTACCTGTCTTAAACTAGTGCACAATTAAAAGCCTGCTTTGGTGCTCAAATAGTCGTGCAGGACACCATACTAACTACAAACTGCACCGTATAGAAGCATGACGCCTGGTGCCGTTTGTTGCCCGGGAGCAAATGCCATTGGCTAGCAGAGGAACAGCACCGAAGTCCATTGCGGCAAAGACTGGGAGCCCGGGCAGCTGCCCATGCTGGCTGGGCCCTGAATCCGCCGCTGCTTCAATATATCATGAAACTAGCTCATCGAATTGTATTTTCACCAGTTCAGAGTTGCTTACTTGCTTCGATTATCTTGTGTCCAACTTGGATGAGTCACTGTCTGCTGATCAGGTCCATTTTTAAAATTATGGCACTAGAGATGGTTGTGTTCTGAACAAAAATTCAATCAAAATCAGTCGCAGTCTACTCTAGTGGGATTTGTCCTTTGAATCAGATGGACATTTTTTTAATTCAAAAACTAGATGAATATCATAAAAATTGCCTTTTTAATTTTTATGGTGTGATATCATTTGAAAACGTATCACTGTTAGTTATGGTAAATGAAAGAGAAAACATTTTGTTCTTTAGTAGGTCAAACAATCTTCACTGTACAGTGCTCTTTTTTATGGTTGTTACTCCCTCCATCACATTTTGATCATCCTCTAAGTAAATGACACCAAGACCAAAGACACCAAAATATTCATCATTCTCAAATTAATCCTCATCGATTAAAGTGTTTCATCGCTTCGTGTCCCGTGGATTGCTCATGTTTTAAATATTGCATGCCATTGCACCAATAGAAATTAATCTTGGTTGGTTGCATGTAACACATTCAACGATGCACATGTACTCTTTGCACAAATAAACAAAAAGACACTTGTTAGATGATGATCATTTTAGGAAGACTTCAAAAACTTTAGGAAATGATCAAAATGGGATGGAGGGAGTACTTTTTACCTTATTCTGGCTGATGGAGGCTTCTTACTAGCAGTTTGAGAGGTCGGCAAACGGAACAGACAAAAAACCTGTTTGCATAATGTAACTATCAGCTTATACCTATTGATCAATAGATAATGCTTTTTCCATGAGGGTAACTCCCCACGTTCCATTATCAAAGATAACAAACACAAGATCCTGTTACATCACTCTGGCACATCTCTCCTGCACCTTGCTAAGCAATATGGTTGAACCAAGTAACTGACGGGTAGTTTATAGGATGGTTGTTCTTATGGGGACTTCAAATGCATTTAGATTGGCATGGATGACAAGATTGTATTCTTCTTATTTTCCAGCTGAAGATGGGAAGATTATTTGTTAGTGGCGGGTAAACTACAATTGCACCAGCTGAGAATGTAACCATGGCCAATGCTGTACTGTGACATCTCACATGGATAATATTTTATTGCTGGAATATTTTTTTTGAGAAAATTGCTAGAATATTGATTCTAGGAAACAGCTATCGCCAACACCGTCGAATAGTTCTGTTTGCATCAATTTTGCTTTAAAATCTCAGCAAGAAATTATAGGAGAACATTAGCTCTTTCCTTTTTTATTTTCTCTCTTTCAGGAAGAATGGGGGTATTAGTTGTAGGAGTAGCACTTTCAAATGTATGATCTTCCACATTTAATTTTTTTCAAAGGACTTTTCTACATTTTGTTCAGACTAAGGTTCTACCTATGTTTGTTAAGACATTAACTTAGTGCTGACTGATGAGCATATGAACCTCCTAATATGCTTATGATTCTATTTTTCAGGCGGCAACCACTGGTAGCTCCTTACAAGCTGAAGTGTGACAAGGAATCACTCAATGCCAGGCATGTTTTACTCAACAACTGATTTGTTCCTATTGTCTTATTGACTATGTACATAAATGTTTTCCATTTTCTCATATCTAGCTTTTCTATTCTTCAATATTCTTACTTTTTTTTCATTTGCATGGAGAAGTTGCATATTTGTATTCGAAAACAACTAAAAGTTAGTGTTTCCTTTGTACTATGGATTTTGTAGGCTTGGTGCACCTGACTTCTATCCCCAGACATTGAGTTGTGCAGAAGAGACCTTAACCAAAGAATATGTGCAATCTGGGTACAAGGATACCGTTGAAGGAATTGAGGTGTGCTCCAGAAACCAAAAGTTTCAAATCCTATCCCTTTTTTGTGACACTGCTTATCTAGGGTTAATCTTGTTTCATATATTGTTTGTCTCATTTTCACGAGTCTCATGCCATTAAAATCTTGAGTCCATAATTTTGTGTACATTAGGACCGCAATTTCTTTGTTTTGTTTTGACTGAAATTTGTTCCTGGTGGTGTTTTTACAGGAAGCCAGAGAGATTGTACTCAGTCAGATTCCATACTTGAGCAAACCAGATATTGCTACAAAATGCAAGGAGGTAAAAAGGCAACCAACATCAACCTAACTAGCTTTATTTTTCATGCAATCTTATGTTGTTAGAACATTTCTTCCTGTCAGAGTGAAGTGAGAAGTAGGTTGGTATGCGGCATGATTGAATGCTGCTGGAGATCAGGAACTAAGATGGGTAGAATTATGGGAATCACATCTTTTATATATAAGCTGAGATATGCATCACAGGGGGTTAACAGCCAAAACTCTACAGCCTACTTGGTGCTAATTTTGGATAATTGCCACCTTTGGATTGTTACTGGCTGCATAGTCTGTCAGAAACTTAGGATTAATATTATGTGAATACGTAGATCCATATGGAAGATGCTGAAGAATTGCTTCTTTTCCCTAAGGTTGATGGATTGAACTGAATGGTTGAATGGATTGAATCTAATATTTTTCTTCCCCCTTTGACCTACCCGATTATTGTGTTTTCCTTCTCTAACTGATATGTCTTGTGAAAAAACTTATACTTTGACTAACAATTTTATTTTTTATTTATCAAGGCACTAAAGAAGCGGTTCAGAGCGATCAATGAATCTCGTGCTCAGAAGAGGAAGGTATTTTGATTTGTTGTAGTTACTATGATTAGGATCTCTGCTGTAAATAAGGATATTTTTTGTTAAACCATTTCACAACTTCAAAATGTTTGTATTGAAAATTTGACAAATGGGGACTTAACTGCATTAATTAGATTTTTACCACCTAATTCTAGATAGCTAGCATCTATTTACATTTTTCCTGCAAAACTTTGATCTTTTTAAAGTTAATATTGGTCTAAAATATTCCAAATACTCTTTCCTAACAGGCTGGCCAAGTTTATGGGGTCCCTCTTTCTGGCTCGTTGCTGACAAAACCTGGGATGTATCCAGAGCAAATGCATAGCAATGAAGACACACGCAGAAAATGGATCGAGGTCAATCAAATTAGCCTGTCATTTTCATCTTCTTTTCCTGTAATGTAATATTTCATTTCATTTATGCACTTTATTGAATAAAGTGAGGCAAGTTTGCTACAATTAAGTGCGGCGAGTGTGCCATCCAAATAACCCTTCATCTTAAGTAGCTATCTTTCTGTATATTATGAGTTCTTGAAACATTTCATACTGTATCAAACTGATGCATTTCAAACTGGACTCACTATGTATAAACGGGAGCACTGTGCCGTCCATCTCACCTAATGTTTCATTTAAGAAACTACAGATTTAGGGCGACATTGGTACCAACTTTTTTTTTGGTAGAATTGAAGACTAACTGCAATATAATTAGAAAACGATTTTCTCTAAAGTCTTTTCTTTTTTTGTCTTGCCGATCTGCGAGGGATCTCATTGCAACCTTAATCTTCCACCTGACTTGAAATGGCTGTGTAATTCATTCCTTTGCAGGCCCTTGTGCAACCAAACAGGCGTCTATGGTCATTAGCAGAGCAAGTTCCTCGTGGTTTTCGGAGGAAGTTACTCTTTAATTATCTTATCCGATATAATGTCCCACTGTTAAGAGCATCATGGCTTGTGAAGGTTACTTACCTTAATCAGGTCCGTTATTTCTGTGCCAAACTGCCACTGCTCACTAGAATTTAGTTCTGTTATTTCATGCTTATTAGAAAATTATATGATGTTCGCTTGATGATGCCTCTTTAATTGCAGGTTCAAACATCATCCAATAATGTTTCATCTGCTGCTCCTGATAGTTTGCGATCTCAGCACTGGACAAAGGATGTTATTGAATACTTGCAGCTGCTTTTGGACGAATTGTGTTCTAAAAATGGCTTTTTTGGACTTCCATCTTCTCAAGAACAGTCATTGCCATGCCTTGTTGCTGGAGACAGCCCAATTAAGTTAAAAACCGGGGCATCACCTGCTAGTGCAGATGTTGAGGAGCCTTCGCTACACTTTAAATGGTCGTATATGATTCGTATTGTTCAATGTCATCTCATGGAACAATTACTTGTTCCGTCGTTACTTATCGAATGGGTATTTAATCAGCTCCAGGTACAGAGTGCATTGATAAAGTAGGTTCATGCTTAGTGATGTTTCTCAAGTGCTATGTTGATCTTCTAATACCAATTTTTTTTCTAACCCACTTCCTTTCAGGAGAGAGACTCAACTGAGGTTTTAGAATTACTCTTGCCTATTGTACTTTCTTTGGTTGATACCATAACCCTCTCACAGACATATATCCACATGCTGGTGGAAATACTGATTCAACGTCTCAGTGATGCTTCTCCTGGCAGCTTAAGTGTTAAGAATAACCCAAAAAGGTCATCCATTACCTCTGCTTTAGTTGAGTTACTGCAGTACTTGATACTTGCTGTTCCCGATACATTTGTTTCTTTGGATTGCTTTCCACTTCCATCAGTTGTGGCTCCTGATGTATACGGTAAAGGTGCTCTTCTGAAAATAGCAGGTGGTGGTAAAATTGCTAGCTCTAGGAGACAGAATGCATCTCGACACCTCTCTTGTGGTTATGCCATTTGTTCAGTTCAAAGACGTGCATCTGATCTTTCTTTAGTTGCTAATCCTAATCTTCAAGTTCGTGGGGCAGCCAACGTAGTGCAAGCTTTGGACAAAGCACTTGTAACTGGAAACTTGACAGCAGCATATACATCAGTATTCAATTATCTATCAGATACCCTGATGGAAGAAACATGGATTAAAGAAGTCAGCCCTTGCTTGCGATCTTCTCTGATGTGGATGGGAGCTGTTGAGTTATCCCTTGTCTGCTCTGTGTTTTTCATTTGTGAGTGGGCAACATGTACTTTCCGTGATTGCCGTACATCACAATGCCAAAATGTAAAATTTTCAGGAAGCAAAGATTTCTCTCAGGTCTATATGGCAGTTTCCCTGTTGAAGGATAAAATGAATGAGATAAATAATTTATCTTCTTCCAAGAGCAGCAGTCAGCTTGCAATGAAGGATCACCTTAAAAGTGCTACTCTGAATCATTCTTCTATCAAGGTGACAGCAATGGAGACTGCTTCTGGATTTAGAGACAGTACAGGTAGCATTGATGAGAATAACAAAAAGGATATCTTCAGCAGCCCAGGTCCACTGCATGACATTATTGTATGCTGGTTGGATCAACATGAGATTAGTGATGCTTCGGGATTTAAAAGTGTGGATGTTTTCATGACTGAACTTATTCGCAGTGGTATATTTTATCCTCAGACATATGTGAGACAACTAATTGTTAGTGGAATCACCATTTGGAATGATAGCTTGTTTGATCTGGAAAAGAAAACGAGGCATTACAAAATTCTGAAGCACCTGCCAGGGTTTTGCTTATTTAATATCCTTGAGGAAGCTAAGATTGCTGAAGATCAAGTCCTTTATGAAATTGTGTCAACATATTCTAGTGAGCGTCGACTTGTGCTTTCTGAGCTTTCAAGTGGTCTGGCTACTGATGCAAATGTTGAAGGCAGGGTCCCTTTGAGTTCCTGCCTTCAGAAACAGCCTGATCTTCTAATGGATTCAACAGATGATAATCATGGCAGAGTGGCAGTTCAAGTAGAAGAGGTAAAACTTATGATATCAGGTCTGTTGAATTTGGGATACTCTACACTCTTGGCTGAATCAGGAAGAGAAGAAACAAAAAAAACCAAGAAAGGACAAACAGATTTGGTAGACTCAGAAGAAGATGTTGGGCATGCAAAAACTGGCTGTAAGGATAGTAGTAGGACCAAGAGACAGAAGTTGGATAAGAACGTGTTTCCTTTCCAAGGGTCCCCATTGGTTCAATCAGATGAGGAAGATTTTTGGTGGGTAAGGAAAGAGCAGAAGCAGGAATTGTTTACTGTTGAAACAATACATCAGTCAATTGAACAAACAAGTGGAGGTAAGGCAACAGTAGTGCAAAAGACACAAAATATAGCACAACTTGCAGCTGCTAGAATCGATGGTAGCCAGGGGGCATCTACTAGTCACGTGTGTGATAACAATCTGAGTTGTCCCCACCATAAACCTGGCACTAACTCTGACATTCTTAAAGACGCTGATCATATGAGTATGTTGACTCTGGCTGAAGTTGGCAAATCACTTAAGAGACTTAGATTGCTTGAAAGAAGATCCATTTCAATCTGGCTGCTGAAGTCCATAAAACAACTAATTGAAGGAGATGAAGTGAAACATTCTAAGGCTAATAACTCCATAAGTGCCTCCACTGTGCAGCATAGTGGTAAAATTGCATCTGGATGGAGGTTTGGAGAAGATGAACTTCTGTCAGTGCTGTACATAATGGATACATGTTGTGATTTACTCTCCTCTGTAAGGTTGCTTATATGGCTTCTATCAAAGATTTATATTGGAAGGACCACATCTGGTCAAGTTGGAAGAGGTGTTATGCACCCAAAACATAAAGAAAACCAAGTTTTCCAAGTAGCCGAAGCTTTTCTGTTCTCATCCTTGCTCAGGTAAGCTGCTTTTTTTTTCTCTATTGTTTTCTTCTGAAGTACTGTTGACTTTCGTCCTTTAAATTCACTTATAATGTAACTAAGAAATTTCTTTCCAAATTTGTCTTTGCATGAATTTGCAAATGGTAAAAGAGTGCAAAAAAAAAAAAGAAACGCGTGAAAACACCAATTAAACTGTTACTTGTGTTGTCTCTGTCTGTTTGTTGGTTTTGTACTTTTGCATCCATCTTTGCACAAAATATTCTGGGCAGATTCTATTTTTTTATGGCTTCTATGGTTCTATTGGTTTCTCTGTTCTGCCACTACTATTTATGACTAATATAGTTCGGTTGTGTTCTCTGTTTGGCCCTTCTTAGACACTGAAATGCCACGTGCACGCTTTCCAAACTAGCAAAATACCCATGCACTGCAATGAATTTCAAATAATATATCAAATTTTTTAACTTGGAAATTGTATCTTTCTCGGAAAAAATATATAGAATTAGCAAGCGAACATCCAACCAAAAAAGGCAAGCCACATGCACAAAAGAAATATTTATTCATCCTTAGGGTGTGTCTGGAAGAGAAGGGAGAGAAGGTTGGGAACTTCTCCCCCGCGCACGCAAAATGGGGCGGCTCATTAGCACATAATTAATTAAGTATTAGCTATAAAATTTTTTAACAATGGATTAATATGATTTTTAAAGCAACTTTCCTATTTAGTAGTTTGGAAAGCGTGCACGTGGAAAACGAGGGAGTAGAAGTTGGGAACATGTAGTATAGAACACACCCTTAGAAGATCCCATCAACTCGAGGGGATGGCAGATTCACCAATATACTTTGTGGTGCTTTCAAGTTGTGTCTCAAGTCATCGTATGTCATTGGCTGTACAGAAACACACTATAATACATCTGTATTTGTGTTGTGCAATATTTTAAGGCGTTTCTTTTTCATTATATACACGTAGCATTTATATGGTTTAATGGTGATTGTTTGAAGAGGGCAATGCATCTGATTTTCAAGCAATCATGTTTGGACTGTTTTGCGTCATTGAATGCTTTGTTGGAAAACACTCTTGGTGCATCTACTTGTAGTTCATCACTTCATCATGACCTAGTGAGTCCTATCAATGACCTGTGTAAACTACAATGCCATGCATATTTTTCTTTGTGTGAAGTGAAAAATGGGCAAATACACTGCAGTGGCAACAGCTGCAGATGTAAACTTAGTGTTTGCTGAAGAGTATGTGAGATCTTGTAGTACAAAGTATCCAATGGATCAACTGTAGTTGGAACCAGACATGCATGTTCAAATTTTGTTATAACTGTACTAATGATTTTATTGTTTCTAAAAAATCAATCTTGCTGTTCACATTATTGTTTTCTTTGTCTTTTGGATATTGCAGGTATGAGAACATCCTTATTGCAATGGATCTTTTGCCCGAGGTTTTGAGTGTTTCAATGAATAGAACTGTTCATAAGTCAGGTGAAAGGCAGTCTACTTCAGTAGCTTTTGCTTATGCTCGATATTTCTTAAGGAAATACAGAGATGTGACTAGTGTTGCTAGGTGGGAAAGAAATTTTAGGTCCACATCTGATAAAAGGCTGCTTGCTGAACTGGATAGTGGAAAGTCAATCACTGGTGATTCAATTATTTCTGGAATTTCATCAGGTGAAGAACTTGATGGGCATGTCCATAAAAAATTGAATGGGAAAGCAGGAGTACTTCCAAGTATGAAGGAGATAGTGCAACGGCAAACTGACGAGTTTTTACGCAACCTAAGGGAAAATAATGCTACAGCACCAAAGAACCCATCTTTTTCTGAAACGGAAGATAGCTATCAAACTGCTCATGACATTGTTTTGGGATTGGCAGACTGTATCAGACAAAATGGAGGAGCAAATCCAGATGGAGATCATTCTTTAGTTGCTTCTGCTGTTTCTGCAATTGTTGACAATGCTGGGCATGCAATAGCTAAACACTTGGATATTTCAGGTGGTAACAATCCAGGTGTTACCTCAATTAATTCATTAAACTTGATTCAACACATTTTGGATATCCACATAAACTCTCTGGCCTTGCTAAGAGAAACTTTAGGTGATCGATTTAGTAGAATATTTGAAATATCTCTTGCTGTTGAAGCTTCTTCAGCTGTTGCAGCATCTTTTGCTCCTCCTAAGGCTCACCGCAGTCAACAGTCTTCTGAGACCCATGATGAAAGTGGAAATCATGCAAATGAAGTTCCAAGTAATCCGTCAAAATGTTTTAATGTTAAGGCTGTAAAAGTTTCTGCTGCTGTTTCTGCACTAGTTGTTGGAGCTATTATTTATGGGGTTGTCAGTCTAGAGCGGATGATGGTGGTCCTAAGATTAAAAGAAGGTTTGGACATTCTGCAGTTCTTAAGAATTTCCAAAGCTAGCACAAATGGTGTGACCCACTCCATTGGAAATTTCAAAATTGACAGTTCCACTGAAGTTTTGGTACATTGGTTTAAGATTCTAATAGGGAACTGTAAGACAGTTTATAATGGAGTGATCGCAGAGATTCTAGGTGATTCTTATGTCCTTGCCTTTTCAAGGTTGCAACGGACGCTTCCATTGGGTATAGTTCTTCCTCCAGCTTATTCAATATTTGCTATGGTCCTTTGGCGACCATATTTATATGACACCAGTACATCGAATCATGAAGACATTCAGCTTTATCAGTCTCTACTGGGTGCAATTAGTGATATCACAAGACATCAGCCTTTTCGAGATGTCTGCTTCCGTAACATGCATCTTTTCTATGATCTTCTGGCTGCGGATGTTGGTGATTCAGAGTTTGCTGCAATCGTTGAACTTCGAAGCCCTGATGAATGTTTGAAAGCTCTTTCACCTCTTCGTGCCCGGGTTTTCCTGAATGCTCTTCTTGATTGTGAAATACCAGTAACAATGAGAGACGATGGTACATATGCTTTAGAGCCTGGTTGTGCAGAAGCTAGTACCAAGAATGATGTAAAGTTTCCAGAGAGGCTTATAGAAATTCTGAATGTCCTACAGCCTGCAAAGTTCCATTGGCAATGGGTTGAGTTGAGGCTGCTTTTGGATGAGCAATCTCTTATTGAGAAACCAAAGAATGTGCCATATGTAAAAGCACTTCGATCCCTATCCCCTAATGCTGAGAATTTTACCCTCTCTGAAAGGGAAAAGGGGCTTACTGAAGTTATTTTGTCTAGGCTACTTGTCAGACCTGATGCTGCTCCTCTATACTCAGAACTTATTCACCTTCTTGGAAAGCTACAAGAGTCATTCGTGATGGGTATCAAATGGTTCTTACAAGGGCAAGATGTTCTTTTGGGAAACAACTCTGTAAGACAACAGCTTGTTAACTTGACTCAGCGCAAAGGATTTCCAATGAAGACACAGTTTTGGAAGCCATGGGGATGGTCAAAATTAGTCGGATATGCTAATGCTAATAAAAGCTCCAAAAGGAAGTTAGAAGTTACTTCAATTGAGGAAAGAGAAGTTGATGGCTTGATTGATTCTAGAAAATCCAGTAATAGGAAGTCGCTAAATGTGGGTACAAGCCCAGAAGGGCATGGATCTACCCAAAAATATTTTACTCAGGAAGCCCTTGCTGAGTTAGTTTTGCCATGCATAGACAGAAGTTCTAGCGAGTTTCGCTTTGTATTTGCTGGTGATTTGATCAAACATATGGGTGTGATCAGTGAGCATATTAAAGCAGCAGTGTGGAACGGTATTAATAAACTGAATAGTTCAAATCCTTCAGGAAATGAAGGTTTGAGTAAACCCAATGGCCGCAAAGGAATCTTCAGTGGTAGTCCGAATATCAGGAAGCATAGCCCTGTACCTAATGATTCAACTACTCCTTCCGCATCAGCTTTACGATCATCAATATGGTTGCGCCTGCAATTCATCATTAGGCTACTTCCAGTAATTATTGCAGACAGGTAATATTTAATGATTTTGTGGCACATTCTAGCATTACATGATTTGTCCTAAAAATTAGAAAACCGGTCTGGGACGAACAGTCAGCGATTTAGTTTTTTTTTTTTCTGTTTGCTGGGACTTCAATCTGAACACCTTTATGAAAATAGAGGGCTACTTTTCAATTATCAGTAGATATCAGCGAGTGGCATCTGGAATTCAACTAACAGAACTTAATAAATATTTAAGCAGGATGGTTAGTACTTGGGTAGTGGGTTGTTGCAAATCAAGCCTTCAGTGGTTATGACAATCATGTCATCGACTTTAGATAGAGAATTGAATCACTTGCATTACGAGCTTGACTGGATTAGTTAGCTGAGTGGGTTCTGGCTCCTCTAGATTGCCATGAATAGCTGGAGAAATGTGATAAATATGAGTTTAAGCATGCTTAAATAAGTTATCTTAATCTTTCCTTGCGATACTTTTGCTTTAATTGTTAGTTGTGTGACATCTTAAGTTCACAGAGTTGCACTTTACGTCCTTGAAATATTTATGCTATATTCTAACTTTTTGGCTTTGGATATTTTGTAGTAACATGAGGCAAACGCTAGCTTCCTCCTTATTAAGCTTGGTTGGAACACGTGTGGTCTATGAAGATGCAGATTCACTTGAACCTTACATGGATGATGTCCTGCTTGATTGTCCAAGTGAAAGCCTATTCGATAGGCTTTTATGTGTCCTGCAAGCTTTGCTTGGCAATAGCCAACCAAGTTGGCTGAAGACTAAGCCAAGCTCCAAGCCAGCTGTTAAATTTTTGCGTGATCTTTCTGCAATTGATAAAGAGGTCACTAAGAGCTTGCAGGTCTGTTTAGTTTTTGCATATTATTGCTCTCTTTTGCTTTCTGCAATTATTCAAGCCTGTGACTTCTCTTTACTTGGTCTGATGGCTTCTTTGCATTATCTGCTCTATTGCAGTGTGCATTAGATCGCATGGAGTTGCCAGCAACAATCAGGCGGCGGATTCAAGTGGCTATGCCGATTCTACCTACTTCCCGCCTCTCCTCCATAACATGTGGTCCTCCTCTACTGTCCTCTGCTGCACTATCACCATTCCAGTGCAGTACATCTGCTGCAGGGCCTCACCAACAATTTCCCCTCAATTGGATTCCTACCAATCTCTCAAGAAGATGCAAGGCAGCGTTGCCTTCACAGGATCCTAACATGGAAATAGATCCTTGGACTTTGCTGGAAGACGGTACAAGCTGTCCAAATACCAACAGTGGCAGCAATTCTGCAAATGGTGTTACCGGTGACCATGCCAATCTGAAAGCTTGCAGCTTTCTCAAGGATTCTGTAAGGGTGAGGAGGACTGACCTGACTTACATTGGCTCTCTGGATGAAGACAGCTAACCGGCGCAATTATCACCTCCCCCTCATAATTTTGTTGCAAACCCGTAGGTTGTAAATACATATGTGCAATGCATCGAGCATTCTTCTGTACTTTAAAAACATGGTGTGGAAGAGTGCTATAGCATTTTCCAATCAAGATGGACTCAGTTTAACCCTGGAGTGGATAGTTCCTAGATGTAATTTATTGAAACTATCTCCTTTGTTCTTAAGGGTTGCGCTTAGTAGGCTGCATTGCAAGGTAGCTCAAATTTAGCTTTATGACATAGATAATTATATAGTTAGTCGGAGTTCTCCTTGGGGGTGTTTGTATACTAGTAAGATTTGGGTCTCCCATAATCCATTGGTAATATGAATCAGGGTGGCCTCCTTTTGCCATGTATTCATGGATCTTACTCTTTTTAATTGTTGGTTGAAGTACAACAAGGAGTACATTTTTGCTATTATATGTTTAGGACAAAACCGGGAGAACTTGGGTAAAAGTGCCCCTTCGGCTGCTCTGATCAATAAATTTATCTGCAATTTTCTATCGATGACTACTTTTTTAAGTTTTTCAGATATTTTGTTATGTGTGTATATTGCAAGTCATGTTATGTCAGTGATGAGAAGATATTTCTAGCGTTTTATTTAAATCCACGCTTGTGATGTATGTGAGTTACCATGTTTATTGTAACTGCTATCACTGAAGATTTTTGTTTCCTTTTGTTTTTGGCTTGTGCAGGGATGGCTGATGGCTTACTAAAGATTAAAGAGCATAAAAAGTGCTAGAAATCAGGTATCTGTTACATTGTAGCTAATCAACTAGTAGCATTATTTACATTGTGGTCAACTAAATTTGTATGCAGAAGGCATTTGATCCATCAACTTTTGCGTTGTTATCCCCACGACTGGTGATTAATTTTTAGTTTCGCCCATATTCAGTTAAATTGGATGCTCTCTATATTTAAACTGAAACTTTTTTTTATGTATCCAGGTATTTTCATTCATGTTCAGTCAGTCAGTCCTAGGTTCTTAGCAACCACAGAATTCACTCTCTTAAACCTGGGTAGTACTACCATGCTTTGATACAGAGCAGATTACTTCATACTCCCTCCGTTTTAAAATGTTTGACGCCGTTGACTTTTTAATACGTGTTTGACCATTTGTCTTATTCAAAAAATTGAAGTAATTATTTATTATTTTTATATCATTTGATTCATCGTTAAATATACTTCCATGTACACATATAGTTTTACATATTTCACAAATTTTTTTTAATAAGACGAACAGTCAAATATGTGCTAAAAAGTCAACGGTGTCAAACATTTTGAAACGGAGGGAGTACTCCATATACAAGCACTGCTGGTCATACAAGACATAATTGTTGCAAGCTAAAGCTTAGTTCCCTCTCTAGGTCAGCAAAATCACTCTACCTACTGTACTCTACCTACTGTTACTTTATCCCTTAATTTTATCTCTTGGAAGCTACACTAACAGAACCATCTAAAGCTCTTCTTGGGAAGCCAAGAAGAGACGGTTTTGGGAGTTAAAAGAGACGGGTTATATCCGGTTTTACGGTCGATGGAAGCAAAATAGACTTATTTCCACTCCCGAAACTATGAATCCACAAATCCAAGTGCTATAGGCTGGGGCTGCGGAAGCGCCTGGAGGCCCAAGAAAGAAGCCCAATTGTGTACGTACTGCTTTTTTTGGAATGGAATTGTTAGAAGAAAAAGGAATAAGTCCACTCTGACTCCCTAAATTATTGACCGATCTGATTCGTGTCCCTAAACACTAGTACCGAATTTATTAGAACCACAACTATTAAAGCCGGTGTAATTTGATTCTTTCGGTGATTTAAAAGGATAGTTTCGCTAACGTGATGTCTATGTGACGTGTTGATTTGTTTAACGTGAAGTTAACGTAGTGTATTAAAATTAAAAAAATACGTGTGGGACACACTGTCATTCACACCAAAATGTGGGACCCACTGACATATCACCCTCTTTCTTTCCTTCTTCCTCCCTCTGTCTCTCCTTTCTGTTCTTCTTCAGCCAATCGGCCATCGGCGGCGGCGGGCTGAAGAGGGCTGGAGCGGCGGCGGCGTTGGGCGGCGAGCGAGGGACGGAGCGGCGGCGGTGGCGGGCCGAGGAGGTCGTCCGCCGCCGGCGATGGAGGGGACGCCGCCCAAGCCACCGGCCGCCCGTCGCACGTCGCCGCTGAGCTCCCCCCTTTTCCACTGCCCCGAGATCCGCCTCCGCCACCGCAGCCCTCCTCGCTGAGGTCCGGAAGGCATCGAGGAAGCACTCTCCCCAAGTCCCCAGGTCGGGAAGGCCAAACCGCTCTCCAAAACAAGTCAAATTATACGAATCCGATTCAGAGTCAAAAAGTGAACTTACTCCGAAGAAAAATAACCAAAGAAGGCCTTCTTGTTTTTTTTTTTTTCAGAAGAGGTGGATACGAACCTCTTGCGTAAGTTGTACTAGCTCATCCATCCCTCTCCACCCTTATAAGCACCACAAGTTCGTTGTTAATTTGGAGGGATTTGGTCTTATAATCAATCAAATCTGCCGCAGCGCGTCCGTACCACCGCCTCTACTTCCCTCCTCCGCTCACATCAACATGCTGATCCCCTCGGAGACCCAACACGGATTGGATCTCAAGTTGTGCCTCTTTACCCTTTGCTCTATTCATTGATTTTGATCTTATTATTCTCCTTTTGTTCGTTCATTAAAAGTGATGCTGATTCCTTTTTTTTCCCTTTTATATTATATATATATTGATTTTCTCTTCTTTTATTCGTTAAAAGTCCTCCACTTCCTGATGATGACAAACCACAGCTTATGGAGGTCGAGGTGGAGTTGCCAACAGCTCATTCTGTAAATCTATCTTCAAGTCCGAGCTCGAGGTACTTATCATATCCTCAAATTAGCTAGCCCCCCTATCGAGAATAGCTTAGCATATTTGAGGACCTGTTGGGAGATTGGGAGGTTCCTCCACCACCTCTCTCCTCTATAGGAGCAACAAGTTTCAGTTTTTTATTTTTCCGTCTTTTCGCGCTCGCAGTCCTTTTCCTTGTACCGCCGGTGAGAAAACAACTTTGTCTGCATGGATCGTGTACACCAACTAAAAAATTCCACAAAAAATTCTAGCAAATTTTGTACATGTACATTTATTTAATAGTATTACACCTATGCGTAAAGTCTCATCTTTAAATTCATCATATGGAGAGAGAAAAGAAGAAAAAAATCTGGCAGATTTATACTCTTACAAGCTGTCATATGTTCTTTTTTTTTTGTTACGGCTAAAAATAATTTGATGCTTAGACTTCATACATGTGTACTACTATTGGAAGTACTTGTATACATTTTTTTCTGGAATTTTTTATAACATTTATTAGTTGGTGTGTGTACACCGGAAGCTTGTGTGCGTTTGTTAAGTTTATTTCTTAAAATATTTGATTTTATCCTTATAATCAAGTAGATAATTCGTGGCAATAGTCTGGTGAATAATTTGTTTGAAATTGGCCCTTGGTATATTTTCATTTTCTTAATGCAATATTATGCACACTATATCTTTGTGGCCTAATTACTGGTATCTGTTTTTTTTTGTTGAAACATAGATCAAATATGAGTTAGTCAGGACGATCACTAGCTGTGGAAATCTGGACGAAGGTTTTCATGGTCATGTAAATTTTATTGCAAAGGGCGATTGCAAGAACTCGGAGGAGTTATTTTTCGCGGAAGTACGCTGGGAAAACAATGGATATATACCCACTTGCATGGTCTCTCTTGAAGGGAAAGAAAAAATTGGTTAGTCCAAAAATAGAACTCAAAACTTTGATATTCTATTTAAAATGTTACTAACATATACAAGTTGCTTTTACAGGTGGTTACTATGGCGCCAGAGTTCATTATCCAAGAGGTGTTCCAGGTCTTCCCATTGACAAACAACACTGCTATTTCTGTGGAGATGAGCTTAAGCATCCAGAAGATGGAACACTGTATGAGAGTGGCCATGTTGCTTCGAGTGATTATTATGAGTAGTATGCATTATCTATTATGTTTATTATTTTCAAGTTGAACTAAGTTAGTATTTGTGTTAGTTATCACACTTTTTCACCGTTGTAATGTTTATAAACCACGTTTATATTTGGGTTGAACTTCGAGTTGTATGCCATACAGCCGAGCAAAAGTTTGAGAGAATCATCGTTGTATGTCAGCAATTCGCTCTTGGGAGGAGCTATATTTGTTTAACCAGATCTTATCCTGTTTTTACCTGTCTCGTGCTATGCAATTAACTTATCATCTCGGTGGATTTTCCATTTTGAATACAAAGACACAATCCATCGATGGACGCAAGTATATGAAATGTAATTGAGTAGGATCATGGAGGCAGCAAATCTGCAAATGCAATGGTAGTTTGCGTCTAGATTTGAAGTGCGGATTAGCTCGTATTCAGTTAAATTGGATGCTCTCTAGATTTAAACTGAAACTTTTTTATGTGTCCAGGTATTTTCATACATGTTCAGTGAGTCAGTCCTGGGTTCTTAGCAACCACAGATTTTTTTACTCTCTTAAACCTGTGCAGTACTACCATGATTTGGTAATAAGGAAGAGGACAGAAAGGCCAGGTTAGGAAACAAAAAGGAATACAGAGCAGATTACTTCATACATACAACCACTGCTGGTCATACAAGACATAATTGTTGCAAGCTAAAGCTTACAGTTCCCTCACTAAGGTCAGCAAAATCACCCTACCTACTGTTACTTTAATTTTTTTTCTCTTGGCAGCTACACTAACAGAAACATCTAAAGCTCTTGTTGGGAAGCTTCAATCCAGAGTCCAGACGCTCTGGCTGTCGCTCACTGTTTCCTGACCGTCTTGTCAGCAAAAAGGACATCATCGATCCATGATACGATGTTGAAAGCCAAGCTTTCCAGCACCCTTGAGTAGCTCTCCAGGATTGCCTGACCAATATCCTACATGAAAAATTTTGCCAATCTCATTTGGTCAGGAACGTATCAAATTTTGAATTTGAAAAGAAGATATAGATCACAGAATGCCAATGCTGGCATCTGCATGCTCTGAATTAGTTGAATGCCAATGCTGTTCTTGCATTTTATATGCTTTGATCAGCTGGATCATGAATACCAATGGTATCCTTGAGTTTTCATGCTCTGAATTACTACTTGAATACCAATGCTGTTCTTGCCATTTATATGCTTTGATCAGCTGAATCAAGAGTACCAATTTTGTTCTTACATTTGCATGCTCTTACTAGTTGAAAGCCAATGCTGTTCTTGCATTCGCGTACTTTGATTAGTTGAATGCTAATGTTGGATGCTAATGCTGTTGCATTTGTATGAATTGTAGATTAGTTAGTTTGATTACCTTGTTGAACTGGATCTTGCTGGTGTCGAGGGTGGTCTGGGACAAGCCGGGGAACCTGTGCTTGAGGCAGAGGAGGAGGCTCTCCGCCCGGCCTGCCAGCATCACGTTCTTGTCCTGCTCCTCGTCGTCGGCGACGAGCTCCTTGACGGCGCCCCACCGCGACCTCCCGTGGCTGGCGCCCGCCTTGCGCCGCCACACGTACATCGCCGCCTCCACCCTGTCCGCCATCGCCAGCGCCTCGTGCTCCGACGACATGTCCAGGCAGTCCAGCAGGTACTCCGGCGAGAACTTCTCCGCCCCCAGCATCGCCCTGTACACCCCGTCCCCCACGCTCGCCTTCCCACTCTGCCAAGAACACGATGATGAACAAGACGAAGAAGAAGATGATGACGACAAATACTATTGTTGGTGGTATCGCGTTGTTTGGATCAGGTGGCATAGGAGTTTTTTTACTCTGGAATATGGGTGGCGATCTAGTCTACGGCTTGATAGTCACTAATTTTTTTGTTTTGTGTTGAGGGTCTAGTTAGATCCTGTTTTGTGGCCGTGTGCATTTCATACGGAGGCCGGGAGTAAGCTCCGTTAGAATGTACTTCCTCCATTTCACAATACAAGTCATTCTAGCATTTTCCACATTCATATTGATATTAATGAATTTATATAAATATATATGTCTAGATTCATCAACATCAATATAAATGTAAGAAATGTTAGAATGACTTACATTGTGAAACAGAGGAAGTATCATATAAAGCTTCTATTATCGGAAAAAAATGGTGATGTTACTGTTGCATTGGAGTTGGTGATGTTGTTTAATTACCTTGGGGAGGATGGCCATGAAGGAGTCGGGGACCTCCATGTCGCCGAGGACGCCGGTGTTGATGGCGACGGCGGCCTTGTGGATCTGGGTGGCGCAGTCGCGCTTCTGCTGGAGCTCCTTGCGGGCCTTGCCGGAGATGCCGCCGTCGGGGACGCACGGCACCGGCAGCCACCACCTGTCCTCGTTCCGGTGCGTCGACCGCCGGAACGACGACGACGACATCGTCGACGACGACGTCGCCGACCCGAACGACCTCGTCCCGGCGTCCGCGTACCAGAACTCCGCCTTCTGAAAACTCTCCAGTATCTCCTGCACAAATTCGAAATTCAGCTCATCCAAAATTCGTCAAATTCAGCATGTTTTTAATTTGCGACAAATTTGTTGGGATCTTACAATGAGCATGGCATCGAGCTTCTCCAGAGCAGGGAGGTTGATGTAGATGTCGGATCTTGGCCTGGTGGCCATGACCTGCAGGATGAACAGCAATGGAGATGGAGCAAGCAATCAATCAGCCATGGCGTTTGGTAAGTAGAAATCCATTGAATCGTCCATGGATGGATCATGGATGGATACCTCGACTTTGGTGCCATCGGGGAGAGTCTGTGAGGAGGGGTAGAACTCGACGATGTAGTCGCATACGGAGAGGAGGCAGTCCATCTCCCTCCTCCACATCGTCTTCTTCCCCGCCGGCAATGGCTCCAGCTTGTGGCAACTCCCGAACACCGTGGCTGCATTAGCTCGTCGGATTAGTCATGGTGGTCACGGATTAGCAAGAACAAGTTCGCCGGCGATCATGTCGATCGCGCTGCGTACCGTAGAGGTTGGTGATGGCGTTGGAGATGGCGACGGCGGTGCAGACGCCCTTGCCGCCGCCGGACATGTCCTCGCCGAGCAGGAGCTTGGAGAACCTCTCCTTGACGAGCTCCAGCTCGTCGTCGGTGGAGCGCCGGTCGAGCACGTCGGCCCGGGGCTTCATGCTGAGGCGGCTGAGGCTGAGAGCGGAGGCCGCCGCAGCCGGCGAGCGGCGGCCGATCAGCCTCGACACGGCGGCGGCGGACGGCGGCTCGAACGGGCCACTGTGGTCGACGCTGCTGCCGCTGCCGCCATGCTCCTCCGAGAAGGACGACACGTCGGAGAAAGTCCGGCTCAGGTTCACCGCGTCCATGCTCGGCGTCGTCGACGACGAGCAGCACCCGCCGCCGTTCGCCTCCGAGCTCTCGTCGGACACCGACACCGACGAGCTACTCTCCATTGCCGATCGATTGATGCCGACGAGCTCTCAACGCTGCAAGAAACAAGAAGAGAGAGAGCTTTATATATAACGAGTTCTTCTTTGCAATGGACACGACAAGTTCATCGAAACAAGAGAAACCCATCTCACTAAAAAAATTTCAAACCTCCTAGTCCTAGGTTTAAATTTGAAACTGTAGCTTAATTTAAACACATTTTGCCAATGTTTGTGTGCCTATGTAGGACAGCGGTGAGAAAATCTTGCAAAATGCCCCTGTTTGTTTAGCAACAAAGCTCGCTGCTTTCTAGATGATAGTGAGGTTACTAGTAGTACTACTCGACACCAAGTCATAAACTAAATCATCTCATGCAGATAAAGATGCAGATGCAAATGGAATTGAGAGGACCAGTATGCTCTAAAGATTTCAGAAGCTTTTGCTTTTGAACCTTCTTTACATACAGGGTTTGTGCAATTGGACGCATGCATGCATTGCCATCGTCGTCGTCATCTCCAAGATTCAGAAAAAAACATTGAAAGAAAACAAGCACTGCTTTTGCAATATTCTTGACTGCTGCAAAGGAGATGGAAAGGATAGAACACCCCCCAAAGATGGCACAAGAAAAGGATTGATTGGCCATTCTTACCTTTTTTTTGTGATGTTGATTTGATTCCTAAGACACTCAAGCCAATGATCTTCTTGCCATGAATTGGAAGCTCATGTTTCCTCTGAAGAATTCCTGCATCAGCTTCCTCTCTTGCTTAGGCTTGGATGGAAAAAGGAGTCAATGGTAAGCAAAGGATGTGCTGTTTTGCATATGGTTTTGTGTTTTCTGGTCCATGGCAAGTGATCATGCCATTGGGAGACATTGCTGATTTTTGTTTATTTTTTATTAGGCGTGGAAAGGAAGTGCATGGGTATAAAAATCATGGCAAGATTATGTTTGCTTAATGACCTTGGAAAGTAGTAGTAATTGCTTGATGTTAGGGGAGAGTCAACCATGATATTAATGGATTTGATCCTTACTGATATTCCTGCTCTGAAACTATACAAAGTACACATGGAAGTTCAGTTAAAAACAAAGGGATTTGACAGCATCTTCACATCACGTTCAACCAAACCAGTTGAAATGAACTAATCAGACCACAGAGATTCTAATGATTGGATGATAAGTTGGTTACAATATTAATTGATGAGCAACAAATCATGGCCTGATGAGTTGTGAATTGTGATAGATTTGACAGGATTAGTGTAATGTATGACGCTGACGCAACGCAACTCAAATTATTCAGGCATTCGTGCGAGGTTCAGGTTCAGAACTAACAGTCCCAGCAGAGATGATGATTGAGATTAGACGATGAACTCATCAGGCCAGGTTGTTTGCCAGTGCAGCGTGTCACAGTACACTCATGACTAATCATCGATGCATTCAGTAATTAGGTACGAGCAACTAACTACAGTTTAACTTTGCGTGCAGAATGGCCAAGAACTCTGATCGACCTTTCCATCTTGCACGGCACAAACGGCCATTAATACACTGTTTCGTGCAACCTCACGCAGCTCTGAACTTTACAAATTCAGAGTTGAAATTCTTCAGAGATTCAGAGTAGGATAGAAGTGTGACGTGCAAAATAACTCTTTTTTTTAGCATTAGGAGATTTGAATGGACGGTGCAGAGATTACGGACGGCTAAACAGAGGATGGTTTCTTTTGGATTAGGAGATTAAACAAATGACAAATTGGCACTGCAATGGAATTCTTCTCTCTCGCACGTTCAGAATGTTCAGGCCGGTTGCCTCTTTTGAGGGGAGAAAGTTGCAGCTGCGCACGAGCAGCATAGAAGCTCTCGAAAATTGTTGTTGGGATCGCAGCAGCGTGGTTGCATGGCCGGTGTGCCTCTGCTTTTAATTAATTTTAGTTTAATTAGGCCCCAGCGTGCAAGCATGTTTAGCTATGCTGATAGCTTGACAATATTGTACTAACTGCATGCTCATTAGTCATTTCCAAGCCTTTTTTTAAAAAAATAAATAAATTTCCAAGCCTAATGACACTTCCATTTTCTTACCTACACGTAATCTGAGAGCATCATTTACAGTTTGCTATTAACTGCACCTATTTGAAGTGATAGTTTTCAGTTTAAGCAGCAAGCTTGTTGCTAGTTGCTACAATCTGAATTACACTATTCCATGTAATTATACTGTATCCCCCTTTTTCGTTAGAAATAATGTCACTGGTGTTCCCCCTTTTTTTTTAAAAAAAAAAGCAGATTCAACATGAAATTAGTATCTAGAAACTTGAAATGTGGAAGAAGTGCAGCCAAAACTCAGAAAAGACATGCTAAATCCGGGGTAAAAACGTCGTCAGAATGACTCCAATGGCTAGAGACAGCCATTGCCCAGAGCATGAGAGACATGAGCTCCATGAAACGGCAGCCACAGCCATCATCAAGGGGAGCATGCCTGAATACAATATTAGCAGCAGATGCTTAGCTCAGGCGTCCAAACGTTTGCTAATTAATCTCCTTAATTAGTTTAACCAACTAATCACATCCTCTTATCATACTTAAAGAATTGTATCTGGAGGGTACTAATCAGGATTCTGGAGTCGTGGGCACTACGTGCCCGTCACGATGCCTACCTTAGGTATAGATTAATCGCCCTTTTAATTTTGATATTTTGTTCTTTGTTTTTTTTTGCTTAATGCATGTTACTAGTACTGAGAGGGCGTGCATTGCACGTACCCGCCATTAATGCACAGGATAGAGGATGTTCTGTTTTTTTTAAAAAAAAAAATGGTTTGACCTTATGCTTTCTCGAGAGAATTATGAATCGAATTGCTTAATTTGATCGTCTCACTTTTCCCTAGAGTTCGAGTGATTGTGCAAAAGACGATAAAAAGGATTAGATTGTTTATTAGTTGGTAGGATTGGAGATCGATTGTTCAGTAGGACATCATCAAGGTCAACATAGCTTAGCTTGTTTTCTCTGTCAGAGTTGACATTGTTCGTCGATGTTGCCGTTTGTTCAGCACTGCTCTCTGCTTCTAGGCCGTCTGTTTCCAAGAACCTAGTGCTGGCTGGAACAAGAACACATTTACATTGCCCCTGGTGAAAAAAAAATCTATATTGCCCGGTGAAAAAAAACATTTTTTTTTTACATTTACATATATGAATTTCGTCGGGAATTTTGTGACTGAAAGCGGTTTACTTGCCAAGAAACCAAAACTACTACGTAGGTGTAGCTGCGCCTAAAAATGCTTGTAAAATTATTTTGAGAACTGATAGAATCATCTCGCTGACTTGATTACCACTTGATTTGTCAGAGAAGTGCAGAGTTTTGTGGCGACGAGCACCAGTAACGGCGGGCTGTCCACTGGTGGGCCAAACCTTATTGGGCCACGTGGATTTCCAAAATGGGCCACAATGCAATTTTATATGGGCCGTACCAGTCCGCCGATCAATCTTATGTGGGCCTACATGTCTGGGCCAATCTATGTGTCTCGATTTGGATGGGCTAAAATGGGCCCGACAACGATGCCACCTGTCCTGGGCCTTTTTGCTAAGACCCAATTAACGTGGGCTGTTCCTCCAAAATTCTCCTCCGGCCCAATATGGATTTCGATTAGCAGTGATCCAATTTGGGTGGGCCTTCATGAGCCGCCACGTCAGTCCGAGAACCAGGCTCTGAACGCTCCGAATCCAGGCCGAATTGGGCTAATCAAATTGATTTCTCCCCGAATTGGGGGAGATTTGAATTTTGTTTTTGGACTAGCACCGTGTATGCATGCCAGTGCACTACAAGTATTGACCTTTTGTTTGCATGCAAACGAGAACTGAAACGCCCTTTGGCTGGATGGCTGCAGGATGCTTAGCTGTGCCATACTGCATACATTGAATTTGGTTTTGGAATGGATGTGAAAAGGCCAACTCGAGTTATTGCTGCAAATCAAAGCAGCAGATTTGCTATACCAATATAGACAAGACCCTGCATTTATTTGGAGATCATGCAAAATTATACTACATTAAAACAGCATCAAAATCTTCAAAAGAAAATATAAATTATTTGTTCGACCTCCACCTCGTTACAAGATACTTGATCAAGCGATTGGCAGTCCCATCGTTTTGCCTACATCTAATCATAACGGTTATTAGCGAAAAAATATACATAAAATTTCCTATATGTATTTTTACTTGCTTAAAAACCAATGCTGACAAATAAATACGATAAAAACATCAAAATCAACTTTTAAAAAATATTTTTTGGTTGCCGCTGCTAAGCCAAAGAGCAAACAATAGAGCTTACGCAAGCACATAAGACATATTTCTTTTATATAAAGAAAATATGTTGTTTTGGGTAGTGAGTAGTGACGCGGTCTTAGAGATATGGTACATCCTGGACTATGGCTTTCTCTCGTAGCACGATTTTTCTTTAAAAAAAATAATATTGTACAATGATTTTTTTCATGATAAATTTACCCGTGTTTTTTATGCATTGGTATTCAAGCTCAACATGTTCCTGTGATTGAAGAAAAACATGAAGAATGTGGGAATGACTAATTGATCACCACCTGTTGAATAACCATATAGACTAACATTAAATAATTAATCCACTTCTCTTGAAAGCTCTTTAATTATTTATTTATTTATAGACTCCCTCAATATTATTCACTATACTGAAATAAAAACCATTTCATTTGTATCCAATTTTAGATTTCAAGTTTGCTTTTCTGGAAATTCCCCATTTCACATTTTTATTCATATAAATATACTCCATCCGTTCCAAATTAGTTGTCTTTTTGGGATTTAAAATAGTTTTCACAATAGAGTACTACTTATCCCATCAATCACTTCTAATTTAAATTTGTCTCTTTTCTACCCTCAACCATCATTCCATATACAACAATATATTTTATTAAATAATAAAGGGTACTATTATATTTTTTTTAACTTTAATACGTGCTAAACAATCTAAAATGACAATAATACGGGACGGAGGGGGGTATATAGGAGAGGGGCGTGGCGTCGCGGGATCATACAAAGGCTAGGCGTGTGGCCGTGTGCGTGCGCTGCGCACGAGGAGACGCGGAGAGAGAGAGAGAGAGAGAGAGCACGCGGCTGAGTCGAACCCGTTCGGTCGGGTCGGGTCGGGTCGCGTCGCGTGGGCTGCATGCGTCGGTCGCTCGCGCCGCGGCGGCGCGCGGCGGAGGCGGCGATGGCGGCGGCGCGCAACCCACGAAACCCTAGGCGCCGCGGGGCCATCCTCGCCGCGGTCGCCCCCTTCCTCGCCTTCGCCGACTACCTCAGGCTCCGCCTCGTCGACCGCGCGTGGCGCCTCTACTGCCGCCGCGTCGGCCACGCCCCGCCGCCCTTCCCCTGGCTGATGCTCCCCGAGCGGGAGTCGCCGCCGGGGGCGGGGGCGGTGGCGCGCCGCGTGTTCTACGACGTGCCCGGCGGGCGGTCGTACGGGTACCGGGTGCCCTCGAGGGACATGCACCGGTGCGTCGCCACGGGGCACGGGTGGGTCGTCATGGTCGCCGTGGACGCGCCGCGCCGCGTGATGCTGCTCAACCCCATCACCGGCGACCAGAGGATCGTGGCGTGGCCGTTCGCCAGGTGGAACGCGCGGTTCCACGCCGTCCTCACGTCGTCTCCCGCCGCCGGCGAGGCGGGGTGCTTCCTCGTGGTGGTCGCGGACAGGCTCCTCGCCTTCTGCCGCCCCGGCGCCGACTTCCAGGGGTGGGAGACGCTGCGCGCGCCGGGGTTCCGCCACCACGCGGCCCTCAGCGACGTCGTCGCCGTCGGCGCCACGGTGTACCTCGTCGACGAGCGGAGGCGGCTGTGGCGCGCCGATCTCGCGGACGAGAACCCCAAGGTGCAGCGCAGGGACACGGGGTTCGCGCTCCCGTCGCTCGAGCTGAGGCGGCACTACCTCGTGGAGTCGCTCGGCCACGTCCTCCTCGTGCTCTCGGACGAGCGCCACAACCGCGTCGCGCTCTACAAGCTCAACTGGGACGCGAGGGCGTGGCTGCCGATCGCCGCCTGCCCCGGCGAGCGCGTGCTGCTGCTCGGCCGCGGGTGCTCGGCGGCCGTCCCGCCTTCCTCCGCGGCCGGCCGCGCCCCGGGGACCGTCCTGTTCGCGCACCAGCCGTCGACGCTGCCCGACGTGGACGTCGCCGCCCGTGGCCAGGCGTGGTTCTGGTCGGAGTCGAGGGTGGGCGCGGCGCCGGGTGATCTGCTGGTGCTGAAGAAGACGGTGCCGCACCGCCATGGCGAGTTCCCCGCCGACGGCGACTCGTTCTGGTTCTTCCCAGCAGTTGATCCGGATGAGGACGCAAGGTGAAAAGCTTCGATTTTTTCTCTTCATGTATTGTCAAGCAGCTCAAGCAAATCAGGGTAAAGATAGTGATAGCATCATGACTCAGATGTGCATGGTTTAGCTCTTTAGCCTCTTACAGAGTTTACAGTTCAGTGTCATATATGAGTCCTGCTTCTGCAATTGTGATCTCAAGTGCTAATCAATTGTGTAGAGCTTTTGATACTGTTGTAGCATGTTAATCTGCTTCTGCAATGCATATTCTCTCGCTTTTTTTGTTAACTCTGCTGAGGTTATAGACTTAATAGTTTCTTCATGTATCAGTGAGAGGAAAACAGAAGTGTCAGAACATCAGTGGTTACAAGAGCATTGGCTCTGTTTTACTGTTCAATCAAATGTCGTATGAAATTATGAATTGTTCTGCAATGTGCAATATAGACAGGTAAAGAATCATCTGTAGGCTGATGCTGTAGAATTTGGGAGGAATGTTCATGCAGGGACCTCCATTGTGGATGCCTGAGTCTCCATTCTGCATAAACAGATGCATATTTAGTAACATGAATCAAGTGATGTTGGAACTCATAAAACATGGGTGCAGTCTTTAGTTGCAGAAATGCAGAGTGCAAGATGTCGAATTGTTTGGACTGAAATTTGGTTCATTCAGGAATCAGGATTAACTGTGTCTGCATATTCATTTGGGATGTTCGGTTCCCTGTGGCTGTGGCTGTGGCTGCAGTGCTGCACAGTCACAGGGCTGCAGTAGCCTAGTATAGCTTGATATAAACTAGTAGTTATTGTGGTTGCAGCTGCAGCAACATCCACAGCAACGTACAGCAATCTCAACTGAACACCCAATTTCTATCAGGCTAAGATCAAGTAGTCCATACATTTTACTTTATTTTTGTTTTGGATTTTTTCTTGCATTTACTTTAATGGATCAGTAGATATGAATTGTATTAATGCTAACCTTCTGTCCGATGATCCTATCCAATTAAGATGTCTTTTTGTTCTGCAGAGAAGTGTACTTACATTGTAACAGTGTTCATCCTTCAGTTTATTCACCAAACTAAATGAAATCTTTGTTATTTTGATCACAGTTGGGCATGGATGCTCCCCTGCCAAACTCCTAAATCCCCAATTCCTAGTCACCAAGCATTTTTTGTCAGTTTCATTCATTTTGTTTGAATTGCAAGCAAACAGTTATTTGGATATGGTACATGATACAATGCTGTATTTTTGTGTTAAAAAAAAAAACTCCTCTAGAATGGAACAAACCTGATTAGAAGGTATAATATTGTGACAAGTTGAGTCGCAAGGATATGCGCAATCGATTTCTATGCCAGGCCCTCTCTCAAAGTACCATTCACCAACCAGCTCTGCAATTGTCTGAAACAAACCAGATATCATCTATGTCTGCCTGCAAATACACCGCATATACACAACATTTTCATGTAGATTGCCAGTACCTTGTTATGCAACCTGGGCGAATTTGGTGCTAACCATGTTTCCTGCAGCTCACTCTGGCAATGTGCAAAACAAGAATTTATGAACATCCCTACACCCTGTTCATTTTGGAACGGCTTCAGAGCCGTCAACATTGCATTCCTGAGTCCTGCAGACAGATTCAGAACTCTGAAGAATGTCACGAAGACAACAACTTGAATCCAGAAATCTCACATATGCCTGTTCAATGGAATCTAAATCTGAATAATCTTTAGTGTGAATTTCGTAAGAGCAATAGACTTGCACCTATTGTTTATATGAAAATTGCACAGATTAGTATTTAGCTCTACCAAGAAAGAGAAAAAAAAAGGTAACCTTGGAGAGTCGCAATTTGGGATGTACTGCATGCACCAGGATCCGACTTACAGTGGCTCCATTGGCCTTTAGGATCACATGAAGGATGCACAAAATTGTGATGGAACTGTTCAAAAAAGGTAAAAATCATGCGTTTTTGCTTGCGAGTTGTATAACCATATGCTAAAAAACATCAAGTTGCGCCATGTCATTTTTTTACCTGATATACGTCGTAAGCTGAATTCAAAATGAAGTAAGGGGTTCTGATGTATGGAAGTATATATTGCGGAAAGAAGCACTGCGCAGAGAAGTGAGACAAGAAGATTATAAAAAGTTGTAACTTTTGAACAATGAAATTCAGTACTTTGAAAGGGAAGATAAAAAAAAATCTTAATTGATACTACCTGGTATGGATAGTCTGTTGAACTTAAACAGTCTTTGTTCAAATTCTTCTCAGCTCCCTGCGTGAAAAACTCATGGCTTTAAAAATTAAAACACTACCAAATAATGTGAAATCCAATGTGCAGAAACACGCTTAACTAGTCGGTTACCTGCAAAGCTACTAGGCTCCTAAAGAAAGGCTCAACAGTGTTGTTGCCAGTAATGTCATCCCTGCAGGACACCAACCAAAGTAAATTTTTGTGTTTCAACCCAATGAGTTCAAGAATCAGTCAACCAAAGTAATTTTTTTTTGCTTGATTAGACTCCACTGTTACACATCAAGGAAAAATCCTGCGTCACTCAAGCATTTCACAGTGACAGCATCTCCGAGACGTCCTTTGAGGTCGTCGCAGTGGAAGAATGTAGCTAGGCCTCCTGCTGAACAGCCTGAGAGCAATACCTGAAAAATTCAGAACTTGTTAAGAACAAAGGCAACAGGGCAAGCTCTGAAGCCTGAAGAATGAGTGAGTTATGAATTATGATGCCGTTTAGGATTCTCGGAGTAGCTAGTAAGTTATTGTTAGTGTTGAAAAGCTTACATTGGCATCAAAGAATTGGATTCCAGCTTAAGTTAATCGCGATGAAAATTGTAAAATGAGTTTGTGCAGAAAATACTGAAATGGAACAAACTGTTTTCAGGAGAACCAATGAACCTTTTGGGCTTTTGCAAGGCCTTTTGGAAGGAGATCACTGATGATAGCGTCCCATATCCTCTGACCTCTGAAGTAGAGGACTGAAGACTGCAAAGTGGTAAAACACAAAACAGTGAGTTGAGTACTGAACAATGCAGAAGAAAAAAAAACACAAGCAATTCAATTGAAGACATGTTTTGTTTCAGTCAGGGAAACAGGGAAGCGTACGCCATTTCTGAGTTCTGAATCACCGGCGAAGGAGCCACCATCGCAGTACCTCAGCTTGACACGATTCCAGTTGTAAAAATCTGCCAAATTGACGACAAACACTATGTTAAAATCCCTACATTTTTGTTTAAATGATAAATAGAATAATTGAACGGTAAAAGAAGAACAAATATCATCTTCATTTTAGGTTATAAGACTTTCTAGCATTACTCACATTCATGAATATGTGGATATATATGTGTGCCTAGATTCATTAATATCTATATGAATGTGGGCAATGTTAGAAAGTCTTATGATATGAAATGGAGAAAGTAGAAAACAAAAGTACTGTATAAAATCTGCATGTCTGCATCAAAGTAATCAAAGTTAGAATAAAAAAGTGATATAGCAGATTAGGAACGCCAACTTAATTAGTCACTTAGATAGTCTGAAATTACTAGTCGAACGATTGAATCATCACCAAACAAGCAAATATACATTATGAATCCTCTAAAACAACAACCTGAAAGGCTAAAACTCGAGAAACCTAATAAGTTGTGTTGTAGGTTGATGAACCTGAATTTACACTAGCCTGATGTCGATGTGCCGACTCTAGAGTCTAGACTAGTAAATGTACTACTGCACGATTCCACATTTTGCATAGTGAATCTATCATTCCATCCCGGCACTAACTATTCTTGACCATGAGCTGTTCATCCCTTCATGGTACCTACCCGATTGTGACTGTACTTGCTCGCTGTCACCTTTTGCAAAAGCAAACTCACGTACCACCAAGAACGGAAACGTCTGTTGTTGCTAACAACTTGCCGTATGAACTGGTAAATGTACGAAGTTATTTGAAGAAAAAGGCATCTCATTACGAGCTACTACCTCCGCATTCATAATATTTATTGTTACCGCTATTAATCTTTTAAAAAAAGACCGCTATTAATCTTTAAAATATTTAACTAGAAATAATTTCTAAAATATTATTTTGAAATATGGAGATCATAATATGTATAGACCAGTTTTAAAAAAGAAATACTTCGATAAAATCATATATTTCTTGATATTTCTGTATACTAGCTAAAGACCCGTGTGTTATAGTGGATATTATAAGTGATAAAAGCAAAGAAAAAAATTATAAGGTTATAGCATAGTCACTCGATTAGACATATAATGTCATATCCAAAGTCAAAACTAAAATATGTTGCTAGATGATCTTCTTTTTTTTTTATCCTCTTCGTCTATTTTCACAAGCCATTTGGTCGGATATACAAAATTGAACGCTTATAACTCATCTATGGGTGAAAGGTAAATTTTTTTAGATAAAGAGGGTGAAAGGTAAATTTGAAGGTTGTGTATGTAACCCTTTAAAATTCCTACAATTAGCAATTCCAATACCATTCACGAGTTGATGATTTTATACTTATGACCCCACATATCAGATGATATTGGAGGCAGACTCGGACACAACCACTAATATCATTTTAAATAGCATAGATATTATCATATAAAATGTGTGATAAAATTTGTTTTTAAGATTACTAATCTGAAGGGAGTATAAATCAATGGTTTTTTTCTTCTTTTGCGCAATGCTACTTGTTGTTGTTTGAGAAAGAAACACAGTGACTTAACTTGGAAATTTATATTGGCCGTACACTTCGCACCTGGATTCATGTCCGGATCGTTGCTGAGGAGGCCGGAGAACACCTCGAGGCTGTCCATGGAGCGCGTGGAGCCTCGCCGCGTGCCGGCCCTTTCCGCGCACGACGGCGCGTCGTTGCACCACCCGCCGCCCTCGAACTGGAGCACCCAGCCGCCGGCGCCGCCGCCAGAGCCCCGGTGGAGGTGGTACGCCGGCGGGCTCCCGTCGAGGCACACTGCAAAGATCGATTGAAACAACGCGCACGATCAAGAATGCAAACGATGTGTACGTGTGTGCCTAGCAAGGTCAACTAATTAAGGAATTTTCCAATTGCATGGTAAATTGGTAAATGAATCTCCATTTCCTTTCTCGTTGACCTCGCCAGCGATTCGCGGCGGTGCAATGCAATCGATCGAACACTAAGAAATCGCACACAGAGAAGAAGAAGAAGAAGAACAACAAGAAGAAGAAGAACAAGAAGAATTCCTCGCCTGCTCCTGTCGATGTGGCAGCTTGGAGGAGAGTCATGCCCACCACCAGCCTCTCCTCGGCAGCCACCGGCGTCACGACGGCGGCGACGAACACGGCGAGCCGCCATGGCCAGTGTCGCTGAGCCATGGCAGAGGTAGGAGGACGAAGCCTACAAAGAAGGCAGGATGCAAAAGGCGTCAGCTGCTTTGGATTGCGCTGCGCCTGCGCCTATCTCAGCAGAGCAGCTAGCCTGTGCATCTGTAGATTCTGTAATGCCATGTATGCACGCTGTCATGCTCATGAACAGCATAAAAGTTGGAGGCTTGGAAAGCGAAATGGCAACGGAAAAGAGGATATTGCAACCGACGATTATCGATGACGACAATGGCAGTGAGCACGTACGTTAGTTAGTTAGTTTCTTGGCTTAGGAATTGGAATTATTGGTAGGTAGATCACGCGCTCCCTTTTCCGGTCATTGTTAATTAATGGCTTAATTGCTGGTGATTTTCTCCTATCCTAACTCCTACGTACATGCTGAAACGTGTATCGGTTAATTTGGTGTAATGTTTGATTAAATCAATCTCTTAATTTGATGTTAAGATTTTCACAACAATCGTACAAGATTAACCAAGGGCGAGATTGATTTGGTGACGCCGATTCTTCGAATTAATTTGGAATTTTACTTCGCTCTTTTAATTGGACCGTTTGGATTTCTTCCCCCGCCCAACTTAGGAAAAAGTACACCGAAGGTCCCTCATCAGGTTAAAAAATCGCCCCCCAATCACAAAACCGAATACAACGCATCCCCCAACTTACAAAACCAGTGCAAACTAGGTCCCTCGGCGATTTTGACCCCGGTTTTATCTGACGTGGCGGCTGAGTCAGCGTGGGACCCACATGTCAGGATGCCACGTTGGCAAGCCAGCCTCTCCCTACCTTTCCTCTCAACATGTTAGGATGCCACGTCGTCGGCATGCTGGCCGGCGGTGGGGAGGGGGTCGCCAGGGCGAGAGGTTTGACGGCCGGCCAACGATGCGGCGGTGGCTGAGACACGAGAGAAGGGGAAGGTAGCGGGCCAGCGTCGTGGCAGAGAGGTGGTGGCGGGCGAGCGAGCCGTGTGGCGGAGAGGGCGGAGGCGACAGTGGCGGAGAGGCACCGATGGCCGCCACGCGGGATGAGAGGCCGGCACCGACCCAAAAGTGGAAGCCGAAGAAGAAGGCGTGGGCGAGAGTGGAGGCACGCGCCAGCGAGGCCGCCACTCTGCCCGTCGCCTCTTCTCTCTCAGTTTTCTCCTCGTCTAGGTGGACAGGCCGACCGGCGGGTTGGGGAGGAAGCCAACGAGGCGAGGCAGGAGAGGAAGAGGTTCAGTGGCCGGTGGCCGGCGACCGGCGATGTGGCAGCCGCACCGGCCTACCGGAGGACCGGGCAAGCGGTGGCCGGTGGGCGAAGCGGGTGACGGCGAGGGCCGGAGCGGCCGGCCGACGGTGGGCAAGCGCGCTGCGGGAGAGGAAGGGGCTACGGCGGCAGGGGCGCGGGAAGTCAGGCCGCACCGGCAAGCGGCGGTCGACGTCGACCATCTGGAGGGCGGAGAGAGGAGAAGAGCGGGGAGAGGGGAGAGCTGAGGCGGATGGCGCCGATGTGGAACGGGATGGGGAGAGTGAGGCCGCCATCACCGTCGTCGTCCATGGCGTGGGGGAGGCCGCCGCCGACCCGCCTGCCCACCGGTCGCCAAACCTCCTCCTCTCCCGTTTCACCCTGTCGGCTTCCTCCCCAACCCGCCGGCCGCCCTGCCCACCTAGATGAGAAAACTGAGAGAGAAGAGGGGAAAGAGATGACTTGGCATCCTGACATGTGGTGCCCACGTGGGTCCCACGCTGACTTAGCCGCCACGTCGGATAAAACCGGGGTCAAAACCGTCAAGGGATTTAGTTTGTATTAGTTTTGTAAGTTGGGGGATGCGTTGTATCCGGTTTTGCGGTTGGACGATTTTGTAACTCGATGACAAGTTGAAGGACCTCCGGTGTACTTTTTCCCCCAAGTTATACAGATAAGACGGTGCCGCTGGCCCACCAAAGTTTGGTCCGACAAATTCTGATGGAAAAAGTACATCAGAGGTCCATCAACTTCGAGTTACAAAATCGTCCCCCAACCACAAAAACAGATATATAACATCCCTCAACTTACAAAACCAGGTTATGTCCTAAGGCAGTATTGCCACCGGTTTTAGCTGACGTGGCGAGTTGACTTCAGTCAACAATGCTGAGTCAGCACCCACGTGTCATAACACACAGAAAAAAAAAGTCTCTCTCGCTCTAACCACCATCGGCCCCGTCGGAGTCCAGTGTGCGGCGGAGGAGGGGCACGACGGCGCCGGTGTGCGGCGGGGATTGCTTGGTCGCTAGCGGCAACGCTCCAAGCGGAGACGGCGCCCGTATCGCCGTCCGTGTCGGTAGGCCCATCGCCTCGGAGGGTTGGGGGAAGTGACCCCGACAAGCTCCGACGATGGCGGAGGCGAAGGTGGAAGCAAAATCCCCCCGAGGTGGTGGCGGCTGGCAGGGAGAGGCGTCCATCGAGAGAGCGGTAGGGGCCTCCTCGTTCAACGATGCACCCTGGTGCACGCCGAATCCCCCCGAGCTGCGGCGCAGTGGTGACGGTGGGGCGAAGAAGGCGGCGGCGGTGGAAGACGTCGGGGTTGCCCTAGAGCTTGCCGAGGATGGCCTTAAGGAACTCGCGGTCTCGCCGGCGGTCGATACCTTGGGGTTGATGAAGGCGAGCTCGCGGAGGTTCCTTAGCGGGAAGGAGGGGGTAGGGGCGTAGGGCCACTGTCCACGGAAGCCAGTGTTGCGGAGACGACACGCGGCAGCCGCCGGCGAGCGCCGCTGCCGCCTTTCCACCACCAGCCGTGACTGCAGCCTTTTCGCCGATGAGCGTGCTCCCGCCGCTGCAGCCTTTTCGCCAATGAGTGCTCATCGACCTTCTCCGCCCCGTCGCCAGCCGCTCCCCCCCCCCACCCCCGCCGCATAGGGAGGGTGCCCCGCGGCGGCGGCGGCAGCGATGGCCAAGAAGCAGAGCGAAGACGATGAGGTGACCGTGATGCACGATGCCGGACGGAAAGCACGACGGCGGTGTAGCCCGGACGAGGAGGAGGAGGACGACGCCAGCGAGGAAGAAGAGATGGAGCGGGATCAGATCGAGAAGGCGCAGCTCGAGCGGAACATCAGGCGGCACCGCTGTTCCCCTCCACTCGCCCCCCTCTCTCTCTCTCTCTGCCCTGAGCTCGCCGGCGTCGCATCCATCTGCTTCCACCTCCGCGCCCGCAGTCGCGTCGCCCGCCTGCGCCCGGCCCGCCGCCGCCGCATCGCCACGCCACCCCGCCGCTCGTCGCCGGCCGCACCACCCTCAGGCCGCGCGCGCCGCCGTGCTTATCCCTAGCGAGAGCAAAGAGCGAGAGGGAGGAAGGAAGGAGAGAGAACAGAGAGAGGAGAGGAAAAAGATTAGGTGCTGACGTGTACACCTGACAAGTGGGGCACACGTGGTCCCACGCTGACTCAGCCGCCACGTCGGATAAACCAGGGTCAAAACCACCTGAGGACCTAAATTGAACGGTTTTGTAAATTAAGGGGTGTCATATATCTGTTTTGTGGTTGGGGGACGATTCTGTAACTCGATGACAAGTTGAGGGACCTCTGATGTACTTTTCCCAATTCTGATTATCTGACTTTAAAGTCCATACTTGTTTGGATCGCTAAACAGGCCCACTAAATCCTGGGCCGTCCCAGTCTGGTCCTCGGGCTGTCGAGGAGGCCCATGAAAGGTCCACCAAAATGTAGACCCAATTCGCCAACGGATACGGCCCACATAGGACCAAAAGGTTGGCCCATGTTATGGGCCAGCCCACTTAGCATGCAGGCCGATGGCCGAACAGAATGAGGCAAGGCTACGAGATCCGGCGAGGCGGCGAAGCCGGCGATCGCCGGTGGCCGTGACCACCGTCGCCGGTGCGAGCGCGTGACTCCTAGATTCATGGATGGAGGTATGCATCCAACCCTAATTTCTCCACGATGCTTAATTAGTTCTAACGAGGGTTGAAGACCTGAAGTTAAGAGGGCCATTGACTCGATTAATTTTAGGGGTTCCTTGGGCAGACAACAGTACGGGATCCAGCAGCAATCGTCCATGCATCGATATTCTTAGTTACTAATTAACTATGATCTTAATCAAGTGCTAGTACCCTCCCGTGTCCAGTTCTTGTACTTGGCATCTATGCATCCATGGATCAAGTGCACAGAACTGTAGATCAAATCAAGAAGCACAACAAAGGCCATGCCAAACCCTGTAGAAAACATCGAATTGTTGGCACATTGTTTTGCTCGTCAGTAAATCGGTCTCGTGATCAAGGTAACTTCTGAAATGCTCTGGTAAAACTAGCTTCTCCAGCCTTTTCCAATCTACACAGTACATTATTAAATACGCTAGTGTACTCTAATGTTTGCCTTGTCTGATTTCATGGCCGTGTGCATGAACAGTGGATGATGGAGCGAGCCAATTAATCATTCTACAGTCACCTTGTCTTTCCCTCTGTCTGCTACTACGGCACTCACACAGTTAAGAGCTTCAGGCTTTCGGATTGGTGTCACCTTGATCGCTGCGACCGGCTACGAACATATGACACTGTGACAGGATGTGATTTTTCGGGGGTACAAATTCGGCACGGGTTAGTTCACAGGTAGCTACTGAAACAGGATCATCCCTCCTCTGAAACTCTGAATATTAGCAGGTTCGATTTTGCATGATAAATACTATATATCGCTTCTGCTTCTGTAACTAGTAGTTCTGACCAATTACTTGATTACTCTGAAATGCAAGCACGGCTGCATTAGCCACATAGGATACCACACTGTTCATAGTCGCATTCAGGCCAGTTTTTTGCTCGTCAGCAAGGGAACCAAGCGCTTGTTTGGTTATTGCAGAGAGTTACAGGCTACAGGGTTGAGGTTTCTGCAGGTTAGCACATGCATCTCTGTCATGACTCATCAGCACCCTGAGTAATTTCTTCTCTCTCTTTTTTCTGCTATTTTGCACCTTGCAAATAGACCAATTCCAATGTTTTTTTCTTCAATTGTTGGATTAAAAAAGAGAATACTTAGCAAGTATATATAGTCAATTAGCACTAGGATGACTTTAGTAAAAGATGTGGGTAAAAGGCACAGGGCATCTCAGCCTCTCAGGACCAGCAGCAAGTGTGTGACTGACTAATTAGCAGTAGTAATTGCTAGGAGACAAGCTAACTAATTAAGCTGGTGGTTTGTGGATCAGGCCAAGAATCTTTGACGACAGGTTCTCACCCCATGTTGATGACGATGCTTTTGTTTGTTTAGTCGTCGGATTGTGTTTTTTTGTGGGGGACGCGCCACGCATCATGCATTGCATGCTTGCTGTTGATGCTTTTGGAAGGCAACACAACGTGACTGCATCTTTAGATGTGTAGCCGCTATGGCTAATTAACCTAAGCTAAGTATAATGCGACCAACGCATCAGAAATATTTGTCCAGCTACATACATTAGGTTGTTCAGCCTAATGTAAGCTCAAGATCGATCACAGGGGCAGTAATCAAGGTATGCTGCTATAGCTAGTAGTTCTTGCAACTGAACATTTATATAACGATGATATATCCGGTGAAAACGAGCTAAGTGTTCGAAACGAGCTAAGTTTCGTAAATTCATGATAAAAATACTAAAGATAAGTGTAGATATGAAATATATTCTCACCAAATCTCTTAAACGAAGTTGAGTTTGGAGTTGAGATTTGGTGAAAATGTATTTCATATCTACATTTATCTCTAATATTTTTTTCATCAATTTACAAAATTTTTAGGTATGATTTTCACGAGTTTTCAACACTTAGCTCTTTTTTACCGAATATGTTCCAGCCTGAAGAAATCACTGTCGGTGGTTTGATCAGATGATTATGTGTCTGAACATCAATTTACCTACTTGATGAAATGGTGAGTACAGAGTACTTTGAGCATTGTTTAGCTAACTTGAATCAGAATGTTCATATGTTACCAGGTGATCGAATCATCAAAAGCTGAAAGGGAGAGAGAGGCAAAGGTGGAGAGGAGATTCTGGAGGTGGATGATGATAGGGGGCAGAAGAAGAGAAACCAGTGGCGACTGGCGAGTGGAGCCCACGGTGATCAGAAAGTGGTCCCCACACCCTCCCTGCCTCAAAGATCTCGCCACGTGTCAGTGACGTCGTCCGCACTCCTGCGCGACATCCATGGCCTTGCTCGTCGTGCAGCCGTGCTATATGCTACTACGGTGATGTGGGGGGCCATGGCCGTAAGCAGAAAGAAGCAGGAGAGCTTCTGATATGATCCAGTCAAGTGCACGCAATCTATAGTGGGTGGAGCGGCGTTATGATTTCTTCCGGCTCGAGGTAGACGAACAGCATTCAGAATTTCAGATCGTCCAGGTTGCAAGCAACCACCAGGATGGCGATTATTTCTTCTCGTGTCTTGAGCTGAAAATTTTCTCAACGCCGCACTGGTCCATCACTCCAAGGTCAGTGCTTTTTTATTTACTCTATATATTAATATGAATATTGTTCCAGCAAAGATTAATGAATTAACGACAAAAAAAGGAAGCTTTACAAGACCATTTTGAAGGCAATGCAGATCATAGTGGTACTGGTAGAGAAACGCCCAGGAATTTTCGGCTATCTCTATAAGATGATAGACTAGACGATCTAAATTAGAAGCCTCACATTTTCTAATTATATTTGATATTAGGTTATTCTCTAATATTCACGCGTATTTTACAGCAGTACTGCTAAACTGCAACGTAACGCAGTTCAGAAACAAGAAAGAACTCCACTGTGAGCAGTGACTACTCCCCAGCAATGACACGTTCTCCCAGAGAGCCAATTAAAATACCCTTTGCTACTAATTGAGCACTAATTAATCATTAGGTGGCCTAATCAACAGCTGGAGGAGGACACCCCCTCGAGCTCGTGATATCCGAGGCCACTCACTTCACTTCCTACACAATCTTGCACTTTAGTCCTTCGTGTCAGGACGATATTTCATCTCCGTATCTGGCTAGTATAGCTAGTAAACGCGCAAAGAGATTTCAGAATATTTCGCCAGCCGCCAGCAGCAAGCTCAGCTCAGGAAGAGGAGAGGCGAAACCAAGAAGAGTGTGCTGGCGACTGCCCCCAATGCCTCTTGCATCCTCACTCCACTCGCTCAAGAGGGAGAGTGAGTGAGAGAGGAGCTCGAGGAATCTTAGCTCTTCTTCAGCGTTGATCTGGTTTTCGCCTTGCAAAGGTAATGGGCGTTTCTTGATTCATTCTTCAGAAGGTTTTTCAGTTCATGGGAGATGTTGTTCTTGGCTGGCTGTGTTCTTGAGGTGGTTGGTTGGGGATTTGGGTTGGGGTGATTGAGATTGGATTGGTTTTGCGGGTGGAGTCTGGAGAGGGACAACTCTTCTTTGGAGGAAGCTGTTTATGTGTTTCCTCAAGAGCTCCCAGTGGGACTTGTATTGGCTGGATTTGCTGCAGATGCGAGAGTGCTGTGGAGTTTTTGGACAGGAAGAGTTTTGGCTGTTTGGTGGAGGGATTTGACTGGCATTCATGTGGACATGTTCATCTTTCTCTCAGATTTTGTTTAACAGATTCGAGGTTTCCTTGGATGCAAGAAATGCATTGCACTGTATTTATATGAGAAAAGAAACAGTTTGCGCTTAAAAAAGGAAAAAAAAAAGAACAGTTTTTTTAATCCTTCCTGATAATATAGGGTGGATATTCAGTAGATTAAGTAGATCTTTTTTTTAGTTAGGCATATTGTGTTCTTCCTCTTAAACTTGTCTTGCCTACTAGGCTACTAATATGGAGTTTATAGTAGTTGCCTTTTATGGTTCTAAGATTAGGGATGACGCCACTGCGCCCACCTTTTCCTTTACTGATGAGGGCATCATTTCAACATTTCTTCTATTGTCTATCTCGTTTTGCATCCCAGCATCCAGTTTGTTACCCCAATTTCTCTTGGTTAGTTATTTTAGTATCATTCCCTGCTCAAACTGCTTGTATGCTTGTGTATGACTGTAGATTTCTACCTTTATAAGATACAGAAGGGTGGGTGGATCTTAAGATTGATCCACCTTTTTCATTGCAGTGTACTAGTAGAAATTATTTGCTTGGTGGCAAAACAAAAGAAGGCGGTAATCCTTTCCTGCAGCAAAAAAAAAAAATGATTCTTTGAATAGTGCTACGGACCTAAACATCTAATAATGTATAATGGTTTGATGACATGCAGGTTTTATCTATGGGAAATCGTTCTCGACAACGAGTAGCTAAGGAAGCAATGCAATCTATCAATGAGGAGGCAGACAGTCCTAGCAGGGAAGTGCAACCGGGCAGACACCACATGTTGAAATGCCCAGATGGAAAACCAGAACTGCACCTCGAGCAGATTCCAAATTTCCATTGCAAAAGTTTGCCTTCAAGCCGACGTGAGGCATACCAAGATGATAGCATCATGCACAAGCGCGGCTCTATGTACCAGAGTTCTAGTGATGTTAGCAGACTGAGGAAACTCCAAGAAGGAAGGAGGAAAATAGATTCTGCACTCAGTAGAGATTCATTTATGTCCTTTGAGATTGTGGACTCATCCTCTCAGCCTAGCACAAGTGGACCTTACTTATCGCGGCAACAGAGCCGTTCGTGCAAACCGAGTTCTTCCATAGATGCAAGTAGTAAAGTTCAACAGGCTACCAGGGAGTTCCTTAGTCTTTCATTGCGTGAGCTTCCTGATGAACATTCAAGACTTGGGAGGCCACGCAAGGACTGCAATCTGCTGAAAGATTGTGCAGGAGATGATTTCCTGGAGATATCTCTTGATGAAGACACCAGCAAAAGTGTCCACACGAGACAGATAGAAGGAACCTGTAGCAAAGATGCAAGATCGAATTGCCAACATTCGGTTGATGTTTATTCTGATGGGAGTAAGCATGGTGAAGGTGACCTAGTAAATAAACTGCCCAAGTCCTTGTCAACAAAGGTTGGTGTTTTTGATGCTACATGTCCACCAGAGAGTACTCATGGTGCTAACAGCACCACAAAAGCTCGATCTAGTCCATTCAAGAAAATTCTGGATCCTATCATGAAGTCCAAGTCTCTTAGGAATCCGTCTCTTATGGAAAAGGAAGATGCCAAACATAGTAGCCTGCTGGTTGAAGGAAAAGGCCGTGTATTGCGGAAATCTTTGTTGAGCGGTATCTCAAGGACTGAACAAAGCCTCACACCTAATTGCCAGCAAAGTAAGGAAGCTCAAGTTTTGACGGTTACTTCATCACCAACTCATCTTCATGCGGTTCTTAAACTGGATCCCACTAATGATTCTTTTGGTTTTGAGTTCTGTACCAAGGGCCCAGAAGAATCCATTTATGCTAACATTTGGAAAGCCGGAAACGAATTGAATTGGATTTACACTTTCCATAGCACAGGGAAGCGAACAAGTACTGTTGGAAAGACCCCAAAGGATAGACGGGGATGTTTGCCTCCAATTGTAGGCCAAATGCATGTGTCTTCCTATTTGTACTCTGAAGTTGGACAAAATGGTGTTCTGAATAACTCAGCCATCAGTGAGTTTGTCTTGTACGATATTGCTCATGCGAGACGAAGTTCTGCTGTTGAAAGAATTCAATGTACAGATTCCAGCAAACCAAAATTCTGCAGTGCTGTAAATAATTCGATATCTAGGGGTTCTCTAGAGAGGAATAATCTGATGGAGCGGCAAAATAATACAAGGAATAACTCGGATGCATCAACATCTAGTCTTTGGTCCCGAGAAGATCTCCATCCTCATTTGGAGGTTGCTGCTATTGTAATCCAAGTGCCGTTCCACAAAACCCAATCCAAAGAATTGAAAGACGGCTCATCATCCGGTACCATTAAAGTGGCTGCAGCAGGCGGGGCACATGGTTTACCGAGGGATGATGAAAGCAGCCCATCACCTCTACTTGACCGCCTGAAGACTGGTGGAGGTTGCGATTGTGGTGGATGGGATATGTCTTGCCCAATTGTTGTCCTTGACAATGCATATGATAGTCATTGGGTTGATTCAGTGATGACTGAAAGCAAGCATCCTATGGAACTACCTTTTCAGGTACGCCTTATAATTTTTCTCCTTGTTATACTTTTACTGCAAACACAATTAAGGCGGTAAGTTCCTGCATTCAGATCATGACCTTAGTATGTCTGAATATTCATGAATTAGCAGTGCCATAATATTTTTTATAGATGTAGTTGAAGATCATGTTGTTAAATCCTCCCTTAAAAGTACTGGAGAAATATACTACATCTTTACTTATAGACACGGCAGTTTACATGCTTTAGTAACAAACGTTACTGATTAGTGCTCTCCAAACATTGAAACAGGGTAACAAAGAGGCTCTCCCTGCCATTTCGATGAAGGCAGTTGGGAATGGACATTTTTCGGTGGATTTCCACGCACGGTTGTCAGCATTGCAGGCATTTTCAGTCTGCATTTGTTTGCTTCACTGTTCTGAAGTTTCTTCTGCCATTGGTATTGAGAAATTCAAGCATAAGCTGTACTCCAGCTCACTGAAGATGCTCCTGAAGGATGAAGTCAAGCAGCTAATTGAATCGGTAACCACAAAAGAGAACAAGAAGAAGAAAACAAAGAGGCGAAAAGAAAAAACACCTCCATCCATCGTCCTTGACCCACCGTTTTCACCCATGGGAAGAGTATAATCAACGGACCAGTAACCCCGGTGGAACAAAAATACAAGTCAGAATTGTGTCATTATGTACAACATTGTCGGTCATGATCTGACTATGATCATGATCATTTGGATGTGCGATAAAAGGGAAAAATATCCTTTTGACCTGTTCATAAGGATGGAGGTAACCTTCTTCAGTTTATAGCAGTAGCCATTAGATTTTTGCCAGGTTTATAAATCTGTATGAGTCCTGAAGCAAACACGGTTCTTAGTAGAACCAATTACAAGAGACAGAATATGGCCATTGCCCTTTTTTTTTGTACAGGACATCACTCTTTTGCTCTCCATTGCTTCAAGTTCTTTTTGGAGCCTGGCAAATTGAACTGGCCCTGCGTACCAATTTTTTTTTTCTTACGGAACTCTTACAAACGCAGATGTGGCATGCTGTGAGTCAATCTAGATTTCCTGTAACTCCCATCTAGTTAAATCAAATGGCTTTGTTTGTGAGAGTTCTGTAAGATTTTTTTTAGCACCAGTGGTTGCATTTTTCATTCGGCTTGAAGAAGGTTCTAACTGCTATTCTGCTAACACCAATATGTTGAACACAAATTTGCTTTGTTCTGCTTTGTACTGTACCTGAATATGCACTGCTTTGCTCCAGAAGTTTTGAACCAGAGGCGGGAGTTGGAATTTGGCAAGAAACCGCGCCATTTGGTGCAGTGTCTGCTTCAATTACTGCACTGGTTGTTGTTGGCTTGGTTCATCTGCTTCTGACTTTAGTAGCCCTGAGCCTGATCCTGATCCTGAAGAACATAATTGGGCCAGGTAATTTGTGGATCTGGTGAGGTTGGATCTGCAAAATGAGCTGCTACCACTAGTTTGGTTTGTTTGGTGATCCCACCCACGAGAATACGCGAGGGAAGACAAGCAGGTAGAGATGGGTATCAGCTGACAAACAACAGGTTGGACCATCTTGAGCCTTGACCCAGGTTTGGCCTGACTCTGATGATGATATTGAGCCCCATGCCACTGTGTCCTCCTGCACTCCTGCCTTTGCCTTTGCTGCTCCCTGCAGTTGCAAGGCTGCATCTCCATTTATACTTCCTTTCCAACCAACATGGAGCTACCTGTTTCTACTGTAGTACAGTAATTACTACTACTATGAAATGAATGACTCCATTTTCATATGGTATACTCGTACAACAGTGATTGATAGCTCCATGAAATGAATTGACTCCATTTCCAGATGGTACTACAGTACTCAATTGCTAGCTTCATGAATTGACTCCATTTCCATACGGTGGCTGTCCGTGCGTCACTGCGTTGGCTACTTGGCTGCCTACTGGAATCAGAATGAACAGGGTTTCTATCAGATTCTGAATGTACATGTTTTCTGAATGGTTTTTTCTCCCTACCAGATTTCTGAATGAACATGTTCCTGGATGATTTTTCCTACTATCAGATTCTGAAAGAACAGGTTTCTGAATGTTTTTTTTCCTGTCAGATTCTCAATTATTTATATTTTCTACAGATACTGTTCTCTCTATAATGGCCAAATGGGCTGCCTGGCACGGCCGGGCTGGGCCAAGGTCAGTCAGGCCAGCATGGCCCGACCTACACGTCGGGGCATGCCGTGCTAGCCCATGGGCTACACACATGGCCCAGACATGGCCCAATAAGACTCGGGTCATGCTGGGTTGGCCCGAAGGCACGACAGTCCATTGTGCTTCTCCATAGAATAAGTCTATTTTTCCCCCTCAACTCTTTGGGATGTGTCTTATATGGCTGGAAATAATCTATTTTGTATTCCTCTTTCTTTGGGCCTTGCCTTATATGGTTGATTAAGTATATTTTGTATCCCTCTACTATTTTTCTTCGACCGTACTGTGACGGGCCAGCCCATCGTGCCAAGGCAACTGTCGGGCCGTGTCAGCACGGGCCCGACACTAGTCGGGCCATGTCGTGCTTGGGCCTGGCCAAATGATCGTGCCTTGGTCCGGGCCGGTGGTCCTTGGACCTTATGGCCCTATAGTTCTCTCTACTGGAAAAGGAATAAGTTCATCTAAGGTCACTTAACTTGTCAACGAATCCGATTTTCGTCCTTCAACTGCAAAACTAGATACAACGGGTCCCTCAACTATCAAAACAGGTGCAGACTAGGTCCCTCGGCGGTTTCGATGGCAGTTTTGGCTCACGTGACGCCTACGTGGCTAATTTGACTCAGTCTCGATCTGATGTGGCACTGACGTGGTGCTTACGTGGCAATTTGATCCGAAAAATAATAAAATACGGGGACTCACATGTCAGTTTCACAGAAAAAAATAAAAAAATGGTGGAACCCACATGTCATTCTCACCCCTCCCTTCTTCCTCCTCTCTCTCGTCTCCTTCTCTTCATCTCTATCCCCTTTCCTCTCTCTTCTCTGTCCAGCAACACCACCACCGACTCCGCCGCCGCTCCTGCCACCGCCACATCCCTCGCCGCCGCTTCGCCTCCTAGCTCCCCTCTTGCCTCTCAACGGTCGTCTCCGCCGTGGGAGGCCGTGGCGGGCGGCAGCAGGAGCGGGAGACCGTCTCCGCCGCAGCCACCTCGACACCGAGGATCTCCGGGCGGCACGCCGGGGCTGCACGGCCTGCCTATGGAGATGACGACGGGGGAGATGGAGGCCGCCATCGTCGCCCTCCTTGCGAAGAAGGAGGCGCTGCGGGAGGCCCCTTCCTCTTCCCCTCGCCGGTTGCCGCTGCAGCCGCGTGCCGCCGTTGAGCCGACTCGATTAATTATACTTCCATTCCAATATTCTATGGAAGCAAGCTTAATTTGCAAAAGTGAAGTGAAGCTGAGCAGAGCAGAGCAGAGCATCCAGCTCGCTCAGATGGCCTTGAGGAGGTCGGCGGCGGCGGCGATGTCCTGGCCGTCAGCGAGGGTGACGATGTTGGGGGACTCTATGGCCACGACGTCCTCCGTGGTAAACCCGTCCTCGTCGCAGAGGAGCTCTTCGCTGCCGGCGGCGACCATCCCCGGCAGGATCACCGTCCTGTGCAGCCCCGGGAGGAGGCGCTCCCTGTCGATATCGCCCTTCTCGCCGACGAGCACCGCCACCTTGGATAGGTCGATGCCTCACTGTATCGATAGGTACGTGAAAGATTAATGCGTCGAACGGTTAGAGACGACGAGATGGTGATGAGGTGGTGGTGGTGGTGGACTGGTGGTGATGGTGGCGTCGCCGCACGGCGGCGTCTCACCTGATCGCGCACGGCCGGGAGAGAGGGATGATGTTGAGGCACATGCACGCGCGCGTGTAGACGAGGTTTCATTGGAAGCCGCACATCCGCAGCACCTGCTTGATCCAATCGATTTCTTCAAGAAGTGTTGTCATCAAATGGTGTTCGTGGCAACGGTGGTGCTCTGCTTAACTTGGATGTGTCCTTGGCGACGTAGGTGTGGCAGTGCACGGAGCAGGCGGCGGCGTCGACGGCGAGGTCCGCCTCCTGCACGCCATCGGCCTTCCCGAGCCTCGGCACGGTGGACCTCACGTGGTCCTCTCCCACCGGTGAGACAGAGAGAGGATAGAGATGAGAGGGGAGAAAGAGGATGACATATGGGGCCCACGTGGGTCCCACAATTTTTTTATTATTTTGTGTGTGAAACTGACATGTGGGTCCCACTGGTTTTATTATTTTTCCGGATCAAATTGCCACGTCAGTGCCACATCAGATCGAGACCGAGTCAAATTAGCCACATAGGCGCCACGTCAGTCAAAACCGCCATAAAAACCGCCGAGGGATCTAATCTGCATAGGTTTTGATAGTTGAGGGACTCGTTGTATCTGGTTTTGCGGTTGAAGGACGGAAATCGGATTCGTTGACAAGTTAAGGGACCTTAGATGAACTTATTCCACTGGAAAACCAAGTCCAGAAGAAGCAACCAGGCCCCGTAAAGTAGCTGAGGCCGGCCCAAGTCAAAGCTGAGAACGGCCCAAGTCACGACGGCCCAGTGCATAGGTGAAGCCCAGAACGCATAGAGCCTGGCCCAAGGAAGCCTCAAGGCGGTGGTCGGCGGCGGCGGCGGGCTTACCACTTCACCGGCAGCGATGATGATGCAGACGAGACCAAACGCATCCCACGCAAAGCTAGGCCGACGGGTAATTTGGCCTGATTTGACTTGATTTTATCGTCGTAAGATGAAAGCGGCTTACGAAGCTTCGTCAGATTCATTTTCATTTGATAATTTCTCTCTCTCGCCGTGTGGGACAAAAGAGATTCAGAGAATTAACCGCGGCTGAGTACAGTGGTTGATCACGGCATCCAACTGAACTGCAAGAATCGACAGCAAAATTCAATTCAGAGATGCATGCGACTGTGACCCTTGTGAGCTGAGGAAATCGACAGCAAAATCAAGAGTAAGAACAGGAAGGCGACATGATAACGGAGACAGATAACAACCGCTGCCTCAACCACTAGCCAAAAGGAAGATAATTAGAGATGAAGTAGCTAAGCAACGGCGCGGCAAAGGCCGCGTAGGTTGCTGGCATCTACCACCATATATACATGCCGACCGTCACACACAAAGAGCCGTGTAGCTAACAAAAATATGGTACTCCGATCCCTCCGTTTCCATGGAATACTTATCGGGTGAAGACTGAACTACTCAAATTTCAATTTTGATTGTACGTCTTTTTTTTACAACAAAAAAAAATCTTAAGAAATAGTTTGGTATTATCAAAGTAGTTACGTCCTAAACATAAGTATCAATAATTCAATATCCCACTCATCATAGTCTAACCATCTTAAAGAAAAAGAAAAAAAAATAAACACGCAAAAAGATTGCACGTCAATATATTAGAAGAAAAGAGTTTAAGAAAACCATTAACCGATAAAAATTGAAACAGTGACAGCCAATAGTAAAAAGTATTTGGGCGCGGAGCTTGGGGCCCGATATGTGATTCCTTCACCTCCTCTCTCCCTCTTTTTAGGAGCGGCAGCTTTTAGTTTTTATTTTTTTCCTTATTTCTCTCCCTGCAGTTCTTTCCTTGTAATTCAGAAATGGCCGGTACGACCTATCGCGTTGTGTAAGTAAAACTTTATTTTCTTGTAATATACTTTTTTTTCGCCGAGTAGACTGAATGATTCCATCCAAATATATTAAGAATGAATTTTTATTCTAATATACTAATGTGCAATCGTTTGACGTGTTTGAAAAATATATTTGGACATGGAGGGAGCAGAACTGTCAAAATCGCCATGACGACGATACACACAGCAGCAACTTGCAATTCAATTCTTTATTAGCAATAGCTCACATGGCTGAACCATCAGAGATGATAACGTATTATAATCGCAGGGTTTAGAGCAGAAGTTTCACGGTTATGTGGGAGCCCTTGCCATTAATTAACACGCACGGATCGATAAGTCGGCGCGCCAGCTAACCGGGAGGTCGACGCATCGATGATTCATCAAGTCATCAAGATCATGGTACAGTAGACGCTGATGCAGGTCCAGCTCAGGCGAGTGTCAGCTTATGCATCTATGGTAAGTACTCCTACTCCATTAATTAGTACAGCAGCAGCAGCAGCTAATTAAGACTGTGATCTGATCCTGTCTGATGCTGATGAGCAAAGCCCAGGCTGGGCAGGCAGGCAGCCTCACGTGTGTGTGGGTGTGTGGGCGCGCCGTCATAATTTGCAGCGGCTGTCTCCGGCGACGTCGACCGCCGGCGAGCCACGGCCGTCCGCGTCGCTGTCGGCACAGCCGTCGGTATCGAGTGCGTGCGCGTGGGGCGCGCGCTGCACTGGCCGCGGTCCCGGCCGGCTGCCGCCGTTGGCTGGCTGCACCGGTCGCCCTCCGAGGAGACACAATACGACAGAGAACTCAGGTCAGGCATTTTACATTTTTACCAAAGCTTATATTTTCTTTAATAGTTATGAGAATTTTTAATTTGCTGTAGGGATTCATATCCTGCTCGTCGTATCCCAGATTCCCAGCTTGATCTGGCATTTCGTGAGAGCTGAAATTAACCTGGAAGGCAAGGAGGATACTGATGACTCTGCAGTTGGCAAAGCAGAGGATCCTGAATTCCCAATCCTATGTAACATCCAAAATTAGAAGCTCACCCAAACAGTTAGCTTCCGATTCAGATTTTAAGAAGCTGTAGTTGTATAATACAGAAAATGAACTAGAAGCCAGAAACTGGAAAACCCAGCTTTTCCACATTCGAAGCTGGCTACCAACTAGCTGGTTCTCAGAATTTTAAGCTCTCCAAACAAAACACATGTTTAGATTTAAAATAGTCGGATATATGTGTTACAAGTTAAATCGCGTGAGAAAAAAAAGTAAGTCAGAGTAACATTTCTATTTTCTAGTAATGACTAATCCAAATTCAAACTATAAAGGGATAGCAAGGTTATATATTTTCATGCTGTCAAGTCAGAAAATGACTTTTGAAATTTGCTGATTATCCAGCCATCAGCAAGGCAACAACTATAGGTGAGTAAAAACCATAACTATCACCTTAAGAAAAAGGAACCGTCGGCATCAAGAAGAATGGTACAGATTGCTAGTGCTGTCATTAGAATTTTAAAACGTCTCGCGAAAGGGCCTACAAGCTAGTGGTTACAAGAGCCTCAGTATCACCTGAGGTCCTAGGTTCGACTCCCCATGGGAGCAAACTTTTCAGGATTTTAACGGCGTTGTGATTTCAGTGGTAGATGACGTACCCGTCGACAGCGAGACGTCTGTGGTGACTTCGTCAATCTCTCTAGAATTTACCGGCCCAGTCTTCGAAGATACTTATAGGGGTAGGGTTTACATGCGTGTGTTCACAGAGGTGAGTGCGTGTGCTTTATGGGTGTCTGTGTTGTATTGTGTAATTCTTAAAAAAAAATGTCTCATGGATTAATAAAACTTACTGTCTTGACCACTTATTTTTCGTATTACCTTTTAAAAAAAACTTTTTATATATACAGGTTTGTTTTAAAATAAAATAAACCATTTTCAAAATTTATAATGATTAATATTTAATTAATCATGTCGTGATAAACTATCCCATTTTGCAGCAGAGCTATTTAGCACAACCAAAAATCTCAAATGAACCAGAGAGATTTAAGTGGTAAAAATTAAAGTCGTAAAACCAGAGAGTAAACAAAAAGGGGGTAAATTAGAGCACAATACTAAAAAAAAAGGGCATAGTCTCAAATGTCTTTATCATAAACATATTTATATTCTTTCTGTAGACCCCGTCTATATATTGTAAATTATCCTCTATCTTTTCTTTTCAAAATCAGCACATTTTTTTAAGAGAAACGGATTCCAGCACGTTTTTTCAGTTCCTAAATGACTTTTTTTTTCCTTTTGAGAAACACCTAAAAGAGACCTGGAAACTGGAAAGTGCTACTCCTACTACCAAGGTTGTCAGTATCCCGATTTGTATCCTAGTATCTTACGATACTACGATCCTACCAAGCCGAAACGATACCGATCCCACCTAATATCCTAATTTTCATAATATCTCGATCTTACTATTCATTACTACACGATCCTACGAAATCTTAGGTGGTATCCCGATTCTACGATCTCTACGATACTACAAAATATTATTTAAAATATCTTGGTTTGAAAATAATGTAAATAAATATGCTCAAATTTATATAAAAATCAGTTAAATATATCAAAACCAATGTGGTTTCTCTTGATAAAGGTCTCTATTTGCATGACATATATCGTTACTATATTTTTTTTATATAGAATGTCTATATATAATTAATATAAATATTAATTAAACTTAAAAAAGAAAATATCATAGTATCCCGATACTATGATACGATTCTATAATATGATATTACTTTAAGCAAAACGATACTGTCTGGTATCCCGATCCTGACAACCTTGTCTACTGGAGTACATGCTTGCAAGGAAAGAGATCGAGGCGTGGAAGGAAAGGGATTAAACAAAAAGATTAATCCATCCAGGCACGCAGGATCCGAGTCAGTCAACGCATTCCAAGGGAGGGCCGAGTCAGCAGCATCCTCCGGCGATCTCGCTCGCCGCTCGCTTTCATCATCATGTCCCTTCTCACACGCCGTTGCATGGATATATATATATTTTTTGCCTCACGCGCGCGTTAACCTCGCCTTCACTCTGGTCGTGTTTCCGTTTGTTTTCCATCCCATTTCTCGTTCATCCTCTCCCTGTCAATTGTCGCGAGTCTTCTCCTTTTTTTTTTCGTTTTTTTATATATAGAAACAAAAAAACCCCGCAATATCTCCTCCATTCTTGGATTCACCTCAACCTCAACCAGCTCGCGAATTTACAGCCTTTTGATCAATTTACTTCCTCCTCCTTCTCCTTTATAAGCCCCGACCTGGTGCTCGTCTTCCTCCTCGTCTTGCTAGTTTTGCACCGGAGAAAAATTCATTGCCTTCTTCTGAATCTCTTCTTCCTCCGAGGAGAGCATTTCTTGCTTTGGTTTGTGTTTTCTTGGGTGTGTCAGGCACAAGTCCGACCTTCCATGGCCATCGCCTCCCGCATCCAGAAGCGCGTGCTTGCCTCCTTCGCCGCCGCCGCCGCAGCCAAGCTCCCGGAGGCGGCCGTCGCGGCCGCCGGAGGCGCCGCAGAGGCGGTGGAGGAGGTCGCGTCTTCCGTGCAGGAGCAGGTGCAGGCGCAGGGAGCGCAGGTGTTGGAGTTTGGGGATACCGAGAGGCTGTTCGCCGGGGAGAGGTCGACGTCGCTGGTGCGCACGCTCGCCGTGCTGCAGGCGCTGTCGGTGGGCCCGCTCGTGGACGTGGCGACGGCGGCGCTGAGGTCGCCGGCGGTGGCCGGGAGCGCGGCGGGGCGCGCCGCGGCGAGGGCCACCGCGTACCAGCACTTCTGCGCCGGGGAGACCGCCGAGGAGGCCGCCGCGGCGGTGCGCCGCCTCTGGCGCGGCGGCATGGGCGGGATCCTCGACTACGGCATCGAGGACGCCGAGGACGGCCCCGCCTGCGACCGCAACGCCGCCGGATTCCTCGCCGCCATCGACGTCGCCGCCGCGCTGCCTCCTGGCTCGGTGAGTCGCCGCCGCCGCCGCTTAACCCTCGCCGGTGTTTCTCTCTCCTCGCTGTCGGCGTGCGTGGCTGTGGGACCAGGAGGCTGCCACGTAGGACGGAATCTTGCGCGAGCGGACCCGCGGATTCCTTGGGAATCTTCCGGTAGTAAACTGCCAGTGAATCGCACGGATGCCACTGCCTCGTGGGCCCTGAAAACTAGCCACATGATTCCGACATGCTCTCTCCGCCGCTCGTTTCCATTCCACCCGCTTTCTCATCAAAACCCTCCTAATACCATCAACTAATCCTTTTTTTAGACATCTCTAATCACTCTTAATTACACTCAACAACACTACAGAACGAGATTACTACACCATAATTAGCATAGTGATTAAGCTAAGACAGTATTTGTGTGGTTGCTGAATTGCTTTGGGATTTTTGCGTGTTCGTTGCAGGCGAGCGTGTGCATCAAGATCACGGCGCTGTGCCCGGTCGCGTTGCTGGAGAAGGCGAGTGATCTGCTGCGGTGGCAGCAGAAGCACCCGGCGACGAAGCTGCCATGGAAAGTGCACGGGTTCCCGGTGCTGTGCGTCTCCAGCCCGCTGTACCTGACGGCGGCGGAGCCGCCGGCGCTGGAGGCGGAGGAGGAGAGGGAGCTCGAGATGGCGCACGGGCGGCTGCTGGCGATCGGCGAGCGGTGCGCGGAGTACGACATCCCGCTGCTGGTGGACGCCGAGTACGCCACCGTGCAGCCGGCGATCGACTACTTCACGTTCGCCGGCGCGCTGGCGTTCAACGGCGGCGGGAGGCCCATCGTGCACGGCACCGTCCAGGCCTACCTCCGCGACGCGCGCGACCGGCTGGAGGCCATGGCGCGAGCGGCGCAGGGCGAGCGCGTGTGCCTCGCGCTCAAGCTGGTCCGCGGCGCGTACCTGGCGCGCGAGGCCCGCCTCGCGGCCTCCCTCGGCGTGCCGTCGCCGGTCCACCGCAGCATCCAGGACACCCACGACTGCTACAACGGCTGCGCCGCGTTCCTCCTCGACCGCGTCCGCCGCGGCGCCGCCGCCGTGACGCTCGCCACGCACAACGTCGAGTCCGGGCAGCTCGCCGCGGCGAGGGCGCTGGAGCTCGGCATCGGCGGCGGCGGCGACCGCGGCCTGCAGTTCGCGCAGCTGATGGGCATGGCGGATGGCCTCTCGCTCGGCCTCCGCAACGCCGGGTTCCAGGTGAGCAAGTACCTGCCGTACGGTCCAGTGGAGCAGATCATCCCGTACCTCATCAGACGAGCAGAGGAGAACAGGGGATTGCTCTCGTCTTCCTCCTTCGACAGACAGCTGCTCCGGTAATTGCAATCCACAAATCAAAATCTCCCATCGTTTTTTTATACCAAAAAGATTCAAATCTTTGCGACAGATTTTATAATTATATGAATTGATGAGATTAATTTGGGTGATTTGTTGTTGATTTCAGGAAGGAGCTTGTGAGGAGGTTCAAGGCTGCAATGCTGGGACGTGAGTGAAAGTGAGGTGGCAGAAGACTGAGGCTGCCTTATCTGTTTGTGTTGCTACTGGGACTTGGGAGTGAAGCGATCGAGTCATGAGTAGAAGTCGTAAACTTGTAAATACTCCTATCATTCTGAAAAAAGAACAGACATTGGTGTATCAATCGATAGTGATCTCTGAATAAACTGAATCATCAACGAAATGATGTGCTCGTGCTGCACTGATCTTATCTTGAATCGAGAGGCTTCCGTTCCGTAAACGCGTTTCAAATTCCAGCAAGTTCGTTTGCACGGACGACTTATCGTCACAAAACACCACCGTTTTACGTATTCCAGATGCGCGCTTCGTGGATGACCCGGGAATTTGAAGTAAAATCTTCACACGTTTTCGAAGGCTATCCTGCAAATTCAGCGTTCGAACAGACCATCGTGCAGCTCAGGCAGGGTTCATTCTGTCATCACAAAATCTGTCCACCACGTGCGGTTTCTGGAGAATACTCCTGTCGGCTGCAATTGGGCTGACGATGCTGAACAACAGGTGACACCTGCACTATGCGTGGAAGCCGATCGAACATGTGTGTTTTGATCAGAGATGCGTGGCATTCTGACCTCTTTGATGAGCGCAACAAGTTCAAGATCTATGCAGGTTCTGCTCGTGTACGGCATGCAGGGCACGTTCAAGTATCAAGGGAGCTATCTGATTACTCCGTACACGTTTAGGCTGTGTTCCTACGCAGATTTCCTAACTTATCTTTCTTGTTTTCTATGCGAAAGTTGCTTTTAAAAAACCATATTGATCTATTTTTTAAAAAAAATAGCAAATATTTAATTAATCATGTGCTAATAGACCGTTCTGTTTTCCATGTGTACTGTTCCGGTTGGGAACACAATCCAGCGAACACAGCCTAGTTGTCATAAGAGCAGGTACAATAGCAGGCTATAAGCCAGCTATAAACATATTTTAAAGAGATAGAAGAGCAGCGGGCTACAGATCTATAGCCAGCTACAGCACAGACTCAAAAACGTAATGTGTGTATGACAGGTAGGACCAGGTATTAATAGTATAGTAAGCAACTATTGTATGAATTAACTATTATATTAGCTATAAATGATTTGAAGCTAGTAGTTGGTTATACTATTAAACTTGCTCTAAGTAGGGGAGAGAGGAAGGCACAGTTTCGTTTTTTTTTTATAAAAAAAAACAACTGTTCAAATAAGCTTATGCATAGCAAAGCATTTTGAAACCATTTTGTGGAGGAAAAAGTACGCCGAAGGTCCCTCAACTTGTCATCGAGTTACAAAATCGTCCCCCAACCGCAAAATCAGATATATCATATCCCTCAACTTATAAAACCGTTCACTTTAGGTTCCTAGGTGGTTTTCACCCCGGTTTTATCGGACGTGGCGGTTCAGTCAGCGTGGGACCCACGTGACAGGGTGTCCACGTCACCCCTCTCTCTCTCCCTCTTCTCTCTTTCCTCTCTCATTTTTCGCTTGGATGTGGATGGCGGCAGCGTCTTCGACGCGATGGGGAGGAGGGCCGGTGTGGCCGGCGGCTGGCAGGGGAGGAGCGCTGCGGAGAGGAGGGCCGATGCGACGGGCGCCGCCGCCGATGGCTGCTGTCGCGCGGATGGCCGCGGCGGTCGTCCCCCTCAACCGTCGGCCTATACGCGGCCCAGCAATCCACTCCCGTCCACGCTCCTCTCCGTGCACCTCCGCGCCGGGGACAAGCGGCGCGGGTATGCGGAGCTGTGGTGGTGCCCCGGGGAGATGTGCGGCCATGTCTGGCTTGACGAGCAACCGGTGGGGCCCTGGCTCGCCGGCGTCGTCGTTGTGCGCGGCGGCGCCGAACTTGGCCCAGCCGCGGCGCTCGACGGCGCACTTGGTGACGCGCGTGTGCGCGACCTCACGGACACGGGTGGTGGTGGTCACCTTCACCACTTTCCCCTCCTCGTTGAAGCGGTACTCGACGGATCCCGTTCTCGTCCGGCCCGATGACCACGCGCGGTGGGAGCAGGGTGCTGAGGTCGCCGCCGCCACCGTAGTCGTCGTCCTCGTCGAGGTCGCTCCACCGCATCGTCTGGAGCTTATTCGTCGTCGCCGCCGCTGCCATGATTCCGTTCCGGGGTGCTCTTCCGATGGTTGTGCCACGTGATACGATGCACTGGGAGTGATAGGTGACAACGACACGGTGTTCTTCCCGGACAACCTGGTGGCTGTGCTGAACAAGTACGACCACGCGGAGATGTACTACGTCGGGGCGCCGTCGGAGAGCGTGGAGTAGGACGTGATGCACTCGTACGGCATGGCGTTCGGCGGCGGCGGGTTCGCCATCAGCTACCTGGCGGCGTGAGGCGGATGGGCGGCGCGCGCGACCACGGACCGACCCCGCTGCGCTCATCGCCACCACCCACAGGTACGCCGCGCCTCAGCAGAGTATCAGAAGCGCGCGGCGAAGACGGCGAGGAGGTCGACGAGCGGCGACCGGAAGTCGAACACCCGCGCGGCCGCGCTTGCGCGACGACGACCTCCACGAACGACGCGTCCCCGGCGCGGAGGTGCACGGAGAGGATCGTGGACGTGAGCGGATTGCTGGGCCGCATCGAGGCCGACGGTTGAGGGGGACGACCGCCGCGGCCATCTGCACGACAGCAGCCATCGGTGGCGGCGCCCGTCGCATCGGCCCTACTCTCCGCAGCGCTCCTCCCCTGCCAGCCGCCGGCCACGCCGGCCCTCCTCCCCGTCGCGTCGAAGACTCTGCCGCCATCCACATCGGAGCGAAAAATGAGAGAGGAAGGAGAGAAGAGGGGGGAGAGAGAGAGAGGTGACGTGGACACCTGTCACATGGGTCCCACGCTGACTCAGCTGCCACGTCAGATAAAACCGGGTGAAAACCACCTAGGGACCTAAAGTGAATGGTTTTGTAAATTGAGGGATATGATATATCTGGTTTTGTGGTTGGGGGACGATTTTGTAACTCGATGACAAGTTGAGGGACCTTCGGCGTACTTTTTCCTTTTGTGGATGAGGATGCCAGAATTTTGAATTATCCTTTTATTATGGGCCTTGAGATCACGGGCTAGTTGAGAGCTGTGGACAATTTGTCAGGCCGAGGCTACTGGGCTAATTAGGTGTACTTGTATTATTGGGCCTCAATTTATTGGGCTTCAAGGCCCAAATTTCTTTCATGTTCTGTTTGGAATTCGGCCTATAGCCAGTTTGGTTTCTTCCATTTTAGGCAGTGAGCCAGTCAAGCATATGAATATTCTACGAACAAAAACCCCAGAATTTTTCCGATGATTCCTTCGGATTCGCGTTTCGGGGCTGACGAAACCCAATCCACCACCCAAAAAAGTAGCGAGTCTCCGATCGAATTCGCCACCCAGTATCTCAATTTCGTTCGTGCGAGGCATCCGTGTTCGATTTGCGAAGGTGAATTTTGATCGGTTTGGTTTGGATTTTTGGTTTTTTTTTTCTCCATCAGATGGATGGATTGGCGCCGGCGGCGATGTCGGAGGCGCTGCTGGTCTTCGCGAGCGGGAGATCCATCGGCGGCGCCGGTCCAGGACGACGACCTCATCTTCGCCGCGGCGAGAGCCGGGAGTTCGCGTGGATCTACGACTACGAGGATGCGCCGATGAGTGCGCCGGTGTGGTGAGAGGGGTTTGGGCAGCTCCAATCTCGAGTCGAGGCGCCCGCTGATGGGGACGAGGAGGTCAATGGGGATCGAGCGTGGCCTCGCGGCTCGCGCCGTCCATCCCCAATGGGAAGAAGGGTGGTGGTATGAAGATTCTAGGGCGAGGAAGGACGATTCCGATCAGGGGGCGCTACCTGTGTAATGTTAAAATGGTGGCTTGGAGGGGCAGGACAATGCTCAGGGATTTCTCCAAGGTGAGGGTGCAGGAGACTGAAGAAAAACAGGGTTTGGGAATTGGTTATTGGGTTGATGCACTGCAACAGAAGCTGCATTTCTCGATTCCGCTGGTGAGGGAAGGGGATGGGTCGATAGAGGTTGTTGCAGACAACAATGGATGGAGCTTCATGGGTGAGGATGTGGTTGCGCGATCAGGGATATCGAGGAAGAGTAGGATGTAGAAGGCGAGGGAAGCCGAAACCTCTCTCAAGCTAGAAGGATGATTGGCTCTCCTCAGTGTTTCATAGGTAACATTTTACAGTTCGTTCCATGTAAACCTTATACCTTAAATAGGGCTAATAGTTTACAATCAATTTAGTAGGTTTAATGATGATCTTTACACACTTCTGTATAAGCAACAAAAGTATTAGATTATAGCATACCATGTTCCTTGTGTACTTATTATTGATTTAACTTCAGAGCCTATGAATTTAACTTGTAAGCAAGATAAGTCACTTTTCCAATCTGTACACTTGTTGGGCCATGTTCAGGTAAGTGCAATTATGGAACTATGTTGTGTAAAATGAATACGCATTGATTTATTCGAAAGTGTTGGCTTACTATTGTAGGAGGCTTTGTTAGCACAGCGAACTTTAATCACCAAACTGATAAATGCACAACCACCTTCAGCAAACAGCATCATACAGCAAAACCTTTTCCTTAGAATAGTATTGCATGTATCTATTTATTGTAAAGCTGAATGACATGCCATGTGTGATCTTAGGGAATTTAGTTTTTCAGTACTGACTGTTTTGAACTATTTTAGAAATTAGCAGAATCGTCCACTTCTCTGATGTTAGACCAATGTATGATATCACGCTTTCCAAGTTCGATACAATCGATTACATGGTCGGTATTTTCATAATGTAGTAGGTTTTTTATTTTACATGGCCTCTGCAGATATTGATGCCAACCTAAATGCTGATCCATGTTTTAGCTGCACTTTCTATCGAATACATACTGAAGCTCCAGCGATGTTTGTTGGTTATGTCTAGTCCTGCACTGACCTTAGGAAGCTTGTTGTCATACCTGGGCCCTTTTTAAAGTGAATGTAATTTCGTGCACTCCCATATGGCCATATATATTCTCCCCATAAGTCTGCTTTTGAAATCTTTGGAGATCTCGTGACCTCATCATCTCCATGTCCAATGTGGATTTTCTCTCTTTCTTCTTTATCAGATTAACTGTAGCATTACTTAACCTATGAAGATGGTTGTATTCTGTAGTGATCGGGCTTACTCAAAAAGTAAAAAGCACCTGTCCCTTGTGATTATGTCATTGTTTGTATATCTATGCAGATTGTTACTCTTAAGCCGCACAGGTTTTATAGTTTTGTCAAATATCAGCTTTTGCTACATGTTTGTACTTTTTAGGAGAACAGTAGTTCTATTGAAATATATATAGTATGAAGAATAAAAGTCGACAAAGAAATTTTTGCAAGGGTTTTGTAGAAACCAAAGATGACTAAACAACATGAACTTCTAGATAACAGACCAAGCTTATAATCCCAGGCAAATACATTAGTAGAGCATGATAAACCCTAAAAAGATCAAATATGTTATCTCTGAACACCTGGAGATAAGTGTTGACAAACAAGCTGATGAGATTCTTAAGGGTCCTCTCATCAGGTTTTGGTCAGAAGCTGTTTGCATTTGATGGTACATTACTGGAGCAGCTACATATTTCACAGTGTGTGTCATGCATACCTACCGATGTTTACTACTTAAATTATCTTTATGCAATGAACTTAAATATGATATAGTATTCGTGTTATTAAGTAGCCTGTATGGCATACCACCCTATTTCAAGTAATAAGACACTTAAAATTTCCAGGGAAATCGATATGTTGCTATTGAATTAGTTAGTTTTGCTCTTCTGCAATTGTAAACAAGGATAAGCTATTTTCTCTTTCTGTATCTTGTAGCTCAAATATTTCAAAAGGTTTTCAATATATAGTTGCACACGTACATACCTACACCTACTTTTTCTTATTGCAATGCTACCTTAAGTGTAATCTGTTTAGTTCGCTATAATATATAGTACTAGTTTATGCAGGTCTCTGCTTGCTTGGATGCATTCGTTGTGAGGGAGAGAGAATTAAATAATTCATGTATTTTACTTCAATGGGATTAAAATTTTTGGTTTGCCTTGTTTATTACTTTATTGTTTATGCTACACTGCAACTCTTGAACAGCTTTATCGATTTGCTTATATTTTTTATCAGGTAGCAATTGACTATATCCTTTACTGTTACATGTATTTACTATCGTGGGTACAAAATAATGACTATGATTATTTTTGTCATTCATCTGTTTTTACACTTGTATCTGGTCTGGAAAGTTCATGATCTACTCCTGAAGGATATGCATGTCATCCTGCAGTAAACTATGGGATAACCAATACTCACAGTCTAGATGTAGCCTCATTCTGCATGACCGGTTCATCAACATGATAAACATTCCAGGTACATTTATCATACTTTAGCCATCATGGAAAGTATGTGTCAAAGGTTCTCTATAAATTATATTTCGCAAAAGAACCTTCTTCAGGAAGATGAAAGAGCATCTGCTTTCATCTTCTTTTTCATTGATCAGATGCCTTACGGCAGACATGTGGTTCGGTATTGACGCATTAGCGAATTTCTTGTGATACATTCCTGCTTTGCAGAATTTTTTTTATTGGATATTATTGTAATGTCAATTCATTTGTCAATTTAGTGATAGGCAAGTGGCGTTGCGCATTTAGTATTAGAAACAAAATTTGCATGTTTGATACGGACATTATATTCTGGAGAAAAGCTTACTTCATGAGCTTTGCTGGCACGGAAGTCTCTTAGCAATGAAGGATTTGAGAGCAATACCTTTGATTCCCTTCTGCGTTGATGATTTTGTCATGTTGTTTCCTAGTTCCTTTTTTGCATATACAAGTTTCTCTGCATTGGTTTTGTGACATTAGTGAAGGTTCTGCCTGTTTTCCCTCAACGGAGCTTTCTAAGGTATATTCAAGTTTAATCAGCTTGTGATAAAGTTAGTGTTTATGCAGATCATACATATAATACTTGTCGGCTCAGGGGGAAAACATAAGTTATCTGCACAGTTTGGATTGAATTTTGGAATGAAGATAACCAAGGTAACTGACTGTTTAAAACATCTATTGCATGGTGGATCAATAATCCTGTCACCAACTTGAGCTAGGATTTTTGGACATCTATTTGGCATATCTTTGCTTGTGTATTTCTGAACATGACTTTGAGTGGATGCAATTCTTCAGCATAAATATAGCATATGTAGTTGACCTGTAATATCAACCAGACAACCATTGAACCATGTTGCCATTATTTATGCCCTGTCCATGACTATTACTTCAGATGAATGACATTGCTTGTGAGCACAATTCCATCACCATCAAAGAACTGATTCGTGATGTCTTGTATAATACTGTGACTTGACTTCCATTTAGGAGCCAGGCAATTGGCTAACAATGTTATGCTACTCTTAGCTTGGCTTAAGTTATGTGTCTTAGTGAAGTTCTGTAAAACCTATCTTGAACTTTCTGACAAATGAACCATTTTCCATGTTTTCACCACATCGACAAAACTTAAATATAGTAACTGCCTGCATTAGTGAATTTAAACTGTAGGAGGAGGTGGGCGAGGGGAATTGCAAATATGTTGTATCAGATTAACCCCCCCCCCCCCCCCCCAATATTGATTATAGATTTCTATTACCTCTTTTATCTTTAAGTTGTTTCTTTTAGTGGAGAGGTAATAGCAATTCTCATTGATCAACTTTACAGTCCTGAAATCATTAAGTTGTTTATTTTAGTGGAGAGGTAATAGCAATTCTCATTGATCAACTTTGCAGTCCTGAAATCATTTCACGTGGTAGGGAGTAGCGAGTAGGGACTCGAGCTGTTGATTTTCATCGTAGAGAGCCCAGGAAACAGCCGTAGGGAAAAAAAATGCATCATTCTGGTCATTCTTTCCTTCCTTTTGATCAAAAGTAGATAAAAATCTATCGTTCTTTACTGCTTAGCTCCTTTACTGCCTTTTCTTTTCTGCAAGCTCAATTCATAGGCATTGCACGTACGGATATTGCTAGGCTATTACTAGCTACAGTGAGGGCTTAACAGCCCTATACTATCTTTTCCTCATCGGAAACTCTATTTTAGAGAAAAGAGGATACAAAGGCTGGCCAATGCATGGTGCGACCCCATGCATCAACCTTGTAGTTGGCACCGAATCCCACTCTCCAAGGCAGCTTCACCATGACACATCCATCTCTTTGCTTCATCTCTCACTGCCTTTTCTTTTCCTTTTGGCTCTTAAAAGTTGCGTATCTTTAGCTCTTTCCAAGGGAGGGGGTACTTCGAGCCCACAATGTGCTACTACTACTCACTGGCCACTATGCTTGCATTTCCTATTTGGCTTCCGCAATGAAATCTGAACCTGTCTGAATGAGATCTGGAGGCCTTTGTGTCTACTGGCTTCTGATTCCCCTCCCTGGTTTTGAACTTTCAAGTCCTGCTTAATTAAACCAACAGTGCACCTTCTTTCTGCGATTGATTCGTGGTACTTTAACGGTTGGAGGTGTGAAACCAAGCTACGACTAAAATGTGCAGATGTTGGAGGGGGGAATAAAGCGAACTCTTGTCCCTGGGCGCTTTGCGAGTCGCCGGCACAAACCACATTTTAGCCTGTTTTTGTATTGCGAGCAATTTGGATGGCTGAGGAATAATGATTCACGAAATACCTCGTCAGAAATGGTACATTTTGGCAGTACAGATACGCCTTGGGAAAGATGCACCGTGTCTGAGACTGGATCTTGGCCTCACTTACTTTGAAGTTTTGAACTGTGGTACCACTTTTTTCTGAATTTATCAGCAAGCTTAACATCCATCTCTGTAACTACTATGCAGGTCTCTTGCCAGTTTGCTCCTGCAGTGTCCCGTACTCCAGTGTGGCCACTTGCCTGCCAGTGGCGATGAAGAGGAAACAGTGTTAAGGCATGCAGTGCAGCAACAAGCTCGGCCGGTTTAAGAGTGATGACAAGCACGCGGTCCCTGCTGCGGTTTGTGCCCAGAATGGGACTGTGAGCATGGCCGGGACAGATAGTTTTGTTGGATTGGATGCACACTGCCGGCCGGCCTGCACCATCGCCGTCCCGTGTGTCACGGGCACTCGTACGTCGCCGGCCGTCGCCGTCACTGGCCCACCCGTCAGCGGCACACGGTGGGGTTGTTCTTGTTACAGTGGGAAGCTGGAAGAGTGTTGGCAAGAGAACAGTGAGGCTGGTTGTTGCTGGCTATGATGTTAACCTGACCTATTGCTACTGCTCCTGCTGCACACTGTGGCTCTCCAGTGACTCTCCAGTGAGCCCATCTCAACCTATCCGGTTTGTGCATGCGGTGCCATGGCCATTCTGGAGCTGAGTCCCAGGTTAAAGTGGTGTACCCATCCAATGTTGCTGCTGCTGTTCTTGATGTGCCTGTCCTGAAACATCACAAGTGAAGTCCAGTCAAGTTCTGTTCAGTGTCCCCCTATCTTCACGAGACGAGCTGGCGTTGCATTGCGAGAAGAGAGATGACAAACGGTGTGGCTCAAACTGGGAGCTCATCCCAAGCAAAAGCTCCATCTCAACCGATGGAAGCAGGCAAAGCATTTTAGCTCCTACTACTTCATTGTATCACGGTGAGGATTTTGGTTTTGTTTTGCATGATACAAAAGATTGCTGTTCATCGTTGCAGCAGTTGGGGGTAAGGTAGTAACTCCCCCGTCCCATAATATAACATTTTTTTTCTATGAATCAATTGTTCAGATTTATAGCTAAAAATATTTATATTTTGGAACGGATGGAGTAACTAAAACTAGGTAAGGTAATTGAGTGAGGATTAGGAGAGGACAAAAAACGGCGAGGCCAAGAAGCAACATGCCATGAGTGAGTGATGCAAGCCACATGCATTCTTGTGTAGCTGTTTGGCAACAAGTCGACACATTGGCACGCTACACATGGGAGTTCGGTGTGGCTGTGCCTGTACCTTAGGGTTTGGGACTTTGGGGGAAGGCATGTGTGGGTATTGTGTAATCTGAGGCTGCTTGTTGGTGGCTACAAGCTAAGTTAGTAGTAGAAAGATTTGTTTATGCGTAGTTCATCGATGGCATGCATCGGCCACTTCTGCCAACCAAAGTATTTGTTTAGCCTTTAAACAAAACAAAACACTACTGCTATTTGTTTAGACTGGTAAGTTTTTTATTCGGATGTTAAACAAACTAGGGGAAATCAAACCAGATCTAGCCATGGCAAACGCCAAATTATGGAGCACATGCCTTAGCAACCGAGCATGAGCAAGCAATGTATACTTAAAAAAAAAAAGTAGAGCGGCAAGCAGGGTTTATAAATGCGACTTGTTACTGTTTTACAAAGTATTATGTCCATCTTAAAATATAACTATCTAATACAGGATATAATGTTTCAATTATTATGAATTTGGACAGAAGGAAGGAGTACGTTTACCACTTCCTATCGGCTCCGTTCATAAACCCCGGTTACCATTCATTATTCAATAATGAAAGATAAAAAGATGAAACTAAACATTTTTTTCGATTTGAATTTTACTTTCAATATTAGCCATGTTTGAAATCCAATTACAAATAGACTTCAAACAGCTCTGAGGAGTACTTTTATTACTCCATCCGTTCTAAAATATAAGGGATTTTGATTGGATATAATATATTCTAGTATTATGAATCTGAACGTAAAGCATTAATAAATTCGTAGAATTAGGACATATCACATCCAACTAAAATCTTTATATTTTAAGACGGGTGAGTATATTGATTTAGTTGTCGTGGACTTGCGCCTTAGCAATCGCTGCCGAACAAAGCCTATTTTGAACATGACAAGTTCACAACTTTACCAAGCGGTTATGGTCGCATTTTGAAACTACCGGTAATAAGGATTCTCTACAATACGACTGTCCACACACAGTTTATGACAGCCACTTACACGTGGGCCCGTTACGGCATAGGATCCGTGCCCTAAAACCATGGTGGCAAAGGGTTGGGGCAGGTGGGGCCCACACGCCAGTTTGGTGGCGCCACACCGCCCGACACGGATTGGATCATCGGATCGACAAGTCCTCACTGACCGATGCTGGGCAGGCGTGGGTGGGGCCCGGGGCCCAGTCAGTGTGTGTGTGTGTGTGGTCAACAGGTTCACTGCATGAAAAGAGAGCAGCAGCAGGCAAACAGGTCTGTGAGAGGCTGATGAGCAGCAGTGACTGCGAGAGACAATGCAGGGATTCTATGAAAATTTTTGGGAATGGCCCCACATGTTCGTCTTCCAGCCCCATGCTCTCTTGGTGAACTCCAATCCTGGCTGCAAATGCATTGCAAGCTTTGGAGTTTGGACAGATCTTCTGCCTGACTTCCACTCTGTTATGCTTCTTGTGGTGCTATTGTTTTTTTTTCCTTTGTCCTAATAGAGTAGTGTGATTTAGATCATTGGATGGATTATTGTGTATGATTGAAATAAGTGGTGTAAACAATGGTTAGGTGACAGATTTATAAGAAAATGTACTTTTCAAAGTGTGCAGTAAATAATCCGTTTCAGTAATTCGGTGAGTAGCATGAAAGAGAACTTTTTTTTTGAACGAAAAACAGCACAGGAGTACCTTTTCACTTAATAGAACAGGAGATGAAAAAGAACATTAACTTAAGCCGTAAAAGAAAGTAACTAAAAATAACTTTGGGTCCAAATTTAGGCCAACAAGTAGACAATGAGATATGCTAGGAGATAGAGAAAGTTTTCATTTGTTCTTTAAAATTTGCTCAAAGTATATTTTCACTCTAAACTAAAAAGACCACATTTTCATCCTTAATTTTCGAAATCGAACAAATAACACTGTTCATAGTGATTTTACTTGAAATGACAATGATATTTGCTTGTTTAAACTCGTGTTATAAATGTTTTTGTTGATGTAAATGTCATCGATGGAATTTATATATGGTATAGCAAGTCCTCAAAACCACAAAAAATGTATATATGGTATAACAAGGACTTGCATCCATAAGTTTGAGCATACATTGCCCTCTTGTAAACCCAATGAGGTGATTTCCAGTCTCACTCGCTCAGTGATGATGCCATCTATATCTTACAAGTTACAATATTATTCTCAACCTCAGGCTAATTGGAGAGGATGTTTTATTCCCCATCGTTAACCAGGGTGCACAAAACGTGGACGAATTCGGTACCCTAATCACCTTACCCTAAGATGCTTTGCCGCCATTTCAGTAAAGCATGGACGCTTTACACCATGATTGCCCCCCTTCCTTTGCATCTCCAGCACAGGCAGAGGCAGCAGCTGGAGAACAAGCAAGGATTCGGTTCATGTTGCAGTGAAGAATTCTGTCATGATAGATGGGGAAAAAACCAAGACAAAACGCGTTGGCACCCCATCACCATATGTTCTTCAATGTGCAACAGTGCTTGCCAAATGCAATGCCCTTATCTGAAGCTTTTAGACTGACATTATATTCTGACAGGATTTTATTTTTCTCTCCCCCATATCCTCCTACTTCCCTTTGGTTCTTTTCAGCTTGGGGTGTGTTTAGTTCCTAAAAAAATTTAGAAGTTTGAAGAAAGTTGGGAGTTTGAAAAAAAAGTTGGAAGTTTATGTGTGTAGGAAAGTTTTTGATGTGATATGATGTGATGAAAAGTTGGGAATAGGGGGAAACTAAACACGGCCTTGGTTCACCGGATTATTTTTCCATGTTTCGGAAAATATGAGTTTTTGAAAGGAAAAACTTTATCTATTACATTGCTTAGATTTTTTTTGTTTGTTTCATGTTATTGTTAATTTTGTCTCTGAAAATGTTTAATTTATCCTCATAATTAAATTGATAGTCCTTCACAATAATATGTTCAATAATCTAAATTAAATGTGGCCTTCCAGTTTGGAAGGAGCAGATTAGAGAGCTTAATTAGTTAGGCTGTCATGTGTCCAAACAGTTGAGTTCGGATTGACAAATCATCACTCCCCTGTGGTCCAGTGCAAACAGAATTAGAGGTGCAAGGCAGGAGCATAAAGCAATAACAGTAACAGGATGGTGGTGTGCTTCAGCTGCATTGATTAACAGTAAAGGAGCCAATGTTTAAGTATGCTTTTAATTATGTCGTTTGAGTAACAAGGAAGCCACCATGAGGCCCAGACAATGGCAACAGTACACATTGCCTGCATGGCTAATCTCTGTATTTTTTTTTACATAGGCTTGTTACCATAGTATTACTGTATAAACAGTACACATGTCTGAAGCATGGACAGTATACTATGCAGAACAAGAAGTGACAGATACCAAAACATATTAATAGATAAATGATACGTTTTCTTAAAACATAATTTCTTACGCTGTAATACCTCCGTCCCAAAATACTTATTGCTTTGAGTTTTTATTTGTAACTTTTAATCATTCGTCTTATTAAAAAAATTATGAAATTATTATTTATTTTGTTTGTGCTGGAAAGAAGCATTTTAAGTATAACTTATCATTTTATATATTTGCACTAATTTTTCAAATAAGATGAATAGTCAAACGTTATAATAAAAAAAAGTCAAAGCGACCACTAATTTGGGACGGATGTAGTATTGTTTAGATCTCTTGTCCTAAACTAGTATTTGTTAAGTTTATTTATTAAAATATTTAATTAATATCTATAGTCTTATTGGTAATCATTTTCAGTAATCCAATAAATGTATTAATACTAGTATAGTACCAATACATTACAGTAACAAACTGTACACATCTCTGAAGTATGGACAATATATACTATTATGCAGAACAAGAAGTGACAGATACCAAAACATATTGATAGATAAACGATACTACTACTACTACTACACTACATAGGCAGACAGGGTATAATAGAATTATGAGTAGATGGAAGATGCATTGCTGAAGAAGCCATGAGCCCATGATGTAGCATGAATTATGATTAACAGCTAAGGAGGCAAGGCAACTAACCTAATCTAGTGTTGAGCTTTGATTAGCCAAGTCTGTCAAATATAGGGGGCTTGTTTGTTGCTGGGCGAGTGCAGTTCAGAATCCCACTCGTAGAAGAGGAGCTAAAAGAAATTGTCTGACGCCTTTATGCTTGCTTGGGTCGCCCATGGCCGCTTTATTCCCAATCCTTGTTTCTTCTAGTTCTACCTCGCGATTGCTACCTCCGGAGGCTGCTGTTTGCAACTGTGTGTGCTGCTATATCTTAAAAAGACACGAATATTAGAGAAAAACATAATATCAAATAAATAGAAGAAGTGTGGTTTCGAATAAAACCACCTTGTAGAGCTATTCGGAAAACCTGAACGTTTCTCGTGTGCTCCTACGTCCTAACCACACGCAAATTCTTGTCTAATCCTGCCTGCTAGTATCTATCTAGTTACCTTTCCAGTTGTCTTATTACTCTTGGAGAGTGAAGCATAAACGTGTATTCCATTTTTGCGTGAAATTTTTTTCTCTCTCGGTTTTACGGGAATGTAATGGATTTTACGAAACTTCCGCGAAATTCCTCGTGGAATTTCTAAATCAAGTGTAAGTCAATTGGCCACAAATCGGTCGTTTTTTAATACCTTTTGCACTCTTTTATAAACAGAGGAATTCGCGAGGATTTCGTAGGAACTGAACTATAATTTCTACATATTTTTTCGTATAAGAATCGTAGGAACTGAACTATAATTTCTACATATTTTTTCGTAAAATTCTTATGTTTCAAAGGAGTCCTTACAACTAATACAATAACCAGGTGTACATTCCATCGTTTTCTCTCTCTTTCTTTGATAAGAGGGCTGCACAAATTGTACAAACAGGAATTCAGAATACGACACAAAAAACATGTCAAAGCTGGTGATCAAAATGGAAGAACAAATTTTCAAATGCCATAGCCATTGATTTTCACGGGGAATCGAGTAGTAACACAGGGGGATGGATGGATGGATGATGGTGAAGTAGAATGCGCCAGCTACTGTACCAGTACAACACCATTGCGACATGGCACTCTGCATCTGCACAAGCAGAAGCAGAAGCAGAGCCAAGCTGCAAGGTGACACGACAATCTTAGGACACTCAGCTCACTGATCAGCTCAGCTGAGATCATTACAGCAACACAAAGAAGAAGAAGAAAAAAGGAGTAAAAAAAAGTTACACAAAAAGGGTAAAAAAACACTTGACTTTCACTTGGAGAGGAAGAAGTAGCAGGATCATTAGTCCCTAACTAAAATCCGCGGCTCCTTGATACGTCGGCTCCACGGCTGCGCCGCTCGCCGGAGACGGCGACGGCGGCGAGGGCTTTCTAGCACCTCCACGCCGAGACGGACACGAGCTCGCCGCGCTGCCAGTAGAGGCAGAGCGAGCCGGCGCGCTTCTCGACGCGGAACCCCCTGACGTGCACCTTGCTCAGCAGCGACTCCGCCTGCGACTCCGCGAACGTCGTCGCCTGCACCGGCGCGAACCCCGCCGCCGCGAACGCCGCGCGCCACGGCGGCGGCGGCGCCTTGTCCATGGCGGAGGCGGCGCGGTGGCTGGCCACGACGCACTGCTCGATGGCGGGGTGGATGAGGTACCGCTCGATCTTGGACGCGGTGTCCGGGTCCGTGCCCACGGCGTCGATGGACTCGAGGAGGTAGACGGCGGAGTGGAAGGAGTGGAAGAGGTGCGCCGCGAAGGGGAGGTCGGAGCGGTCGCAGCCGCGGTCGACGGAGACCACCACCTTGGCGCCGAGGCGCTTCACGAGGCGGAGCACGGCCGGCGTCGCGGCGGCGTGGGCGGGGCCGACGGGGAGGTGCACGGCCACGGCGTCGCCCGCGGTGGCGTTGGCGAGGAGCTCGGCGGGGTCCAGGGTGTCGATGTTGAAGACGGTGAAGTGGAAGAAGACGCCGAGCTCGGCGGCGAAGCCGGAGAGGTTCTCGTGGATGAGCTGCAGCTCGAGCGGGTGGTGCGACGCCGGGGACACCAATGCGGTCACCTTGAGCGCGGCGGCCGGGCGGAGCTGCGCGAGCTCCTGCATCAGCGACGCCCACTGCTCGCCCATGCCGATGTCGAAGTCCAGCACGTGGATGCATCCGGCGCCGCCGAGCTCGTCGAGCACCGCCTGGACGCAGGTGAGGTGCGCGAACTGGAGCACCGGGGACACCTCCGAGAAGGCCTTGTAGGCGCCGAGCTTGACGACCACGTCGTACGGCGTCGACGCCGATGGCGCTGGGGCGTCGCCGGTGGGGGAGAGCGTTAGGCGCAGAGCCTCCTTGAAGTAGAAGGCTGAGCGGAGCAGTGGCGTCCCGGCCGTGGGGGCGGCGGGGAGCCGGTAATTGAGCCGCGCCAATATCTCGCGGGCGCCGAAGGCGTCGCCGGCCTCGGCCAGCTTCGCCGCCTCGGCTAGCTGTTCGACCGCAGCGGCGGCCTCGTCGTTCGCCGCCTCCGCCTTCGGCTTCAGGGCGGGGACGAACCCGCCCGCCGGGAACGGAGGCAGCTTCGGCGCAGGCGCGGCGGCCATCGGGTGGTGCCGCTTGGAAGGCGGCGGCGCCGCGTCGAACGACGGGTGGTGGGCGCCGAAGAACGCCGCGTGCGGCTGCGGGTGGTGGTGGTGGTGTTGGAGGAGGAAGTTCGGCGGGGGGTGCCCCGCCGCGAACGGCACCACGGGCTTCGTGTCCTTGCCGCGGGCGGCGGCGCGAACGGCCCGAACGCGGCGGGCGCAGCGCGCCGCGCCGCCGCCATGGTCGAGCTCGAGCACCGGCGGTCCATGACCCCTGCCATCGGGGACCGGTCCTCGCCGCCGCCAATGATCCAGCGGAGGAACGTGTTGTCCGGCGCCATCCCCCGACGTCCGGCCGCGCCGCGTCGGACAGCACGTTCCCGGCGGCATCCCACCCTTCGCCGGCGCCGAGCCCCATATCAAGCGGCGTGAGCTGGTGCACCCACTCCTCCTTCGCCGCCACCACCTCCTCCCCCCCACCACCTCCTCCTCCCGTTCCCCATCCCGGCGGCGGCGGGGAGACGGAGACGTTCTTGGCGTTGGCGCCGGCGAGGGCCGCCACGTCGGCGAGAGGCGACGACAGCGTGGAAGCCGAGGTAGGCGGGCTGGGGCTCGGGCTGTGGCGGTGGTCGAGCACCGACCTTGGCTCCCAGAACCCACCTGCTCCGGCGGCGGCGGCGGCGGCGGAGGAGGAGGAGACGAGCTTGCCGGCCGCGGCGAGGCCAACGCCGTGTATGAGGTGGTGTTGCAGCAGTGTCCCCGCGTGCCCCTCTCGCGCGCTCCCACCAAAGGGCATTCCTCTCATCTAATCCAACACCTCATAACACCAACACACAAACTCCTTCTTCCTCCTCCTCCTCCTCGCCTCGACCAACAACAACTTCTTCTTCTTGCAATCTTGTTCTTGCTTGCGAGCTCGATGTCGTGGTGGGTGGTGGAGTTTGATTTCTCTCTCTCTTGTTGTTCTTGCTCTTGATGTGTTTGTGTTTATGTTTGTGAGGAGGAGAGGAGAGGAGAGGGGGGGGGGGGGGGGGGGGGAGGGGTGTGGAGGGGTGTGTGGGGGAGGGGAGAGTATTTTATTCGTTGAGGGCAGCGTCTTGATCTCGAAATGATAGCGTGCAACATGAAAAAGGCAATAAAGTGGCCTTCTCGCTCAGTACTTGCCTTCCTCTTCTTCTTCCTCCTCTCTCTTTTTCTCTCTCTTTTTTTTAATGTAATTTTTTTTAATGAGCTGAGTGTTTAAATCCAGTGGTGTAAAGTTTCAGTGTGTCACGTCGGTTATTATATAGAGTGTTTCATGGGGAATGTTCGGGCACTAAATAAAAGAACTAATTATAGTATCCGTCAGTAAACCGCGAGATGAATATATTAAGCCTAATTAATCCATCATTAGTACATGTTTACTGCAGCACAACATTATCGAATCATGGAGCAATTAGGCTTAAAAAATTCGTCTCGCAAAGTAGTCGTAATTTGTGTAATTAGTTATTTTTAGTCTATATTTAATCTTCATGCAGGTGTTCAAACGTTCGATGTGACATAGTGTAAAATTTGTTAAGATGGATCTAAACAGGCCTTAGCAACATCACTTTCTCTCTCCCTGAACAATGCTGCATAAAAACTTGTCTTAAAGGGAGCACGGCTTTGGGGCTACTGTATCTATCAAAGCATTTTGGTGGCAACACAACAGGGACGAAAGGCTAGCTGTGCAAAAATTCCTGATGATGCAGGGGAGTAGTGGTAGTAGTAAAAAGGAGATATCTGAATTTCTTCAGACATAATACTGTTTGCAATTCATGTGCACTGCTGCTACTACTGCTGTTGCTGCTTTGTTCATTGTTGTTTTGCTTGCCAGAAACTTCTGTTCATTTCAAGCTCGACTCGCCATTTTGTTGTTTCACTAGTACTCCAGTACATTTTTCACTTTGTACCGGCAACAAAATGACCGGTCTCTTTCAGAATCCCACGCTGCCACTCATGAGAATTTTACTGCCATTTTGCCGAAACTCTACTGCTCCTAGAATGGAAGCACTACACATCGACAGCAGTAATAAGATGTGAAAAGAGAAAGAACTAAAAATGAAACACCACTACTTCAATTCGCTTCCATGTGAAGTTCCATCCACTGTTCTTCCAGTGCCATCAATGCAGTTCCATGGCCATACTACCAAATTTCATCAGCTCATCAGAAAGCATAATAGACACTTAATAAAAGTGTCATCATGTGTAGTACACTCCATTGCAGTTCATTCTGCATCATGAGCCTTTTTTTTTTTACATCCATTGCTGCTATACATGCTACATCCTGTTCGTGCGAGCTTGCATCTCGATGAGCATGTTCACGACTGCAACTCTCACAAAGGCGACGAGTATAATCAATTGGCAACCAAAAGGATGGAGTAAAGTGTAAAGCTGGAGCTGTGCTGCTGCTGCTGCAGCTCATCCAAAATGCGTCATCATTTGTTGCCTGCCTCGATCGGCTTTTGGGTTTTGACCCTGACGATCCACCAGTTGAATGAACTCTCTGAACTTCTCTGAAGATCTCAAGCGGCTGCTGCAGTGCAGCAGCTCACTGCTTGCTTCAGAGTTCTTCGATCTCCAATCAATCAATGCACCATTTCTTCAGTTATTAGGCCCCATGCTGCTTCTTGCCGGCTAGCAACATTTCAATCTGAAGCCTTCCTCTCCCTGAATTTTCTTTGCTTGACAGCGTGCCAAGGCACCATTTGCTTTTATCGACAAAAGGTGCAATCTTTCATAGCTGTATTTAATTCTCTCATCAGACTATCAGAGAGAGTGTAATCTTCAAGACTTTGTTAATTACTAGTAAGCGGTTAGTAGTAGTAGTACTTTCTCAGTTTCAGTAAAACTGTTCCTTTTGATGATGTCAGTAAAATTGTTTGGTGTTGTGTTGATCTACTACAAGATACTGTAAAAACTGTCATGTGCACAGTCATTAGTGGGGCATTGGACTACTGTGTACATGTGAAAGAGTTGGTGAGGATTTAACTAGGACCCAAGATAAATATTGAAATCGAATGTTACCACTATGTTTAGTCAGCCTAACCATGGCCCATGGGAGAAGTACACATGAAAGCACAGTTACAGTGCTTTGGAAAATCATTAGTAGCAAGTTAGCAATCAATCCAGCCTTTAGATGAGACGATCGGCCTTGTTCTTTTCAGCTTATTCACGGGATATTAAAGGGATTATTTGCTCATTGCTAACTTCGAAAAATATATTTCTCAAAAAGCATTTCTTTTACTGTATTACTGGTCAACTTAGACGGTTTGTTTTAAGCTATTTATTATGTTTATTTTAAAACTATTTAATTCATACTTAAAATTAAGTTGTAATCCCGCAACATTAATCAGCTCAACAATCTAAATCAACAGGGCCATCAGATTATCACGCCTAATTTGGATTTGCAAATTAAAACGTGGTTCAATGCCTCAAGACAGTGCTCCTCTCACTGATCAACGCCACAGGAATGTGCACGGATAGCAGCTTGATTCGTCACCCTACGATTAGGATGCTGCATGCTGCTACTACTCGTTGACCTAAACATGCTTCGTCTTAGTCTTTCGTCACACAATAATTTATCGCTTGTGTGTTAATTCTTCGAACTACTTAGCTAGCTAGAATTGTTTTAGACGCCAATTGCAACTAACATACCCATATCATTGGTATAGCTAAAAGAACAATGAAAACACATACACAATTCTCAAATTAATCAGCCATATCAATTACTGCTTTCTTAAAAAAAACAACAGTGTTATAGTTACAATTGTAGATTTTTGACAATCGAGATCAATAAAAACTTCCATTGTCTACAAACCAATATAGTTTCCTATAAAAAAAGAAGAAGAAGAGAGATCTCTTTTTTTGGGATGAAAGAAACAAAAAGATTTGATGCATGCATGGAGGTGACCACAAGAAACAGGAAAATGGCATCTGGTTCTCGTCCATTTTATTCGGACGAGACGTCTCAATTTTGAGGTGCTTCTAAGCCAGGATTTGATCAAAGCGTGCGACGTCTACTCTCTGCCTGCCTCCCTATCTATCTTAGCTGCCCTTTGTCCCGGTCAAATCTCTCATTGTGCGGCCCTAACAACGCCACACCAATCAACAAAACTGACGCAGATATCCAACTGCAGATCGATGAACTCAACTTACTTCTATCATACCTAGATTACCATGCTGACAGCCTGACAGGCCGTGTTAATCTCAGTAACAGCCACGAACCAACTTAAAAATAACTTACGAGTAAAACTTTTATATATGTATGTTATTAGTGATTTAAAAAGCGTTGTTTAAACTACAATAATGAAAGGAAAATCAGCTTTAAAATTAACTTTAAGAATTTAGATTTTAGCTGCGACAGATAAACCAAACGAGGATTCAGACATGTCGTTCTCGCTTGAGCAATCTGAATTCTGTAGTAGGAGATTGTTGCTCATTCTGAATTTTAATTTGCAGCACTGAAACTGATTGTTCAGCTGATTTAAAAACGGATGCTTTGTTTGAAGTATACTATATTTTTTTTTGCAGAGATTGGAGGAGCTAGAGGAGACATGACACATCGAACAATGAATGCCATGTGAGCCCCTGAATACTTTATTTCGCAATCCCAAACACAGACTGATGATTGATTAACAGAGACCGAAAAAAGAAAACGGATTATCGATTGATTAATCCCTGTTCTTCCCCCCATGGGGCAGTTAGCTAACCGCTCGATTAATCGTACATGGCCCTGTCGGTGCAGCTGCCAGTAGTCTGATTGCAGCAGCAATTAAATTAATTTAGTCTAATCTTTTTTTCTTCTTTGAGAACTGCAATTAGTCTAATCACCATCGAGAGTTCACACCTCCATGGCATGAGCTAATTGCTCGGAAACCAAAACTAAAAACTGATTGGATCTGGGCTGCAAATTGGGACAGCAGCAGAGAAGGCGACCCTCAACAGGAGACAAATTTTATGATTTTTGCAGTCTCGATTTGTGCCAATCGTATGTAGGACCCTCCGGCACCATGATATTTGATGTGGATGCTTGTGGAAACATCTGCATCTGATGTCGGTACTATGTTTAATCTCGTGCGATGGATGGGTTAACAACTGCAACTTGGGAGCGATTAAATTATTTGATTATCATTCAGCTGGGGTTAGTTTATATATGTTCATGTTCAGTTAAGTAAAGCTCGCTTGCAAGGTACTAAACAAACAAATTGCGTGATGATATGGTATCGGAGTAATTAAGCAGCAGACGTATCTGTCAAGAGATTTTTGGCTAGATTTGGCATGAACATGGTGCCGATTACGGTGTCCAGAGAGAGAGAGAGAGAGAGAGAGAGAGAGAGAGAGAGTAGATACTGTTGATATAGGTGGTAGAGACTAGAGATGACGGTGATGGAGATGGGAGAATTGTTATCTCGCCGACTTAGACAATAGCGACATGAAACCAATCGATTAGCAGGTGTGGTTATTAAGTGGAGGGAGAAATCGTGTTCTTCAGAAAAAGGCTTTAATCTCAATGCTGACAAGTGATTAGCGACTAATCTCAATTTCTACAAATTAAGAGCAGTACTTCTGATTACGAATTTTTTGAGGAGAACGAGAATTACACTACCCCATGATGCAAATTAAATTATTTCCCTAATCTTTCGGTATGATTTGCACACAAGTCGTTCATGATTTCCGGTTGCCGCGCGAGCGGGGGGTCCGAACCTGTCAAGAGGCGTTTGGGCCAAAAGGAGAATGGGCCGTTTCGTCAGTAAATGGCCCAGTCACTGGCCCACCACACGCGGTAGCTGCGACGAAGCCAGCACCGATTTGATGCAAAGACTGTTCAGAAATCAGAATCAGATTTAATTTACAGGGGAGAACGAGAAATCAGAATCAGATTTAATAAGACTTAATCTGTGTTTCGTTTTCCTAGCTAAAAGTTGACGACTTGTTCAGTTGTTCTTGATCTGCACAGCATGCATTACAGGGGAGAACGAGATAGGCTTGTTCTTCGACTGCGGTTATAAGATGTCCTTGA